ACAAAAAAACATCAAGAAAATACCAACATGGCAACATAATCATAATTCAAACTAAAAAAAACTAGGGCAAAATATGAACAAAAGAAAGATTTACAAGGAGATTCCTGAAAAAGTACAAGGAGAATTAGACCAGGTGTTTTGGAAAAGAAAGTATATTCTGTTTCCTCGATGATACAGGGCATGTAAACCTTTGTCAATCCAAGTAAGAAATGTCACATTCTAAAATGAGGACAAGGTATTCCACGGAACTAACAGGCAAACCAATGAGCATCAAATATGTCCAGCTTTATGTCACACAAAAAAGTAGAATATTTCTCAATGAGATCACTATGGCAACCATGAATCTTCTTCCCCATAATTTCCATCAACCTGCATTTTTTTAACAGTTGATGACTTCTTGCAGGAAAATCTGATAATGGGAACAGGCCTTTAAATATCTAATCAATTGTGACATGTAAATACCATAGGTTGGAGATGCAGGGATATTGCTATCCAGAAAAGGAAAATTCACAATACGGAAATTGAAATCACGTTTCTCATACAGCTTGATTGAGAGCTGTCTATGTTGGTTTCATTGTAGGAATAGATCGAGATAAGTAGCTAATGTAGGTGAGTTTGCTGAATCTTTGATTTCCAGTTCTGATGGATATATAGGATGGTATAGTCAATAAATTTCTTGTTATTTAAAGACAAGATGTCATCAATATATCTGAAAGTAAAATTAAATGTTTTGATAAACTCTCCAATTAAATCAGAAATAAAAACAAAATACAATATAGCCAACAGAGAGGCAGTTGGTTCTCATAGGAAGTAACAAAGTAACAAGGTGTAACAAAGTAAGGAAGTGTAACAAAGTAACAATGTGAAACTAAGTAAGGTAGTGTAACAAAGTAACAAGGTGTAACAAAGTTAGAAAATGTAACAAAGTAACAATGTGTAACAAAGTAAGGAAGTGTAACTTAGTAACAAGGTGTAATAAAGTAACAAGGTGTAACAAAGTAACAATGTGTAACAAAGTAACAAGGTGTAACAAAGTAAGGAAGTGTAACTTAGTAACAAGGTGTAATAAAGTAACAAGGTGTAACAAAGTAACAATGTGAAACAAAGTAACAAGGTGTAACAAAGTAAGGAAGTGTAACTTAGTAACAAGGTGTAATAAAGTAACAAGGTGTAACAAAGTAACAATGTGTAACAAAGTAACAAGATGTAACAAAGTAACAATGTGAAACAAAGTAACAGTGTGTAACAAAGTAAGAAAATGTAACAAAGTAAGGAAGTGTAACAAAGTAACAAGGTGTAACAAAGTAAGGAAGTTTAACAAAGTAACAAGGTATAACAAAGTAAGGAAGTTTAACAAAGTAACAAGGTGTAACAAAGTAAGGAAGTATAACAAAGTAGCAAGGTGTAACAAAGTAAGGAAGTGTAACAAAGTAACAATGTGTAACAAAGTAAGGAAGTGTAACAAAGTTAAGAAGTATATAAGGTAAGGAAGTGTAAAAAGTATGAAATGTAACAAACTCAGGAAGTTTAATAAACTCAGGAAGTGTAACAAACTCAGGAAGTGTAATAAACTCCGGAAGTGTAATAAACTCCGGAAGTGTAATAAACTCAGGAAGTGTAACAAACTCAGGAAGTGTAATAAACTCAGGAAGTGTAATAAACTCAGGAAGTGTAACAAACTCAGGAAGTGTAATAAACTCAGGAAGTGTAACAAACTCAGGAAGTGTAACAAACTCCGGAAGTGTAATAAACTCAGGAAGTGTAATAAACTCCGGAAGTGTGATAAACTCAGGAAGTGTAATAAACTCAGGAAGTGTAACAAACTCCGGAAGTGTAATAAACTCAGGAAGTGTAATAAACTCCGGAAGTGTAATAAACTCAGGAAGTGTAATAAACTCAGGAAGTGTAACAAACTCAGGAAGTGTAACTAGGTAAGGAAGTGTAACTAGGTAAGGAAGTTTAATAAAGTAACATGGTGTAAGGAAGTGGGATGGTGATGCATCAACTTCCAAAACAGGCACCATGAGGCAGATGTGAGAATGATGGTTTAATCAGGCATGTACACACTACAGTTGAGATTTATTCAACTGCTTTCCCATCAGTTAGAACCAGACTGCATCTGATTATAAACACTGAGGGAGAAATGCTATCATACAAATGGCAACCGGCAGACAGTTTACAATAGACCAGGATATATAATGTAGACAAAGATTTTGTCACACAACAGCAATTCATCTACAATAATGTCATAGCATTTTTCTCGATTTCACTATGGAAGAAAAAGTTTTTTATATGTAAAAAGCTTCTGTGAAAAAAAAACTAAGTTATTATTAAAATACACTTTAAACATTGAATTATTTTTGGTATATCAAATGCTAAATGGTATAATCTGGGCTTGGGGCTCCATCAGACACTAGACATAATGCTAGGATCTACCAGCTTCCTACAGTATAGGAACAGATGTATTGTCACATGTGACTTAAGATGTCAGCTGTGTATGGTATTGACCTTGACCACAGCTTTGTATCGGAATCCTTTCTCTATAACCTGTTCCTGGTGTTTACTAAATCTAAGTGAGGTGGACAGGCGGGTTTTTTCTGTGAGAATATTTTGCTGTTAATGGTGTAAGTGGCCAATTAAGGACTGTTATACATACTTTATAACTCTGGTCTGGTAACAGCTTTTATTGCTAAACTGACCTTCATGTTTTGTTAAAAACACAGAAAATATTCTTGTGGACAACCATTTGGTTGATAAAACTTACTGTATTAAAACTTTATTGAATTAAAACTTCATTTATTTTTCCTTCTTTTTTTGTTTGTTATGACCAAGATTATTTTTATATAAAAAGAATTAACAACTTGTAGAGTTTAATTATTGATAATTACACTGAGGATTGTAGCACCACACTTGTATTACTATACTTGGAATGTAAAAGAAAAGTAAGGTTTAGGACTAAAACCTTAGAAGGTTTCACAAAGATCAACATATTTATTGAAAATAATTTGTTTACAAGTAGTTTAAAGAAAATGGTCTATGTGATAAAATGTCATCTCTTCTCATGAGCTAATTTCATTTGTAAAAGGATCAGCCTTCAAAATAATAAGATTTTAAAATTGACTGTGTGTAACAAAAGTTTGATTAAGACAGGAAAGTTAAGATTGGTATATAAAAAAGAGAAAACCTCGTAACAGTCTCTGATAGAGAACCAAGTGAGATTTTCTGCATTTAATCGCTTCACTTGTGGTATGGACGGGGAATATTAAGTGGTGTTGTCTCACACTTTGATAAATAGCATGTGTAGCCAGTAGCATTGAAAGTAGAAGTAAAAAGGCTCAATCATTGCCTTGGCCAGGGGAGGCTCATTAGATTATGTACAGATCACAGGTAAAATCCTAGTGCAACAAATAATTCCCAGAACTTTGGCAAAACCCAAACTCGGGATAAAATCTCTGATGGTACACAGGTCAAAATTAACATCACTGGACATACAGATAAAACAAAGATTCCCTGACTTACTTTGATACACAGAGCAAATTACAGATCACAAGACTATAGAAAAACTCAAAGCCTCAAACAATGGTATAATGGTATTCTCCTGTAGAACAAGAGAGAATGGTGTAACCTTACGGCTGGAATGGACATTATTTTTATGGGTAGACATCAAGTAAAGCTGCTGGATCAGATAATTATTGGTATTTTCTGTAGAAGTTTATGTATTTTGTTGCATTGTCGTTACATCAGATCACTAGTACTCATACTTATTTACCATCATGTGTTGTACTTGTCAGTTTGGATGAAGTCAATGTTTGATGTCTAAATCCAACAGAAGAAGGATTGATATAGAGTGTCTGACAGAAATATATATGTTTTAATTACTAGTGCAAATTACCATACTGATAAGTGTCAAATTACACCTGTGGTAGGCTGTCGAATTACTTAGTGGTAGGCTGTCAAATTACTTAGTAGTAGGCTATCAAATTACTTAGTGGTAGACTGTCAAATAACACTATTGGTTAGCTCTCTAATTACCTCAGTGGTAGGCTGTCAAATTACACTAGTAGTAGGCTTTCAAATTACCCTATTGGTAGACTGTCAAACTACACTAGTAGTAGGCTGTCAAATTACCCTATTGGTAGGCTATCAAATTATCTTCCTGATAAGCTGTTAAATCACACTAGTAGGAGACTGTCAAATTCACCATGTGGTAGGCTGTCAAATAACACTAGTAGGAGACTGTCAAATTCACCCTGTGGTAGGCTGTCAAATAACACTAGTAGGAGACTGTCAAATTCACCCTGTGGTAGGCTGTCAAATTCACCCTGTGGTAGGCTGTCAAACTAACCTGTTGGTAGGCTGTCCCTTGTGAGAGTTGGAGGTCACTTTTTATCCCCAGTAAGGGCTAAGTACCCTACATGCTGTTACACGATAAGGGCGGGTCTAAACGAGGTGTGGTAAGGGTGAGATTCAGATGTTATAGGTGTGTATACCCAGATATATTCTGTTGAAATCTATGATTTGGAATAGATATAATGATAACTGGTATTTGTTTTGCAAAAATCATGATTGTTTTAAAAATGTAAGAATTTTTTTTTAGATTGAAATTGAAATATCGTTGAGATGTCTTAATCTTAAAACTGTTTTGAACATGTTTAATTCTTTTGAAGTTTTTAATCAGTTCTTGTTTTAATATAACTATAAGTCAGGTTCTGTACACATTAATCTGTTAGCTTTGATTGCCATTGGTTAAACCATATCTAAGCTTGGTTGAACTGAACTGTTTGAGATTTTGTAGTAGACTAGACAGATGCTTGTATCTAGTATGATACTAAGTCTGTATTGTACTTTCACATTGATGTCATCATTTACGTACTATATGAGTTTTTATGTATCCTTCAAAACATACCCACTTTATAGCTGAGTTACTCTGAGGTGTTCAGATTCTCTTTTGAAATTTTAATTATAATCTTAATCCTCATGTAATTTCTTTTTTTTTTCAGATTCATGAGGCCCTTGAAGATGGAGAAGATTTGAGACGGCAGCTCACTGCAGCGAAGAAAAAGTCATCTAGACTTGCTACAGAGATGCAGGATATTAAGCTCCATCTAGAGGAACAGATCACCCGAAACAATGAACTGGAGCGTAAACAACGCAGGTAAGGTGATGTGTGTTGTTTATAGGTAAGCTTAGGCCATGTCATTTGTCTAGGTAAGGTCAAGGTCAGAGGTTCAGTCTTAATAAGGAAAAGGTTAGATATTCTGTCTAGGTAAGGTCAAGGTCCAATGTTCTGTCTAGGTAAGGTCAAGGTCAGATGTTCTGTCTTGATATGGAAAAGGTTAGATATTCTCTCTAGGTAAGGTCAGGGTCATATGTTCTGTCTAGGTAAGGTCAAGGTCAGATGTTCTGTCTAGGTAAGGTCAGGGTCATATGTTCTGTCTAGGTAAGGTCAAGGTCAGTCAAGATTGTTTTTGTTGATAGTCATACATATGCTGTTGGACCTAAAACCACAAGTGGAATAGTCCATTTTGAAAATAAACAATTGGATGTGTACAGAAAGTTTACAGCTGTGACTGATTGAAAAGTAGAATTTGACCGATTGTTTACTAATCATATCTAATTTGACAGGTTTGACTCAGAGTTAAGCAAGGCAAGTGATGAAGGAAAAGATGAGCGAACTAGTCGTGAGAAATTACAGCGCGAAAAGGATCATCTAACATCTGAGCTGTACACAAAGGATCAGGAGATAGAGGTCAGTAAATGGTCAAATTCTGTCCGACTGGTCATCCTGTTGTCAATGGTTATGTTATAGATATGTATGAGTGACTGTGGTTAGTTGATATAGAAATTAAATTTTTTTCTGATCTTTCACTAGAGAGGTAAAGAACCTACATTATGTACCAGAGGCCTCATATTCTGACTATAACAAGGGAGATAAGTAGAATCAATCTGACATTAAAGGGTATCCAACTGCAAAGTAAACAGAAAAATGCACTTTTTTGACTATATAATGTTTTCATTGTTTGCTTTGCAGAGACTTCGCCTTGATTTGGAAACACAAACAGAAAAGGCAAGTCGTTTAGACCGTGAGCTGATGGACATTACTCTGACAAGTACCAAGGGAACTGATAAGGAGGTTAGTACTGTAGCGGTTAGTTATATGTGGAATGTGAAACTTGTATTCTGAAAATTGAAGGTCAAACAGTTAAAATGTGAAAATAGTACTGTAAATAGTGTGATGTGAGACATGACTATAAAAAGCGAAACATTAAATGTTGAAATATGAAAGGTCAAGTTTTGAAATTTTGAAGTATGAATAAACAAATATTGATATTGGATATGTAACTGATAGGCTGTGTAACATTTAAATGGTAAATGTTTTGTTATTGAAGGTGATGTCACTCAAGAAATCTAAACACGAGTTAGAGATGAAAGTAAAAGACCAAGAGGAAGAGCTTGACGACCAGGCAGGCCAGATACAGCAACTCGAACAGGTAACCATAGCAACTGTTCTCCTTAATAATGGACCAGTACACTTCAGAGTTATAACAAAGTCTGATTCTCACCTGACTTATGTTAAACCCAGAATTTTGTGCATTTCAAACTGACCACAAATTGTCCTGTAGAAAATGTTTAGAAAATCTTCTCCCATCATAGCCTTATGATGTACATAAGAATATGTAACGAGTCCTTGTTGATGTTATATTTCAGACAAAGACAAGACTAGAGATGAACCTTGAGCGATTACGACAAACACACATGAAAGAATTGGAGGAAAAGGAAGAAGAAATGCAGGAAAATAGATATGCCACACAGAAAAAGGTCAGTTTATAGCCCCCTATCATCAGATGGTGTGTTGTTCAAATTCTCCTGCATTCGTGTATTGTCATCTGACCTTAAGCAATTCTTTTCACTCTTTCTTGAGAGGTACTGGATGGATGTTTATCAAATTTCATTAAAAAAAAGTTCCTGGTCCCTAATAATGCCCTTATAATTTTGAGACTGGTAAAAACAAACTTTTCACGATTAAAGTTTGTTATTTCTGGAGAATTATCACAGTATTTTATCTTGTAATACAGTTAAAACACATGGAGAACCAAATGGAGGAGGAATATGAGGATAAGAAACGACTACAAGCTGAAAAACGGGATGTGGAGAGACAGCTTCAGGAGATTAACGCCAGCAGGTCTCATCGTGATAAAGGTTAGAGTTCACAAATTGATCATAAAAAAGGTCAAAGTTCATGTAGACACAAAGGTCAGCTTTCAGGCTATTGTTCAAATACTGTGTAAAGGTCAAAGTAAATGTTAAAATCACATTTTTCCTACCAATTGTAGATGGAGAGAAGCGTTTGAGACTTGAACTAAGGAAGACCAAGGCCCTACTCCGAGATGCTGAGACTGTCCTTCAAAAGATGAGAGGCTCTGAGGGAACAAAAGCAATCATCAAACAACTTAGAAACAGGGTAAGTTCAAGGAAAGTATAAATACAGGATTATAATGTACAGGGTAGGAATAAGTGCAGGAAAATGATTAACTTGAGAAAGAGGGCAAATACAGGAACAGGGTGATGACAGGAATAGGATCAATACAGGATAGGGTAAAAACAGCATTAGAACATGTACAGGGATAGAGTAAATACAAGAACAGAGACAGGGTTCAGAAGTAAGATCATGACAGGATAGGGTAAAAACAAGATTAGAACATGTACAGGGACAGGGTAAAAACAAGAAAAGAGACAGGGTACAGAAATAAGATCATGACAGGATAGAGAAAGAACAGGATAAGGCATATCAAGGATAGATTAAGCACTGGAATAGAATAATTACAATAACAAGGAAAGCACAGGAACAGAGGAAGTTTGGGTATATCAGCATATTGAATCAAATAGGTTTTTGTGAAAAAAAATCATTAATAGAAATTATATTGATTTCATTTCATCATTCTGTGGTTCTAGATTCTTAAGTATATATATTGTCAAGCTCTTGTACAATTACGACATTGAATTCAAATCTGGAACTTTCAACAACATTACTGTATATGATATATATTTGACATTGACTTTTTTTTTAATTCAGCTTGAAGATTCAGAGTTTACAGCAGCAACAGCCGTCAAAGCCAAGAAAACCATGGAACTGGAGATACAGGACCTTCAACAACAACTGGATGATTTGTTTAAAGCCAAGACAGAGGTAAAAACCACCGTTTACACCCTCTTACTTCTATCAAATCAGTGGTCATTAACACAAGAATCAATTAGTTGTTGGTAAAGTGTAGATTTTGATGTTTCTCCTCAAACTCACAAACACAATGTTGTTTTACAGGCAGACAATAAAGCGATGGTACTATTGCGTGAGAAGTCAGACTTACAGAGCCAACTAGAAGAGAATGAGGAGGACATGAATGATATATTGAAAAAATACAAAACAGTTGTACATCAGGTAGGTCTGTTAGATACGGATGTTACGGGAGGTACAGATATAATACACCTTTACAGGAGGTACAGATATAATACACCTTTACGGGAGGTACAGATATAATACACCTTTACAGGAGGTACAGATATAATACACCTTTACAGGAGGTACAGATATAATACACCTTTACAGGGGGTACAGATATAATACACCTTTACAGGAGGTACAGATATAATACACCTTTACGGGAGGTACAGATATAATACACCTTTACAGGAGGTACAGATATAATAAACCTTTACAGGAGGTACAGATATAATACACCTTTACAGGAGGTACAGATATAATACACCTTTACGGGAGGTACAGATATAAAAAACTTTACGGGAGGTACAGATATAATAAACCTTTACGGGAGATACAGATATAATAAACCTTTACGGGAGATACAGATATAATACACCTTTACGGGAGATACAGATATAATACACCTTTACGGGAGGTACAGATATAATACATCTTTAAGGGAGGTCAGTATATTATTGGTGTACAGTAACATCGAATGATTTCTATAGATCAGAATGTTATCTTGAATGATACCTAAAATAATATTACAAAGAATTTAATAAGTTCATAGTGAATTGGATACAAAACAAACCTAAGACAGATATTACCCATAGTTCATAGTGATATAAAAACCTAAGACAGATGTTACCCATAATTTATAGTGATACAAAATCCGAAGACAGATATTACCCATAATTCATAGTGATATAAAAACCTAAGATAGATATTACCCATAGTTCATAGTGATACAAAAACCTAAGACAGATATTACCCATAGTTCATAGTGATACAAAATCCTAAGACAGATATTACCCATAGTTCATAGTGGTACAAAAACCTAAGACAGATATTACCCATAATTCATAGTGGTACAAAAACCTAAGACAGATATTACCCATAGTTCATAGTGGTACAAAAACCTAAGACAGGTATTACCCAAAATGATACAAAACAAACCTAAGACAGATAGTAGCAGTTCAGTCTTTACAAACCTCACATGCATACACAGAGAATGTTATATTTAAGGGATTTTAAAGTTTTTAAATTAAATTTGTTCGTTGATTTGATTTCAGCAATCAGTGGACCAGGTAACATTGTCTGACCAACTCCAGCAGATTGATGAATTGACAACAGATAAAGAAAAGTTACGACAGGAGGTAGGACTTCCTTGCACTCAACTTTCTCGCAGTTATCCCCCCTGAATTATGTTACTGATTGTGAAACCTTTTCTGACTGTGATCTATATTAAACCAGATTTATTTCTGCTCTCATTTTGTTGACTGATTTCTTACAGACAGTTTTTTGTTCAATGTGTCCGTTAGACACCTACCCATGTTATGTTATCTTTGTATTTGTTACAAATCATATATTGTTTATGTCACATGACATGTTTGATTATCACATGACCTGTTTAATTTATTACAACATCTGTTGAGTCACATGATATTCATAATAACGTGGTTGTCTCGTTTACTTGTTAGATGTCAGAACTTCAGATGAAGGTTCAGACACTGGAAGAGACCAGCGTAGATAAGAACACAGTACAACGTCTCGAGAGCAAGATACGTGACCTTGAAAACAGACTTGACCTTGAGCAGACTACCAAACATAGAGTAGAGGTTGGTACCAACACCTGTATAGAAATTTTCACCAGTGAGGAAATATTGAAACCCGATCAGAATACTTTGGAATTTTGATAACATTTCATTGCCAGATTACAAACATAGTATAAAAATTAAAAATAAACTTTAGATCTTTTCTTCCTTTTGATCCTCAACATCAGCAGCAAAATCAGAAGTGAATATGACATTTGTAGATGTACTGAAAATATAGAATTTCCATTTTGTGTGTACATTATATGACCTTTACATTCAGGTCCAGCTAAACCGTACCAAAGAGTCCCTAGATAAAGCCACGGAGGACAAGAGAATTACAACAGCATCCAAACAACAGACTGATGAGAATCTGAAGAGGACACAGCGCCAACTTCGTGACCAAAGAGAGGAGTTCTCTGATGCACAGAAACGTGAATTGGAGAGCTCACAAAAAAGCAAAGAATTAGAAAATAAAGTGTCGGAGTTAGAATCAGATTATGAACAAAACCAATCTGACCTGAAACTTGCCTTCAAGAGGATATCAGATCTACAAGCTGCTCTGGAGGAAGACTTGGACAGTGGTGACAGTCTTCTGGGTTCAGACGATGAGTAAGTCAGGCATATATCAGTGGTGGTTAAATCAGTCAGGCATATATCAGTGATGGTTAAATCAGTCAGGGATATATCAGTGATGGTTAAATCAGTCAGGGATATATCAGTGATGGTTAAATCAGTCAGGGATATATCAGTGATGGTTAAATCAGTCAGGGATATGTCAGTGGTGGTTAAATCAGTCAAGGATATATCAGTGATGGTTACATCAGTCAGGGATATATCAGTGATGGTTAAATCAGTCAGGGATATATCAGTGATGGTTAAATCAGTCCAGGATATATCAGTGGTTGTTAAATCAGTCAGGGATATATCAGTGATGGTTACATCAGTCAGGGATATATCAGTGATGGTTAAATCAGTCAGGGATATATCAGTGGTGGTTAAATCAGTCAGGGATATATCAGTGATGGTTAAATCAGTCAGGGATATATCAGTGATGGTTAAATCAGTCAGGGATATATCAGTGATGGTTAAATCAGTCAGGGATATATCAGTGGTGGTTAAATCAGTCAGGGATATATCAGTGGTGGTTAAATCAGTCAGGGATATATCAGTGATGGTTAAATCAGTCAAGGATATATCAGTGGTTGTTAAATCAGTCAGGGATATATCAGTGATGGTTAAATCAGTCAGGGATATATCAGTGGTGGTTAAATCAGTCAGGGATATATCAGTGGTTGTTAAATCAGTCAGGGATATATCAGTGGTGGTTAAATCAGTCAGGGATATATCAGTGATGGTTAAATCATTCAGGGATATATCAGTGATGGTTAAATCAGTCAAGGATATATCAGTGATGGTTAAATCAGTCAGGGATATATCAGTGATGGTTAAATCAGTCAGGGATATATCAGTGATGGTTAAATCAGTCAAGGATATATCAGTGATGGTTAAATCAGTCAGGGATATATCAGTGGTGGTTAAATCAGTCAAGGATATATCAGGGATGGTTACATCAGTCAGGGATATATCAGTGATGGTTAAATCAGTCCAGGATATATCAGTGATGGTTAAATCAGTCAGGGATATGTCAGTGATGGTTAAATCAGTCCGGGATATATCAGTGATGGTTAAATCAGTCCAGGATATATCAGTGATGGTTAAATCAGTCAGGCATATATAAGTAGATTTCACCTACTAATTACACCTTTATTCTTAGGGAGGTTTGATACATGTTACTGAACCAGTTCTGTATCTTGTTCTGGTTTTAAGGTGTTTGATTAAAATGCTGGTGAACTGATGGTTTACCATTTATCCAATATATTCACCCTGTTGTTTTTTTCAATCATGCCTAAAACCATTTAGTTATGCCCTTTTTTTAATTAGTTCTAAATTGTATTGAATGATTAAATGATATTATCCTATTTACAAAATGGTGAAATGGGAAGGAGTCGAATAATGGCAAATGTTTCCCGTCACTCTTATGTTTCTTTACACTTTTTCACTGTGACATTGATAAGAAACTTTTTGTTTACAGGGACGATTCTGATGCTGATTCTGATATGGATTCCATGTATTTAACCAATCATAAACCTCCTTCATTAATACGACACCATGGTATCGGCAGTCCACGTTCCAGTTCTCATTCCGCAGCCAGTAGTATAGGCAGTCCCAGATCGCCTAGTGTTTCAGAATCATCAAGTAAGATCAAGTCAAATGTTGCTGAAAAATGTCTAAAATGCTTGAAGGCAACTAGTCTTTTTTTCTGAGGTATATTGCAAATATTCTTTATATTTGAAGAAAGACTTTTAAAATTTTGTCTTCTTGTAATGAATTAAGCAAAGTCAGACTGAGGTTTAACTTTTCAAACAGCAATGACATTCAGATCAATGTTAAGAATTTAAGTTTAACTAGATAAAGTCCAGGATATTGAGATGGTACTTCGCTATTTTTGAACCCTGTTTTAATTCAATGGCTGTGTGTTTGTGTGTTTTCAGGTCATGCATGACACTAACAGGTGTGAGAGGGCTATGTGCAACTACCAGCTTCACTGCGGCTTGTGAAGTGGAAGATGTCAAAGGTCAGCATAGGTCAATTTCCTCAAGGTCAGCTGCTTGTGGATATATTGCCTGACCTTGACATGAAAAAATGGCTACTTAACTGTGATATAGAAATCATGTAACAGACAGAATCAGGTGACCTAATGCCACTGTACAAAGATTCCTGTAAGTGCTCTGTCTAACCAACTGACAGAAAATCATGTGATACAAAAGAGTTCTATGATTGGTTTATTCATTCAAACTTCTTGACCAATGATTGTGAAGTTTAAATTCCTGGAATGTGCTCACCTGCCAAGGCAACATTTGTTTACTTGGACAGGAAATGATTTCTTGGATAAGATATTGGCTAGGACTGTGCTTGCCTACATGGACAGGAAACATTTTCTGAGATGAATTTGAAGTTGTGCTGTGCCGCTACCAGACATTAAATAACCTGGATTGGGATTACCTTTATCAACCTAGACCAGGAGAAATCCTGTGCTTAGTTGTACCACCATATTTACTTATATTGATATAGACGATTGTCCTTATAACAATTATCTACTGGTAAATATTTGTGTGGTCCTGTTAAGATGGCATCCACATATCTCTACTATCTAGCCATACATGACAGGGTATTTCTAATTCTGGGTGCTAAAGGGTAACATGTGATCTGGACACCGAAAACAACAGGACAATTCCTCGATCTCTGTCCATCCAATTAGTCCATCCACCAGCCTGAAATAAGAAACCATTTAATGTTTTACAATTACCAAAAGATTTACATCTATCCGCTTGCCAGCTCCCCTGAAGCTAATTTCGTGGATTAGCAGCCTAGCATTTTATTGGTGAGGTAGTACTGACTTTCTGTAGTGGGGATGACACAGTTCATTTCTTCATCTTGTATTCATTTCACCAAATATACTGTGTGGTATGATGATCTCTCATTTAATAGGACATGTAATTTGAATTTCCAGACTCCAAGAGTTTATGGTACATGTGTTTTGGTTACATGCATATCATACTATGGTAACATGTATGTCGTAACTATGGTGACATGTATATTGTAATTATGGTAACATGTATGTCATAACTATGGTGACATGTATATCGTAACTACGGTAACATGTATGTCTAGACTAACCTGGAAGTGCTATGTAGATTTAGGTTGTAGATGAGTTGGGACCAATCTGTTTCCTTATCTGCTCATCTCATGCATGTTTTAGTTAGATAGTTTGTGTTTAACTTTCAACCAGATGTTCAAATTAATTTATGAAATTATGTACATGTACATATAAATATGTATTTGTTGAGATCATTAATCCAAAACTAAATCAAATGTAGTCGAAAGTCACCAAAATATTTTTGTAATGATGTAGAAATTTATTTGAACATGTCTCTTTTGGATGTACATGTTGTTAAGGTATTACTGCTTGTCTAGGCTGTATCACTTGGTCTCTTACTGCCATGCTCAACACTAGCCAGATATACCTATAAATTACCACTGGTAAGAGTAGGTCTACAGAGCTTACTCTCATCAATATTGAAATCTATGAACTTTAGTGTGTGTATATTGTGGTTTGTGGAAAATATCAGTCTCAATATGAGACCAGAAGTAGACTCCTAGGTGTGAAATTGTTTATATATACAAAGTTACTGATTCTTGCAATAATTACAGACAAATATGATAGGGTTCTGCCTAGTTACCATAATTTATTCTGTGGTCATTCAAGTGTTTGACACTCATTTCCCTGTCATGCAAAGGTTTTATTTGGTTCACTGAAGTTGAGTATATGTACTTGGATGAAATGGTTAAACTTGAATAGAAACCAACAGGTACAGAGGGACCAAGACCTACTTAAATAAAGTTTGGCAACATTTTAGAATTTCTGCATGAAAAAAAAATGTTATGACATTCAATACCTGTGAAAAAAGAATACACTAGGGTTTTGGTCTGTTGTTTTTTGTTTGAAAAAGAATTTCTAAAATTTTGCATTTTAAACTTTACCAATTTTGTTTTCTGGACACCTGGAACAGGTGTATTTACCTATGTACCTAGCCACCAGGATGACTAGTTTACACACAAGCTGCCAAATCATACTTAGTAGCATATTTACTGCTTGACTAATTATAGAATGGTTCAAGTGACCAATTCATTATCAAGATTACTAATGCAATCTTCTATATATTATAAAAGTTAATATATTTTTTAATGAAAACAAGCTGTTTTATCAAGTTCACTAATTATTCAATACATATTGATGAGTTACTTTTGAAATCTTTTGAAATATATTGCTTGTGTAAAATATAGCACAGAATTTTATTCCATTCGTTTCTAAATACTGTTATCTCTATCTGTTAATCTATTTAATATTACATTTGAGCTTTATGTTATCGGGTTATTGTGTTCTAGCTTTACAAGGAGAGTAGTATTGCTGACAAATGGTTGCTATATACACAGAGTAAACAGAGTATATTGTATAGAATATTCTATCATATATCAATTTATATGAAGAAAACATAAAATTATATCTTAAATCACACCTCAGTTATGATGATTGAAGGGTGAATTGCCAAAATCCTAACATAGCAGTAAACATGATTATCTCCCTTGTAGCATATGACGAAACCTTTTTTCAAACTGATGTTCATGTTTTCATGATTTTAAACTAAAATTTATTTTGTTACATTCTTCAAATTCTTATGCTTTGGGTTGAAATAAATTTTTCATTTTAATGATATTAGTTCCACAAGCAAAAATGTGCAAAAATCAACCTGATTTCAGTAAAATTAGCCAATCATGGAAATTCTTGGAGATAATTGTATAAATTTGTGTTAGATAAGCTGTTTGATTGGCTGTTATATAGTATGTGTGAACTCAGCATCTCAAACATGGACACAAAGTGTTATAAGGGGATTAGTAAACATTTCATCTGTCAGTATCTACATTTAAATCTGACCTGTTTCTCACATGTTATATTTAAATCTCATTACCTTTCATCTAGTTATCAGGTGTAAATTTTTAAAGTTAATTATTTGATATGCATTTAAATAAAACAGAAATATTCTGCAAATATGGTTTTAAGTTTTGTCTGTTTATAAACATCAGCCGAAGGAAAACCTGGTCAGAATATTGATTGATGGTCACTTGGGGGTAGATGTTGGGTAATACATCTACTGGATTTAAATTGATCTCGCACATAACCTGTCTTTCCTTGGCAATAATTCTCATATAGTACACACACAGTTTGTAGTTTTACCATTAAAAAGGAAATTCATGGATGGAGTTCAAAACAATTGTTCCGTGAGGAAATCCTTCCATGTTAAACAAGACAGTCAACCTTACATTCTCTAGAATCTACAAAACAAGGAAATACTGACATGCTGTGGATCAGCCAGGATCAATTTGCATACCATCAAGTCATCATCCTTCACTCAAATTTCTTTTCAAGTTTGAAATATTTCCAGTTGAAATTAAACAAATTATGCACAGAAATCTTCTTTACTTATATCTACCATAGTAAACTTTACCCCTCTCGCCACAGGGAAATTTGAGACCCAGGGACCATGAAATTCGCAGTTCTGGTAAAGCACCTTATGACGCTTCCATCCAAGAAGAGCATTTACCGCTGCCATTTTTGGGTATTGAAAAGAAGATTTTCAAAATATAATTCAATTTGACCCCTTTTGGCCCCACCCCGCAACCCCATGGGGTTTCAGCAAAATTTAAGTGAAATCTGTTCAGGAGTTTTTGAGAAGTAGTCGAAAATCATACAAGTTTACGGACACACGACGCGAGACAAAGGGCGATAGCGATATGTCACCATGAGACTTTGTCTCAGGTAACTTTAAAAAAAACATCGAACTCACCCAAATTTTTATTGCTCAAAGGAATGGATTATTTTTCAATGAGATCATGATGGCGACCATAAAACAGGACATAACGCTGTGGTTTAAACGCGTTCGTCTTCAGCACTGAATTAGAACATCCAGGTGTCCAATTCGTATTCTCATTTCTACTCTAATCGAGATATAAATGTCATCTTGTAATTTCGTCACATATCGGATGTTATAATGCAACACTCTTGTCCTCCCCGGTCTTCTTGTCGATTCAATCTGTCTTCGTTTTCCCGATATATTCTTTATTTTCCTTATTTCCGGTTTGTTCTTACTAAGTGTTCGATCCAGTCTAACTGATTTTTTCCACTGTACGTATAGTGTGTTGTGATGAAAATGTATCAAGGACATTCTTTAACGTGTTACGAATTAGCGTACATGTAACTAGCAGAAGAAACGCCCTACTGGTGTCATTTATGATCTACATATTAGCTACATGTTGTTTTTACTAAATACACGGAATATTTCAATACGAGAACAACATTGCAGGGTGATATTGCATGCTTCATTTATTGTAACATTTCCCATGTTATCTTACAATGGAGCATATGTATCTAATAGTGTTTTGAAGTCGCATTAGTGTACTGTTTTCTGTGTGTGTATTAATTGCCTAGTGAATATGCCGTGTCATTGTGGTTATGTTTCTGACTATTTCTCGTACTTCAGGTTGTTTCGTTGTGGACCAGACAATATCAATTTACTAAAACATCACCTTATTTATATCAGTGCCTACTTCATATGTTGTCTTCGTGTTCGGGTACCATTTTTCGGCACCAATGTGTAAACGCACTACCCCTATGTTTTGTTACTGTTGTAGAAAACATTGATTTCTTTACACATTGTACTGGTTTATATAAGGAATGTGCTCTATACAATATCCCTTCCGTGAAATGTCCGTGATCAGAACATTATCAACAACAAAGAAATAACAAACATGACAACAAAATCATATTTAAATTCAATAAAAATTGGGTAAAATATGATCAGGAAAAAGATTTATATAGAGATATCGGAAGAAGATACAAGGAGATTAAGGCCAGATGTTCCGGAAGAGTAAGCGTCTTTATCTTTATGATCAACGACAGCTGTAAATTTTGGTCAATCCAGGTAAGGCCCTACTCCCAAATGAGATGACGGTAAAAAGCAAAGGAACCAACAGGCAAACTAACGAGAATCAAACACGTCCAGCCTTATATCGCATTAGGAATTAGAATACTCCCGGATTATATGATAACGACGAGCATAAAACTGTATACCTTCAGCTTCCTAACGGTACAAAAATCATACAGCTCGTGTTGACGTGGTTATTTAACACATTTTCGACCACTTTCATGATATTTTCAGCATGGTTTGAGGATTAAAAGGCGCTCAACACGTTACCAGAAAATCAGTGTTGTAGATGGTAGTTTTCAGGATTTACGATGAAAATATTACAAACTTGACATATATTCTAAAATGTTCCGTTGGAAAATTAAAACAGGACAGTTCTGCTGAGCAAACACAGATTTAAGGGCAATAGTGACTGTGATGTCACTGAGATGTGGTAACCATCATTTCCCTCCCCCTAAGGAAACAAAGCCATTATACGTCAGCTGTTATCCAGTACCAATCCATCGTTCTATCAGCCCGCTGTATTTCACGACATTCCATACCTATAACTCGTTTAAGGTCTTAGCTAGTGACCTTTCCTTCACTGAAATCGTCAAATTGTTCATAAATCACCAGCCATCAGCTGATACTATTTTATTATAATTACATTCTTAACGGCCCGTCAACACATAAAAGGTCATAAGGGTCATCAACCGGTGAAAGACAACGATCCAAAAGGAAATAACATCAAACAAACTAAAAGGTAAAAGACAAATGCTAAAAAAACAAATTGTTATATCATCACAAAAGATGAAAGTGGTAGGTCATATCCTGTAATATAGACCAACATCTTTCTGATAACATAGGATTGGATAAAGCAAAACAGTTTCAAAAAGAGTCTTTAGACTTGTAACGTTACGATAAAAAAACTTCTCGCGTAGACCGGTCAATACAGTCCAATAACAATGTTTAACGGTGAATGGCTCGTCACATGCTATGAACTGAGGATTCGCCTTTCAACATTTTGAATGTGTAAGGTAAGCGACTGGTACTAGAACGAAAAATATTACATTTCACACGAGGAAGTTTTCAGACATGTTACAATTTTTAATCGTAGATGTTGGTCAGAAAATGATGACGATATAAACCACTTTAGTTTAATATAAACCTAGAAGTAGATAATAAACTGAACGATATGTTAATACGATAATTACATAACAGCGTCAACAGACAAGTTTCAAATGTACCAAAGGGGTGATATCAATACCACAGAGTCAAAATATACCACAGAGTAATGACACAAAGATGAAATTTACCTGTGTCAATATATACCATATAGTCATCACACTAAGGTGAAATTTACCTGTGTCAAAATATACCACAGAGTCAACTCACAAAGATGAAATTTACCTGTGTCAAAATATACCACAGAGTCGCAATTAAAATATACAAGTTTACAACATCGTTAATATAAGACGAAAAACTACAACAATGTTTTTGTACAGGGACCAATCTCACCACACAACTGACAAGGTATGTCACTGTGCTATCATACCGTACCACATCCCCAGTAAATTGCAATGTCGGAACAAGAAGGACTACGAAACGCCCTCCCACCAACCCAAAACAAAAGAAACTTCATTATGTAACAGTTTCGTTCGCATTGCACTTTCCAGTGACCTTTGGGGTCAGAAGTACACGATCGGCTAAAACCTATACACCAGCCTCGTGATCGCTTCGGACGAAACAAATATATATCAATTTCAAAATACATAAAAACTGAAATTCTTTATCGAGCGCAAACCATTTGAAACCAGGTAATGTTCGATTGTGTGCTAGCTACATATACTATCTGTACTTAACTGTACATGGTTGCGTTACATAATCAGTTCGTATAGACATGCCCCAGCATGGCGTCTTCACTGTCTTTCAGCGTTTCAACATAATCGTTCATGGATATGTTATTTTTGATCTTTTTCTTTAGAAGCAGCTTGTGAAACGAAAACAGAAAAAAAAATCAATAAACACGATTAACAAATGTCTATTTATAGACTTTTTTTTTACAATAAAGGTTCATACATACTTAGGTTTTATGTACATGATGTTTCAATTTATATGTAAATGTATGTATGGTAACTAAGTCATGTGATCACTGGTTGGTCAGTATACATGTAATTGGCCCATGTGGGGCTTCGGTGATCCCCGTTTGTCCGACCTGGGGTCAGTTTGCCCCTACGGAGCTGTTGAAAACCCAACTTCAGCAGCATTTTTCAGACACTTCGACGCCATATTGATATTTATTATTCACCTGTATTTATTTTACAACACGCCCCACCAACAACCCTATTGTACCTCCCTGTAATTGGTATGTGTGAGTTTGTATTTCTTGTATCCTTAGTTTGATTAGGGACGTATTATACGTCCCTGGTTTGATATCGACCACGTCAAAATAATTCTTATCAAATTTTCTGTATATAACACACTTTGTTTGTAAAGGTAGTTTTCATCAAGATGTTTTTATGTGTATATAATTATGTTTATAAAATAGTTATTCACAAGATATATATATATATAAGCAGAGTTCCTGTGCTTCTCCTTTGATCATTTTGCCTATCTGCCGGGCGCAGGTTTCCTCTCTGGGTTTTTTCCTGAAGTGCACTATGATCGCGAAGAAGGGGTTTGAAAGTTTGGTGTTTACTGAAACGTAGGCGTAGTTTCGCTCACCTTTGCTCCAAATATGTTATTATGAAATTTTTATATGTACATGTACTAGGTAAAAAATAAACGGCTTCCCTATTCTAAAAAAGGGCCGTTTGCCAGGATTTTACAGCCAATTTGATTGTTTGGTATTCTTGACATTTAGAGCAAACAGAGCTCGTGGTATGGATCATTTCTTTTATACTTTAGCAGGACAAAAATGTTGTTTACATAAACATTTCAAATAGTTGCTGTTGAGTTTGTGCTTTTTCATATGTAAAATGTTGCACGCGCTTAGATCTATATCTAAGTCCATGATTATTTGTAGAAACAAATGGACCAGTTCTTCCAGTTTATTTGTCTGAAGACTAAGGAAGTCACATATTTATAACCATGTGATAGAGTATCAAGTTTCCGCATTAACAATATCGACTATGTATAAGAAAACAACAGTGATGTACCGCCTCGGTGAGATGTACTTAAGTTTTAAAGCCACAATTTAGTTTTTAGTTCTATCTTTAGGTCAAAATATTTCTAGAATTTACAACTTTAGAAAGAGTTTATGATAAATTATAGATAATCTCGCAGTGTGTATTTATCATAGACCTGTTTGGTGCAGCGAAAAATAAAACCCCGTTTGTCCTTGGTATGAGATTCAGGGGAAGATTAGTATACCCGCTTATTGACAGAAATCCGTCCTGGCCCTGGTTGTTGAAAGACTGGTTAGGTCATAATTAGTGGCTAATGGAAAATTTCAAACGTGAATTAATCTAAATTGGAAACATTCTTTTTTATTTTACAGCTGTATGTGTGATGAGACAGACCAGTTTAGTATGATTTTACTTGTTACTTTTGTATTTTTTAATATTCTTGTTGGTACTGTGAGTTTGAAATTTCCACTAAACACCGGTTAACTTTAATTGATTTTTGAGTAACCGTGCTCTGGTCTGTGTCCATCATTGTAAACCCCATCTCTAATATCGGTTCTCGCTGTTTGTATCTATAAACAGATATCATCCAGTATAACAAGTGATCTGAAGATGTTATAGTTTTAAAATATTATATATTATGTACTAATAGTATCACATGTTATCAAATGCTAGAAAAAAATTCCTTTTTCTTTATGAAGTTGAACGTTTTTGATGCTCGTTGGTACATATCGTGATTCCAATATTTTTACCTTTTTTCTTATTTGGGAACGTGACATTACTTACTTGGATTTACATAGCGAAACACTTGGTCTTATTCTCTTCGCACATTTTTAGGAGTCACCATGCAAATCGTTCTTTTGATCATATTTTGCCCTAATTTGATTGAATTTGTGTTTGAATTAAGATTTTGTTAACACGTCGGAAGTTTCTTTGTCGTTTTTGTTGAAAATTCTTTTTGGAGAAGGATTTCTTCCTGAATGTACAAAAGATACAAAAGAGAACAGCACATTCATACTTTAGATTTTAATACAGTAGAGCAGAAACAATGAATTAAACTGCATTATACAGATGTTTCGTCCTTGTAGGACTCGTCAGTGATGTTACATTATACAGATGTTTCGTCCTTGTAGGACTCGTCAGTGATGCTACATTATACAGATGTTTCGTCCTTGTAGGACTCGTCAGTGATGCTACATCACACAGCTGTTTCGTCCTTGTAGGACTCGTCAGTGATGCTACATTATACAGATGTTTCGTCCTTGTAGGACTCGTTAGTGATGCTAAGTGCCTAAGGTGTTGACAAATAGGAGGCAACTGAGGAAAACTAAAATTGGTCGTAAATATCGATAAACCGCAGTACGTATAAGCAAAACACATCCACTCAGAGCGACTTGACAGGGCGGATTTCTCACAGAAAACCTATTGATTGTAGAGTTGTTACTTTTCGTAACGATTCATGCGAACTTCTTTTGAATAGAATGGAAAGGTGTTAATTTAGAATTTTATTTTAAAAGATTAGTTTCCGAGACAAGAGAAATAACTACATCGTAGTCTTATTCCCCTCGTCATTTTAACATTTGTTTAGATCAGTTTAGATTTTCTCCTCCTGAAAACTCTAGCGTCACTTAAACAATACTTTTGTTATCGTTCTGTGTCGTCATTAACGCTACCTCGTAACATAATCCATGTTAAACATCACCTCATTAAATGTATTTACCATACCTATGTTGGAGAAGCAGGGAATCACTGTCCGCTAATGGAAAGTTTACATTAGGAAGTTGAAACCACCAGGCTTATCATACAGCCTGGAGGAAAGCCTTTGAAGGGATATGGTTATGAAGTCTGGGATATCTACTGTAATCTGTTCAATCCACGCTGAAAAATGTGTGATCGTCTTCATTATTACTAACTAGGAAGTCTACTGTGTGTGGTGTGATTTGTGTCTTTCGTACAATCTTCTGTATTGCAGATGGAAAGACACTGCTGGTGGACTTTTGTTTCCCGAAGTTTGCCGCAACCTACATGTCACGTTTTAAATCACTCGAATGGTTGCATTGTTCAGAATATACATGTATTTGACATTCTTCTAAAATTCACAGATATGTGAAAATTAGGAAATTACTGAATTATGTAGCTAGTGCTCGTTACAGATTTTGACATTTCTTTCAATCACTTTGCATTTTCCTCAACTGCCTCCTAGGTTTGATATCTAGGCCCTTGGAATCAGTGACGAGTCCTAGAAGGACGAAATAGCTATGTGATGTAGCATCACTGATGAGTCCTAGAAGGACGAAACATCTGTATGATGAAGCATCACAGATGAGTCCTAGAAGGACGGAACAGTTGTATGATGTAGCATCACTGACGTGTCCCAGAAGGACGAAACAGTTGTATGATGTAGCATCACTGAGGAGACATAGAAGGATGAAACAGCTGTATGATGAAGCATCACGGATGAGTCCTAGAAGGACGAAACAGCTGTATGATGTAGCATCACTGATGAGTCCTAGAAGGACGAAACAGTTGTATGATGTAGCATCACGGATGAGTCCTAGAAGGACGGAACAGTTGTATGATGTAGCATCACTGACGTGTCCCAGAAGGACGAAACAGTTGTATGATGTAGCATCACTGACGTGTCCCAGAAGGACGAAACAGTTGTATGATGTAGCATCACTGAGGAGACATAGAATGACGAAACAGCTGTATGATGTAACATCACTGACGTGTCCCAGAAGGACGAAACAGTTGTATGATGTAGCATCACTGACGAGTCCTAGAAGGACGAAACAGCTGTATGATGTAGCATCACTGATGATTCCTAGAAGGACGAAACAGCTGTATGATGTAGCATCACTGATGAGTCCTAGAAGGACGAAACAGCTGTATGATGTAACATCACTGATGATTCCTAGAAGGACGAAACAGCTGTATGATGTAACATCACTGATGATTCCTAGAAGGACGAAACAGCTGTATGATGTAACATCACTGACGCGTCCTAGAAGGACGAAACAACTGTATGATGTAGCATCACTGACGTGTCCTAGAAGGACGAAACAGTTGTATGATGTAACATCACTGATGAGTCCTAGACGGACGAAACAGCTGTATGATGTAGCATCACTGACGAGTCCTAGAAGGACGAAACAGCTGTATGATGTAGCATCACTGACGAGTCCTAGTAGGACGAAACAGCTGTATGATGTAGCATCACTGACGTGTCCTAGAAGGACGAAACAGCTGTATGATGTAACATCACTGACGTGTCCTAGAAGGACGAAACAACTGTATGATGTAGCATCACTGACGTGTCCTAGAAGGACGAAACAGTTGTATGATGTAACATCACTGATGAGTCCTAGAAGGACGAAACAGCTGTATGATGAAGCATCACTGATGATTCCTAGAAGGACGAAACAGCTGTATGATGCAGTTTTATTAATTTCTCAGTTCTACTGTATCTTATTTAAATTAACGATGCTACTCTCTTGTGTGTCTTATGTACAATCTTGGCGACCATGCTATAGTTATAAAGATCAAATGCCGCGGTGAGATATCTGACATAGTACATGCATTAAATAAAACTGAAAACAAACACAAATATATCTATATTCTATCTTACATCCTGATAAGATAATTTGATTAAAATGTGTCATATAAAGCAGATTTATTCATATAAATATAATCAAAATGAAAATGTCATCAATGAGGATGATTTTATATAATTCATATGATTGTCTTTAATGAATAGTACATTTCATAATCAGTATGATAGATATGTGTGAATGCATACATTGATGAAACAGAACAGGAATGATATATATGAAGCTGTGAACAGTACATAATCAGAGAAAGAATATTTAAATAAAGGCATATATAAACAGTTTACACAGTATACATCAAATAATAAGATTAGCTGGAGATTATGTAGGATTAGCCACAGTGGCCACAAGCAATTAAGTAGTCTTTATTCTCACTTCTGTTAGAATTCAGAAGCGGTGATATTGCACTGACGTGTGGGTCTTGAGTTATGTTGTTCTCATCCTTTAACTCTCTGGAAAAGAATAAAATTAGCTTTAAATCTTTTTTAATTTCAATACACATATAGATATAGGCTGTACTCTTTTTAGAATGAAGTATTATCATGATAATATTTCTTGATTAAACGTGTGACTTTGATAAAGATCCGTGATTCGTAGCATCATACCCAACCTTTATATCTATATACAGATATCCAAATTATCTCCTCACTGGATTGTACCCCTCCAATGTTGATAAGACATCCTGATGTAAGTTTACAAACGAATACATCACTGTATAGCCAAATAACTAATTACACTACATCACAGAGTGGTTTCGTTCGTACTAGTCAGTGATCGGTGGAGGATTTCAAAGTATTAATGTTGAGAAGGCGACTTATGAAATTCAAAATTGGTTTTGAAATAAATATTAGAAATATTTGATATTGGAAATTATAATGTTATATATACTTCTGGAGTTGGTGCACGTTTCCGTCTGCTTTTTGACATTGGTTGCGACTAATTTGGAATGTCCGCATCACTGACTGTAAAGGAAACAGCGCGTGATGTAGGATAATTCATTACATGGCTTTATTGTATTTAATTATAGATTTATTTAGAAATGATCCATTTTAAACAAGAAGATTAAAATACCTTCAGTGGCAAGGGCACCTGCTGTATTATCGGCTTGGGAAACGAATCCTTTACTTTTCAGATGTTTTGTTAAGAACTCGGCATACGAAACATATCCGTCTTTGTCTGTGTCAATTTCATCAATGGATTTAGACATATCGTCATCCACATCAAATCCCATCATCCTCAGTCTCCTTTTTATCTTCGTTTTAGGGACTTTTCCTTCGTTTGTATCGTCAAAGTTTCCGAAAATCACTCGTAGTTTGCTTGTTCTGAAGAAAAAATGTTTAGACAAATAGTTCGTATATAAATTGAAGGGTCATGTATAGATATAGTCAAGTACTCATAGATTTTGAGACACGATTAACATTACCTGACATCATTCATCGATTTGGAAATGGGACGTCCCAAAGTCAATTAACATCGTCTTACATCATTCATCGATTTGAAAATAGGATGTCCCAAAGTCAATTTACATCGTCTCATACCATTTATCGATTTGGAAATGGGATGTCCTGAAGTCAATAAACATCGTCTTACATCATTCATCGATTTGGAAATGGGACGTCCCAAAGTCAATAAACATCGTCTTACATCATTCATCGATTTGGAAATGGGATGTCCCAAAGTCAATTTACATCATTCATCGATTTGGAAATGGGACGTCCCAAAGTCAATTTACAAAATTTTACATCATTCGTCGATTTGGAAATTGGATGTCCTGAAGTCAATAAACATCGTCTTACATCATTCATCGATTTGGAAATGGGACGTCCCAAAGTCAATTAACATCGCCTTACATCATTCATCGATTTGAAAATAGGATGTCCCAAAGTCAATTTACATCGTCTCATACCATTTATCGATTTGGAAATGGGATGTCCTGAAGTCAATAAACATCGTCTTACATCATTCATCGATTTGGAAATGGGACGTCCCAAAGTCAATAAACATCGTCTTACATCATTCATCGATTTGGAAATGGGATGTCCCAAAGTCAATTTACATCATTCATCGATTTGGAAATGGGACGTCCCAAAGTCAATTTACAAAATTTTACATCATTCGTCGATTTGGAAATTGGATGTCCTGAAGTCAATAAACATCGTCTTACATCATTCATCGATTTGGAAATGGGATGTCCCAAAGTCAATTTACATCGTCTTATACCATTTATCGATTTGGAAATGGGATGTCCCAAAGTAATTAAACATAATTTTATATCATTCATCGATTTGGAAATGGGACGTCCCAAAGTCAATTTACATTATCCTACCTAGTTATTGATTTGGCTGTGGATGTGCTCTTGCTATGACAAATCTTGCGACAAATTTCACAGAGCTGAGAAAACATTTTATTCAATGTCTGGTTAAGTAAGTACACACAACACAAATGATAACACTTACTTTACCCAGATTTCCTCGTTGGATTTTATAGCTCTAACGTATTCGTCCTGAGATATTTTTTCTTCTCTTTCCTTATTCATTTCTTTTAGCAGCATCTGAATGGAAATTAAAAGGTTATGTTAATTGGTATTTTAGGCAACTTGTCATTTAAGAGCGCCTTGTTTATAAAGATCCTCACCACAATGCATACTTTTGATACTATCGCCCAATAGTTTTAGCTCACTGTACCCAGATGACTATATGCAAGTAGTCGGACAGTCCTAACATAGAAATAAAATCCTACAAACACATTAACATGGAAATTATATAAAGACTACACTTCAGCAAAATTGATGTTTAAAAAAGTCACCAACACACACGTAGTATAGATTGTACAAAAGACACAGTTAAACACCATGCAGTAGACACCAGTAATGAATTACACAAATAAACAGCATGCAGTAGACACCAGTAATGAATTACACAAATAAACAGCATGCAGTAGACACCAGTAATGAATTACACAAATAAACAGCATGCAGTAGACACCAGTAATGAATTACACAAATAAACAGCATGCAGTAGACACCAGTAATGAATTACACCAATAAACAGCATGCAGTAGACACCAGTAATGAATTACACCAATAAACAGCATGCAGTAGACACCAGTAATGAATTACACAAATAAACAGCATGCAGTAGACACCAGTAATGAATTACACCAATAAACAGCATGCAGTAGACACCAGTAATGAATTACACAAATAAACAGCATGCAGTAGACACCAGTAATGAATTACACAAATAAACAGCATGCAGTAGACACCAGTAATGAATTACACCAATAAACAGCATGCAGTAGACACCAGTAATGAATTACACCAATAAACAGCATGCAGTAGACACCAGTAATGAATTACACAAATAAACAGCATGCAGTAGACACCAGTAATGAATTACACCAATAAACAGCATGCAGTAGACACCAGTAATGAATTACACAAATAAACAGCATGCAGTAGACACCAGTAATATATTACACCAATTAACAGCATGCAGTAGACACCAGTAATTAATTACACAAATAAACAGCATGCAGTAGACACCAGTAATGAATTACACCAATAAACAGCATGCAGTAGACACCAGTAATGAATTACACAAATAAACAGCATGCAGTAGACACCAGTAATATATTACACCAATTAACAGCATGCAGTAGACACCAGTAATATATTACACCAATAAACAGCATGCCGTAGACACCAGTAATGATTTACACCAATTAACAGCATGCAGTAGACACCAGTAATGAATTACACCAATAAACAACATGCAGTAGACACCAGTAATGAATTACACAAATAAACAGCACGCAGTAGACACCAGTAATATATTACACCAATAAACAGCACGCAGTAGACACCAGTAATGATTTACACCAATTAACAGCATGCAGTAGACACCAGTAATGAATTACACCAATAAACAACATGCAGTAGACACCAGTAATGAATTACACAAATACACAGCATGTAGTAGACACCAGTAATATATTACACCAATTAACAGCATGCAGTAGACACCAGTAATGAATTACACAAATAAACAGCATGCAGTAGACACCAGTAATATATTACACCAATTAACAGCATGCAGTAGACACCAGTAATGAATTACACAAATAAACAGCATGCAGTAGACACCAGTAATATATTACACCAATAAACAGCATGCAGTAGACACCAGTAATGAATTACACAAATAAACAGCATGCAGTAGACACCAGTAATATATTACACCAATTAACAGCATGCAGTAGACACCAGTAATGAATTACACAAATAAACAGCATGCAGTAGACACCAGTAATATATTACACCAATAAACAGCATGCAGTAGACACCAGTAATGAATTACATCAATTAACAGCATGCAGTAGACACCAGTAATATATTACACCAATAAACAGCATGCAGTAGACACCAGTAATGAATTACACCAATTAACAGCATGTAGTAGACACCAGTAATATATTACACCAATAAACAGCATGCAGTAGACACCAGTAATGAATTACACCAATTAACAGCATGCAGTTGACACCAGTAATATATTACATCAATAAACAGCATGCAGTAGACACCAGTAATGAATTACACAAATAAACAGCATGCAGTAGACACCAGTAATGAATTACACCAATAAACAACATGCAGTAGACACCAGTAATGAATTACACCAATAAACAGCATGTAGTAGACACAGGTAATGAATTACACCAATAAACAGCATGTAGTAGACACCAGTAATGAATTACACCAATAAACAGCATGCAGTAGACACCAGTAATGAATTACAACAATAAACAACATGCAGTAGACACCAGTAATGAATTACACCGATAAACAGCATGCAGTAGACACCAGTAATGAATCACACCAATAAACAGCATGCAGTAGACACCAGTAATATATTACACCAATAAACAGCATGCAGTAGACACCAGTAATGATTTACACCAATTAACAGCATGCAGTAGACACCAGTAATGAATTACACCAATAAACAGCATGCAGTAGACACCAGTAATATATTACACCAATAAACAGCATGCAGTAGACACCAGTAATGATTTACACCAATTAACAGCATGCAGTAGACACCAGTAATGAATTACACAAATAAACAGCATGCAGTAGACACCAGTAATGAATTACACCAATTAACAGCATGCAGTATACACCAGTAATGAATTACACCAATAAACAGCATGCAGTAGACACCAGTAATGAATTACACAAATAAACAGCATGCAGTAGACACCAGTAATGATTTACACCAATAAACAGCATGCAGTAGACACCAGTAATGAATTACACAAATAAACAGCATGCAGTAGACACCAGTGATGAATTACACCAATAAACAGCATGCAGTAGACACCAGTAATGAATTACTCCAATAAACAGCATGCAGTAGACACCAGTAATGAATTACACAAATAAACAGCATGCAGTAGACAAAAGTAATGAATTACACAAATAAACAGCATGCAGTAGACACCAGTAATATATTACACCAATAAACAGCATGCAGTATACACCAGTAATGAATTACACCAATAAACAGCATGCAGTAGACACCAGTAATGAATTACACCAATAAACAGCATGCAGTAGACACCAGTAATGAATTACACCAATTAACAGCATGCAGTAGACACCAGTAATATATTACACCAATAAACAGCATGCAGTAGACACCAGTAATGAATGATTTACACCAATTAACAGCATTCAGTAGACACCAGTAATGAATTACACCAATAAACAGCATGCAGTAGACACCAGTAATATATTACACCAATAAACAGCATGCAGTAGACACCAGTAATGATTTACACCAATTAACAGCATGCAGTAGACACCAGTAATGAATTACACCAATAAACAGCATGCAGTAGACACCAGTAATGAATTACACCAATTAACAGCATGCAGTAGACACCAGTAATGAATTACACCAATAAACAGCATGCAGTAGACACCAGTGATGATTTACAACAATAAACAGCATGCAGTAGACACCAGTAATGAATTACACAAATAAACAGCATGCAGTAGACACCAGTGATGAATTACACCAATAAACAGCATGCAGTAGACACCAGTAATGAATTACTCCAATAAACAGCATGCAGTAGACACCAGTAATGAATTACACAAATAAACAGCATGTAGTAGACACCAGTAATGAATTACACCAATAAACAGCATGCAGTAGACACCAGTAATGAATTACACCAATTAACAGCATGCAGTAGACACCAGTAATATATTACACCAATAAACTGCATGCAGTAGACACCAGTAATGAATTACACCAACTAACAGCATGCAGTAGACACCAGTAATATATTACACCAATAAACAGCATGCAGTAGACACCAGTAATGAATTACACCAATTAACAGCATGCAGTAGACACCAGTAATGAATTACACCAATTAACAGCATGCAGTAGACACCAGTAATATATTACACCAATAAACAGCATGCAGTAGACACTAATACTAGAGAAGGTGTTGATAAATGCATCACGAATTTTTGTGACATTCTGCATGAAGTAGTTTTACCAAATTGCAATGTGAAAAAGGTGACAGATAATTTTGATTATAATACATCTAAGAATAAAAATAAAATAGACGACAAACCATGGTTCTCTGAATAGTGTAAACGTAGATACATGGATTACAAAAAAGCTTTGTATGATTTTAATAAATATCAGTCTGTTGAAAATCACACTAGTCTCATTAGAAAAAAATCTTTGTATAAGAAACTGGAATCGAGATTAAAAAGGCCATACAAGCATCGAGAAGGTGACATGATAGAATATCTAAGAAAGTCTAATCCAAAAACATTTCATAAATAAAAAAGGGTCGAAGCAGTGTACCGAAGTCAAATCTAAACTTGTAGAACATTTCAAAAACTTGGGAGATGGTAATATTAATAATATTGACGATCCAAGTATGTTATCGGTAAACGTTGATTCTGCTGTATTCGAAGAACTAGATAAGCCATTCACAGAAGACGAAGTACGTATTGCCATTCGTAAGCTGAAACGAGATAAAAGTTGTAGCGAAGATTGTATTTTCAATGAACTTTTCATAGACTTTGAGGAAATTTTGCTTCCTTGCATTACAAGACTCTTTGGAAAATTATTTGATTCTGGATTTTTCCCAGAAAAGTGGTCACGTGGTTGTGTAATACCAATCTACAAAAATGGCGACGTTAACGACACAGGTAATTATAGAGGCATAACTTTGGTTAGTTGCATGGGTAAATTGTTTACAACTGTTCTTAATAGAAGAATTCTGAATTGGGACAAAGACAATAACATTATTTCTGACGCTCAATTTGGTTTCAAGGAGGGTAGTTCAACTGTAGATGCAATATTTGCACTCCAGTCATTGATCAATACAACTTTAAAAAATAAACGAAGATTATATTGCTGTTTTGTAGACTATAAAAAAGCCTTTGACCTCATCGATAGTAGTTTATGGAGTAAGCTAATAAAACAAGGAATTCAAGGGAAGTTATCAAATATCATAAAATCATTGTACGATAATGTCAAATCTTGTGTCAAATATAAAGGTCATATTTCAGAATATCATCCTAACAGAATCGGTCTCTTTCAAGGGGAAATTTTATCGCCAATTTTGTATAGTCTTTATGTAAACGATTGTGAAATCAATTTCATTAACCAAAGTTGTCCATCTATTGAATTAGGTATGATATCTATATTTTTACTGATGTACGCTGATGACTCGGTTCTCATAGCTGAATCACCAAGCGGGTTGCAATCAATGCTCGATGCACTGCTTATTTATAATGATAAATGGAAACTTAAACTTAATGTACTTAAAAAAAAATTGTAATTTTTCGAAATGGCGGGCGCATTAAAGATGATGAAAAATGGTATTACAACGATGTTGAAATTGAAGTTGTGAACAAATTTAATTATCTGGGTATGCTTTTCAATTTTAATGGTAAATTTAACAATACGCAGCAACATGCCGCAGAAAAGGGGAGAAAATCGTATTTTAGACTGATAAACAAAATGAAAAATCATAACTTTAATGTTGAAACGTTATGCTCAGTTTTTGATACTTATGTTAGTAGTGTATTAACATATGCAAGTGAAGTGTGGGGATTCCATAAAGCTACTGATGTTGAAAAAGTACATTCACATTTTTGTAAAAAGATTTTAGGTGTTGCGAAAAGTACATATCATGATTTAGTTTATTTTGAATTAGGAAGGTTACCAATGTATATTGTCAGAAAATTGAAAATAATGAAATACTGGACTAAAATCAAATTAGGATTAGGGTACTTATGGAACGGCAGTCTTGACAGAAAATTAGTATACAATTTAATTGAGTGTAAGTTTCAAGAAATTCATATTCAAGAATTGTTGAGCAATATTCGAAATTCTCCAAAAGGATATTTATATCAGCATTTGATAGACAATTTTGGGCTGCAGTTTCATTTAAGGAAACCTATCGACTATCGATTCAAGAAAATTATATCAAAAATAAGATTATCATCACATCAGCTCAATATTGAAAGTTGTAGATATAGGAACGTAGCCAGAGAAAATAGGATCTGCACACTATGTAATAATAGAGATATTGAAGACGAATTCCATTTTATTTTGAAATGTACCTTTTATGTAGATCTCCGATCTAAATATTTGAAATCATATTATTTTCGCAGACCTAGTGTGTTCAAATTAATTCAGCTTTTAAGTATAAACAATGTAAAGGAATTAAATAACCTCGGAAAATTTATTCATTATGCATTTAAACGGCGATCTGAAGTATTATAAGCATATTATAAGCAAAACCATTATTAGATTTGATTTGTAAGGAGTTCAGTTTTTCATACACAACGTTGTTTACTCCATTGATTGACTTAGTTGATAATTCTGAAAGATAAGGGGTATGTGCGGATTCGCACGTAAGCGAGTGAGTACTGGAGTGTTGTTTGGTTCACTGATGTGTTATACGAGTTCCATAACGTAAAATAAAATATAATTTTGTTTCTTCCTTTTTAATCTTGTGTGTCTTTATATCTTTATAATTACTTTCAATTAGAAATGAAACTTAAATTAATTTAGTATCAACGGATTTAGATATATCCACACACAGAAAACGTATCATAGTCTAGACATATATAGATATAATACCACTGACAGTCGTTAAACAGCTATTCTAAAAAAAAGAACCTAGTTTAACTAGTCTGTCACGAGGTAACTCGATTGCTATCAGGTAATCTGACTAAATGTGGATACTAAGTATCATAAGGGTAGTCCTTTACAAATAATGTACAATCCAGAAATATCTTCCCAAACCGACGAAACGGTAAACAAGAAAATATCGTACAAACAGGAATGAGCAGACAAAACGATTGAGAGACCAGCAAAATAAGTGTTTTTCTCAAATCAACTTAATATATTTATAAATACAACGATGCATCTCCACCATATCCAATTACACCTAAGCAGTTCGTTTTGTCCGGGGTTTCTTTATACGATTTTTAAAGCAACTTTTGCCAAATGTCTGACAATCCTTTTCAAATTTTGCTTCGCTTTCAGCTCTCTTCTCTGACAAACACGATTTGCCTATCGCACTTCCACGGCTAGATTTTGACTGTTTTTTCAGTTTGGATTTTTTTTCAGTCGCTTCCTGACTTTAAAATTTAGGCCCTTAGGTCCCCTGAGGAGTCATAGGAGGAGGAAAGAGCTGTATGATGCAGTAAAATCCATGCTTTGTTTCTATCGTATTTTATTCTAAATTTGTTTGAAAAGGTGATAATTACTCGTGTGTCTTTTGTTACCGTCTTTGATAACAGATCAAAGATTTATACTGAATACATGAAAGTAATTCTCCTCGATCATCAAAGAAAGAACGACATGTCACATAATACGCAACGTGTTTCGACCTAAAACTCTTCAAAAGCACAAGGCTCCTGTTGCTCAAAGGTTAGTTAGAGTTAATCAGCGGTTAGTCAAAGTTATTTTGATTGTTGCCAATGAAAGGAGGGTCAAAGGTCAAAACAATGCCGAAAATAAATCAATTTGACCTGTCTCAATAAATCTGTAGCTGTGCACTGATAAAAGTTTTTCATTTTTGTTTACTTCATCGTTGAAATTTTTCGCTAACCAATGGTTATCTGTAAATGGTCTTTGAACAACCGGGGCCTTGAAGACACCTGGCGTCATATAGACATTGTTAGTTCATATTTTTTCATCTGATGTCACGTTTTGTGTCTTTAATGGGGTGCTCACTGTATACAGTATGTGTTATGAGGCGGATTGGCAAGGTTTACTAACTCTATGGTTTGTACTGTCGCTTATACACCCGAAATCGTGCACATCAGTTACCACAAACACTAACAATTAACAGTATGATGTAATACTGTCGCTTATACACCCGAAATCGTGTACATCAGTTACCAAATACTAACAGTAAACCGTATGGTGTAGTACTGTGGCTTATACACCCGAAATCGTGTACATCAGTTACCAAATACTAACAGTCAACCGTATGGTGTAGTACTCTCGCTTATACACCCGAAATCGTGTACATCAGCTACCACAAACACTAACAGTCAGCCGTATGGTGTAGTACTGTCGGTAATACACCCGAAATCGTGTACATCAGTTACCACAAACACTAACAGTCAACCGTATGGTGTAATACTGTTGCTTATACACCCGGAATCGTGTACATCAGTTACCACAAACACTAACAGTCAGCCGTATGGTGTAGTACTAGCATGTCGTAATGTACACTACGTATAATTAAGGTCACTGAAAACTTAGGAGAAATATAACACTAATTATGACATTCTTATCTGGTAAAAACAAACATGGTGCAATACAAACACTTGGCGACACTATACCGAGGCAGTGAAACCTACCTCAGTCTTTTCTTCATCACCTCCAAACCCAAGAGCCAGAAGGAGCTTTGTAAACTCTCCTGTTGACAATAACCCATCACCGTCGGTATCCATTGTATCAAACTCTGTCTCTAGGTAACGCTCATCGCTGTCCCATCCCCTGTAATGTAAGGAACCTGTCTAGAACAATAGGTAGTTCAAACATTTTACAATAACATCATTCGACATCTTAACTCCTACTCAGAGCTTTGGTCTGAAATAAAAATGTGAAACTATTACGAAATCACATTTTATTCCTCAAAACATCATTTCTGGCGTGATACTGAACCGCTTATATCTCTCCCAACCAGTGCCAACTCCACTGCCCTCAAAAAACACTTCATTTTACTTGTTTCGCTATAAACTCACGAGAAAGTAAAAACTGGTTCTGGAAGCATCATTTAATTATTAGAGGAAATTAAAAAAAAAAATTCAAATACTTCGTATCCTTGAGTTGATATGGAGGCTCAAGGGAAGGACACATTTTCTTTAAAAAATGTAAACAATTGTCTTTTAAAATTTGTGACATGTCATTACGGTGAATGAAGACATTTCGAAAGGAAAAAGAAAACATGACATTGCAGAATTTTGCCTTTTGGGAACAGTATCTTTTAAAATCCGATAAACATTACTCATTGACTATATTAACCTGATGAAACGATAACATAAAAAATGCATGTCAACTATGAAATCAGTGTGAATATTTTCTATTGTGTGACGTTCCGTAACATACGTATTTATACTATCAATCTGAGGTATGGTGTGAATATTTTCTATTGTGTGACGTTCTGTATCATACGTATTTATACTATTAATCTGAGGTATGGTGTGAATATTTTCTATTGTGTGACGTTCCGTAACATACGTATTTATACTATCAATCTGAGGTATGGTGTGAATATTTTCTATTGTGTGTGACGTTCTGTATCATACGTATTTATACTATCAATCTGAGGTATGGTGTGAATATTTTCTATTGTGTGACTGACGTTCTGTAACATACGTATGTATACTATCAATCTGAGGTATGGTGTGAATATTTTCTATTGTGTGACTGACGTTCTGTAACATACGTATTTATACTATCAATCTGAGGTATGGTGTGAATATTTTCTATTGTGTGACGTTCCGTAACATACGTATTTATACTATCAATCTGAGGTACGGTGTGAATATTTTCTATTGTGTGACGTTCTGTATCATACGTATTTATACTATCAATCTGAGGTATGGTGTGAATATTTTCTATTGTGTGACGTTCTGTAACATACGTATTTATACTATCAATCTGAGGTACGGTGTGAATATTTTCTATTGTGTGACGTTCTGTAACATACGTATTTATACTATCAATCTGAGGTATGGTGTGAATATTTTCTATTGTGTGACGTTCTGTAACATACGTATTTATACTATCAATCTGAGGTATGGTGTGAATATTTTCTATTGTGTGACGTTCTGTAACATACGTATTTATACTATCAATCTGAGGTATGGTGTGAATATTTTCTATTGTGTGACTGACGTTCTGTAACATACGTATTTATACTATCAATCTGAGGTATGGTGTGAATATTTTCTATTGTGTGACGTTCTGTAACATACGTATTTATACTATCAATCTGAGGTATGGTGTGAATATTTTCTATTGTGTGACTAACGTTCTGTAACATACGTATTTATACTATCAATCTGAGGTACGGTGTGAATATTTTCTATTGTGTGACGTTCTGTAACAGACGTATTTATACTATCAATCTGAGGTACGGTGTGAATATTTTCTATTGTGTGACGTTCTGTAACATACGTATTTATACTATCAATCTGAGGTATGGTGTGAATATTTTCTATTGTGTGACGTTCTGTAACATACGTATTTATACCATCAATCTGAGGTATGGTGTGAATATTTTCTTTTGCTGATCATAGTAACATCTAGGATGTATCCATAGCAATACACATTATATAGCTCACTACATATATATTTACCATAATGCCCCTAGTCACGGTTGAATGAACATTCCTTAACAGAGGAAAATCTATCTCTCAACATTACACAGATTTCCTCAACATATGTAACGTTTTCTTTTTGTTTTCTTTCTATGAAGCTAAAATTTTCATAAGGAAGATTCATGAAATTATTATCTTGATTGGAGTAGATATTACATATCAACTCCATCGGAATCTGAACTACCCATATGTATACAAAACAAAATCGGACAGTTGTACGCTGTGAGAACATCGCTATATCAGTTTCATCAGGAACACTGACAGCATGAACTACCCTCGTCTCTCATTCTATATATACTGACAGAAGAGGCTAGTACGTACCTGTAAGCAAACGATGGTGTAAACAGTGTAGTAGAACGTGTGTAAATTAAACATAACCTGACGTGACCTACATGGAATCATCCTGATCTACTCGGTATCCACATAAAATGACATTTGCTTACCTAAGCTTTTTCGGCATAGCGTTTCCCATGTCTGTATCGTGTGTGGTTCTACTTCTCTTCTGCTCTCTTTCTCTCTCTCTGCTATAGATACAACGTACTTGGACGCCTTCCAAAACTCACAGCGTACACAAAATTATTTCTTGGCATGAATATTCATTCATGCGATGCGTTGAGTATTCAAACGTATATATCGACAGTCACAGTAGCATATATAGATACAAGTGTGGCGAATCAATAGCCTCAGTAACCATACACAGATTTCTTTATCCTAAACCTGATCACTATATAGCATATCGTGATCACGTGCTGGAATAGAATTTTTAAAGTAATGTAAAACGATAAATGTTTGAATACACCAGCCTTTAATAGCTACCTGTTGTTACCTTATGTTGATGGTACAGAAAACTCAATGTAAAACTAAATATGTTAAAAGCCACATCATAACTTTATATCCATCAGCATTACCATACGCTTAGCTATTGGCCCAAGCTTTATAACTAATTCGGTATAACTGCTGCATCTGATAAAGGACTTGTGTTGATAGATGCCAATTTACGGCATCTTTTGAAATATTTTAACTTACATAATTTAACTCCATATGTAATAGGCCGGGAAATGTATAAGTGGTAGTAGGCGCACATTCCCTTAATCAGTGACCAGTGTTAAACAGAAATGTAGGTTAATGCAGACTAAGATATATCATAATTTCTGTGTATTTCAATTTTCCTTGTGAGTGTTGCTGGTTGGTAAACCCAGGGACGTAGATAACAAATAACATCTGTTATCTATGTCCCTGGTAAACCTAGGGATAACAAATAACATCTGTTATCTATGTCCCTGGTAATCCCGGGGACGTAGATAACAAATAACATCTGTTATCTATGTCCCTGGTAAACGTAGGGTTAACAAATAACATCTGTTATCTATGTAAACCCACATGGTAAACCCAGGGACGTCCCTGGTAAAACCACATGGTAAACCCAGGGACGTCCCTGGTAAACCCACATGGTAAACCAATGGACGTTCCCATACCATATGCTGATTACACAGAAGGGGCTAAAATTCGAAAAAGAGTTCCATAGGACCTGTATCGCTCATCTGGTTTAGTTTGCTGAAATTGTATCATTTAACCAAAGGAGGACTGAGACAGCCTGTTTATACAGAATTGATTCCCTTTCACCTAAGAATGCCTCAGACCAAATTTTGTCAAAATCCAATTATTCTAATAGGAAAAGTAGGATTTAAAGAATTTGCTTCATTTCTCTTACTGGGCCACGCTCCTCCTGCCTCGGGGGCCAGGACCCATCGTTTACACAATATTTATTTTTCTTCACCCAAGGAAGCTTCAGACCATATTGGGAAAAAATCCAGTCTTTCCTACTGGAGGAGTAGGATTTAAAAAGAACTTGCACAAAAATCCTCCATTTCACCATTTTGGGTCTCAAACCCTCCCATCCCATGGAGCCAAGACCAAAAGTTTATATAAAATTTATTTCACGCTTTACCCAAGGATGTTTCAGACCACATTTGAGCATTATCCATTAATTCTTACTGGAGGAATAGAATTTTCAAAATTTTCACTTTTGGGCCCCGCCCCTCATTTCCCCTGGCTAAAAACCCAGTTTACAGAAAAGTTGTTCCCTTCCTAGCCAGAATGCTTCTGAGCAAATTTGGTCAAAGTCTGATCTGTAGGAAAAATTGATAAAGACATGACATAAGCTCACTGGTCCTTCAGACAGGTGAGCTAAAACCAGGATATTTCCTTGTAGTTTTAAAGCGATATTGAGGAATGAGCAATTGAGTTAAAACTATGGTTTTATTTATGCAGGCTCTTTGCCTGCAATTTGTTTTGTTATTTACACAAATCCAACACTCCATTCTATCCATCATTGATATTTGATTTAATCTTATATTTTTTGTATTGATGATTGTATTACTGTTCATTTCCCATTTTCCTAATTACCAATGTATAATCTGCTTCTTCCTTTTGATTTTAAGACTTTCCTTTTGATTTTAAGACTTTCCGATTTTAAGGTAAGTGACATAATTATAATCTGCTTCTCCCTTTTGATTTTAAGACTTTCCGATTTTAAGGTAAGTGACATAATTATTGCTGTAGAAAGATAATCTGCTTCTCCCTTTTGATTTTAAGACTTTCCGATTTTAAGGTAAGTGACATAATTATTGCTGTAGAAAGATAATCTGCTTCTCCCTTTTGATTTTGCAATTTTAAGTGACATAATTATTGCTGTAGAAAGGTAATCTGCTTCTCCCTTTTCAATTTTTCGGTTTTTGCAATTTTAAGGTAAGTGACATGAATTCAGTCATATATTTAATCAATTCAGTGTTTGATAAATTGGTTAAAATTCTCCCAAAAGTTTGGTATGTCATTTAAATTAGTTAATTTGACCACTGTTGAATCTGGACAAAAGTTGAGCACCAAAAGGGAGTAGAGATCACTCTTCCATTTTTTCTTTTGTTTTCCTTCAACAAATTCCTCCTTAGAAAATTCTTAATAATTTTTTGACCTTGTTAAGTTACACGGTTGTTCACTGGTACTTATGTAAAATGTTGCTAAGTTTGTTTCAAGAAACTGTCTTCAACACACATGTATTTGATAGCTTTCTAAATATACCTGATATAGAAAAATGACCAAACTGATTGAATTATGGGGCTATCAATCACTTTAGAGTTTCATCAGTTACCTCCTAAGTTTCACATTCAACATTTAGGCCTGTGGCATCACTGATGAGTCCTAGAAGGACGAAACAGTGGTTTGATACAGTCCAATTTCATTGTTTGACTGTACTGTATATAACTCTAAAATTTGTATCAATATATGCCAATCACTAGTATGTCTTCTGTACAATCTTCATGAATGCCATAATGTCATCAAAAATAGTCTGTTAACAAAATAACACAGATGTGTACAGTGAGAATATTTTCTAACACAGGTGATGGAGGTCACGTCTTCAAAAACATAATCTCCAAGAAAACATAACTAAGTCAGAAACTCTCCTAACATATCATTTATTGGGTATGAATTCTACATCCGATTCTTCATAGCGAGGCTCTGGCGGACTATCCCACAAGTCCTCAGGGGCCATTTTGAGTTTGTCCGTAGGGAAAAGATGAATGGAAGTATCATTGAAAATATCTGTGAACTTGAAGGTTGTAGGTAGAGGTAACTCTGTACAGTAAGGATGAAGCTTTACTTAGTTAAGGCTGAAAATTAACACAGTTGGTATATTTTTTTATCTCATTATCAAAAGAATATAAAATTCACAATGAATAATGTTGAATTAGAAATTTCATCAAAACAAAATAAGGTCTGGGAACATTGAAGTTGTATCAAGCATTCTTGTTCCATATCTAAGATTTGTTCATAAAGCATGACATCATGACCTTGTTAAATGAACATTGGCAAAAGGACCCTATTCAGAGTCACACAAAAAACAGAAACTACCCAGAAAAATCATAACTATGCTTCAAGAATATAATTGCTATGGTAACTATTGGTTTTGTTTTCATAGAAAACTGGAAACTTGTCCTTGATATTAAGAAGGATACATGTTGGATGTAACTGCCACTATTTGCCAGGAGTCTGCTCGGAGTACTGAAAATGGAAAAGGTGTGTCATAGAATGTTCACATAACAGACTGATCTACAACAAATAAAGGAATGTACAATTGTATCAACACATCCTGATAAAATTTCTTGCTTTACAATTACATGTCATTCTCAATGTTTCATTCTATTGCAATGACAATATAATTTGTAGTACAGCATATTAGATTTACAGATGGCTTACTTGTTTAGGATGGTGGTAAAACTGTTGCCAATGATAACCATGTTTGGGAGGTGGTGAGTGTTCCAGTTAGCCCAGAGGAGATTATTACATAGACTCTTTCCACAATGAGGCATATAAAACAGTGTCTGGCTGCTCAAGGAACATTGCCGCTTACCCTCCTGTGAACATAGTATTGATATCCACAATCAAATCACTTCAACACAATTATCAATCACAGAATGGCATTATGAAACTGACCAATCACAGAATGGCATTATGAAACTGACCAATCACAGGATGGCATTACAAAACTGACCTATCACAGGATGGATTAAGGAACCTATCAATCACAGCATTGCATAAACACAATGTTTAATCACAGCACGACAATAAAAAAAAATCTGACAATTCCATCTCCAATACAAAATGTTGATATTAACTCACAGACTTACTTCATTTTTATCAATCATGCCAAATCCCAGCTCACACAGGATGTCAATTTCTCCATCCCTGAACCTCGGATCATACAACAGACAGTCACTGGCATTCACCTGATACAAGAGGACACATACATACATGTGGCAACTGCTGCAACTTAAATCAGATGATTTTTTCCATAGACAGATTGGACTAAATGAAATCAAGAAAGAACAACTTGAAATAATGTAATGTAATTAAGATTTTTGAAAACTAAACACAGCAAAGGAAAAATCATCATTATATAATCTGCGAAGTTAACACAAATCGGAAATCAATATTATGTTAAAAAGTTCAACATTAAAAAATAATTTTTTTAATCTTTTAAATCTTGGTTCTATGCTATCCTGATATTCACAGTCGATTTTCAATGTCCAGCTTGACTACTTCTTTTTTTCGGGAAACCCACTTTAATTCAGAGCTGATAACGTTACATAATAATTTTGAAAATGAACCAATTCAATTTGTAAACAACAGGAATAAAAGTGACAGTAGTGATACAGTAAGTAAAATCCTGTTTTCAGCACGGGGAATTTGTTATGGGTGTGGCAAATGTATTTAGTAATTCTACGTCAATTCAGGACTACAAAATATGAGGCATTAATCGCCAACAATATTGCAACCGATTCAGGCAGGAAGCCATTTTTCTTTACAAGCAACCATGTTTTGTGTACATGCATTATCATATATGAGGCAAAAATTTCCATATCCAGACTTGATCAACAAATAAGGATTTCCAATCTATATTTAATTATTTAAAATCTTTACATACGTATTTCAGCAAAACTAACTGTCCTTGTTCATAAGGTAATACATCTGATAGATATACACAATAATACTGTAAATTTGCGTATATAGTGCGCATTTGTGACTTGGGGTCAGATTTCAAAAAAAGTATATATAAATATTATTACTGGTTACCGCGGTGCATCAGTTGATGTTTTGATCCATCGATAATTAGGAAACCAAAATGAACATGATCCTAACACATTTCAGTATCTTATTTAAACAATTCATGCAAGTGCCAGACTTAACAAGCATGGAAGGCTAGGTAAATGGGATAATTAACAGCTATTAACAGGTAACACATTGAGTATGAGGAGATTGATGACATCCTGCTAGGGCTGAATGCGTGCTATTGGTCAGAAAACGATGTTGTTTTAACAGTCTGAAAATGTTCAATCCTACCTTACCTATAAAAGCATCTAACATGTTCAGTATTGGTATGATCTTTCATGATATCTGTACCTAATAAAAATATATTAAAAAAAAAATGTTGTAGTCAGTAGCTGGCTAACAAACACTCCAAGAAGTATCTGAAATAAGTACCTTGAGATGTTCCCTCAGTGCCATTAGAAGACAAAGTTGGTATCTGGCTATAATACATTCTGAGAAGTTCCCCAGACCATAACAGATCACCTGGAGTGGTAGCTTATTTGTATTGTTACCTTCATCTTCCTTGTTTAGTACCTGTTCAATCAAATCTGAAACAAGAACTTCAAATCGTCTACCTCTGCTGTTTTACACGTAAGTGAAACATGGACAATGATGATACATGAAAATGAATTTTAAAGAAAAGTGTCTTTGAACCACAGTTTAATTAGCTAAAGAAAAAAAAACAAATTTTTAATCAATAAAATTTCCAGAATAAAAACCAAAGAAAGCAAAACTGAACAATACCAATATTTAAAGGTCTGAAATCTGTTGAAAATAATTATTTGATAAAATACCAGTTAAGTTAATCCAATTGTTTGATAACGATTTATGTATAAAGGTTACCAAGTGTTCGAGATATTAGGGATATGGGGGGATACATAGGAGACATGAAAGCAAAAGCTTACCAATGGCAAGTTCCACATAAATTGGTTAAGATACCAAGAATGATGTCCTTATCAATTTCAGCTTTAGAGCACTGTGTTGATTATTTAACTCGTAAATGACATTAAATAAAGGTTAATTTTCATTACTATTAAAACTTTAATATTGAATGACAAATTAAACTTTCAAGCTACATCTTACCTTTTACAGATGAATAAAAGTCTGAGCTTGTTAAATCATTCCTGAAAAAAATACAAACACAATGATGATGATGATGATGATGATGATGGAGCAAGGGAAGAAATCTTAATTTTGTTATACAATTTTTGAGGCACAATAATGCAGCTGTTAGAGGGGTGCTAACTGTCTCATTTCTCATCAGTCCTATAAGAAATAATACATGGGTTTGTGTCACAAATAAAAACACATTAGAATGTACAAGATTGGTTATTACTGCATTAAATACTTAACAGCCAGTGTCATTTAAGGACATGCCAGGTTTGGTAGAAGAGAGCCTCAGTTCCTAGAGAAAAAACACTAACCTGTGGCCAGTACCTGACCACTGCCGCATGTAGGCCTCAAACGATAATTCATGACAAAGATTATATATAAAGTTATAATATATTGTACATTGCAGAATACACAAAAAAATCTCAACTAATATTGAATTTCAGTTGGTGAGATACTTTACAGCTAGTGTTTTCTAGAAAGCATTGAAACTGAGAAACCTTGCATTACAATATTTGATGACCATATGCTTGCAGTAACCACAGTAGTCTGAAGGGTTCTGACTAACTAACCACAATTTTATTTCATCTTGGTTGGTCTGCTACAAAGACAAAATAAATTGTGGATAACTGCAGGCTGAGGGACACATCAAAATGAGCATGTATAAAATTGGTCAGACCTATATAAAGTGTATGCTTATACAATGGCAAAGACTCTGACCAAACTTAAGGAACTTTTTTATTTAATTTTATTTTATTAGTGGTGTCTTGTATACTGTATCGTGTCCCTATATACACTAACGTTACGATACCTGTGAAGCCTGTGTATCGATAATTTTGGGATAAGAAGGAGTAATGAAAAACACCCTGCCACTGCTGGGGTTCGAACTAATGACCCTCCCGGCTCAAGGCGGACAATCTACCACTTGACGATAGGGAAATTCCCACTAGCCAAGGCCGGTAAGGGGACCAGTACTCTCAACCAAACTTCAACACTGTCAATAAATTGGTACGTCTTGTTACCTTGATTCTTCAATTTTTCGAATAACACGAGCGATGTCTATCTTCTGGTGTTGTTGTGTATCTGATCCTGCACAGACACCAATGCCGTCACCACGTGCCTTCACTTTTTTGGCCTTTTTCGACCTCACAACTTGAAAGCCGTCTGTCATTTTCACTATGACTATAATAAAGTAGGAATCGGACAGCGGTTGATTTCAATTCGGAAAACAAATGAGATATTCACTAAGGTATTTTCGGATTTTGGTAAAGTTCTTCTACAATTGAATTTATATTTTTGCTTATATGTGATATAAAACTTGATTTGTAATGCATTTGGACTGAATTTATCTCTATTTGTGGAAAAGTAACTCCGGAAAAAGTCTTTCCGGTTTTCAATTTTACAGTTAGTAGCACTTTCAAAATGTCAGCCTTCATGTTGGAGGGCAGCAGGTAGTTTCCGAAGAAAGCTGATGCATTTTACTATGGTGCCAATGATCATTTTAGATGAAGCATATATCGTTTTGCAAAAATGAATACGAATTTGCTGAGATTTAACAAAATAAGTAGGAATATAGCAAAGATTCATCAAGTAAATTTTCATGTAGGGAAGGAACATCTAAATTCTGACCATCTCCGGACCGTAAAATTGAGACGTGTTGTCGTGACGGGTTTAGGACTTGTGACCTGTCTTGGAGTTGGCACAAAACATGTGTGGGACCGAATTATCAAAGGCCATTGTGGAATCGGCGTTATAAATGGGCAAGGTACATATCCTGCGTCACAAACTATTCCATTGTTTTTGGAACACTGCCTTAGGTTGGAAATGTCAATAAAATGGAAGACGTTCTTATAACATAACTAGTAGAAGATTAGAGTGTGACGTTCCGATGTCTACATGGTCACCTTTATCAGACAAATGACCAGTGTGGTGCTTACTAGCACTGACTTACTTAAGGTACGAGATGGTACGGAATTGACCAACTTTTTAGGCTGCACTATAATGGTAAACAGATCATAGATAAAAAAAATACACAAGACAGTAAAAATGTACTGTAGTCAATTAGGCTACGCTTGGTTTAACACCTGGCTATAGATGTGCAAGAGTCTGTGGCCCTCCCCCCTCGTCCCTATTAAGTAATAGCCTGCTGCGGCATATCTAGATGGCATCCTTAACCAACTGTCTGAAATGGTTGTTCTATTCGATTCCAAATTTCCTCTCAAAATAATGATCACACAGTAAAATTATAGAAGGTACCTAATTTTACAGTTAGATCTTTTGTTATATTGTGTAGTTCTCTGATAAACTCATATTTGCTTGGGCATATTGTATTGGAAACAAACATTATTCTGACGTTTGGCTCAACACTGATATAAAGAAAGAAGATAGAATGGGAATAATTTAGACTATGGCTTCAACTAACGTCTTGATTTTGAAATGCTAGTCATCCTACCCCTTTAATTCAGAAACACACAAGGAGAGAGTATAGGCCAATTTTGAATTTTTTAAAGCTTGACTGTAAAAAGCGATCGTCAACCTTCTAATGAGAGTGATAGGTCTCTAATTTGAGCCCCATCAATGTGGGCCATTTGAGGTCTTTCCTTTGAACATATTTGATGGCCTTTCATCTCTGCATACCACATGCCAATTATTATTACTTGGGGTTTTTGGTTATTGAGAAATTAAAACATTTGATACCAGTAACCTTGATAGTCATTAAGGTAATTTATTTGAACAAACTTGGTAAATATCATCCCAATTGCCTTTATCAACTGAAATCTGTCATTCATCATTTTAAAATTTGTATCTTTTGCTCTATACTCAGGATCTAAAGGGGAGCTCTCAAAGGTGTGTAATTTGTTAACTTTCAGATCTTAAATTGTAATATAAAACATCATCTGTTTAATTGTCAATTTCCTGTTTCACAAATATTACTGTGATTTGTTTTAGGCTTTGAAGGTATTCCTTGTAAGGTAGCTGGTTTTGTACCAAGGGGAGATAATCCTGGAGAATTACAGCTCAAAGAATACATGTCTGTCCAAGAACAACGTATCACGTCTCAGGGTTATGCATATGCACTTGTTGCTGCAGAAGAGGCACTAACAGATGCAGGGTGGAAACCTAACACTGAAGAGGAAAAACATTCTACTGGTACTTTTGTTTCAAATATATCATATTTAAAGTTAACCTTAGTCTTTACAATTTATTGTTTCAAAATCACACTAGATATGAATGCTGAGAGAACTATTAAAATAATGCTGTGTTTTACAGGTGTTGCCATTGGGATGGGAATGGTAGGTATGGAGGAGACCTTCAACACTGGCCTCACACTGCGAGATCGAGGTTATAGTCGGGTCAGTCCATACTTCATGCCCAAAATTCTCATTAATATGACTGCAGGGAACATCAGTGTCAAATACGGCTTACAGGTTTGTTGTATGATGCTACTTGGTTATATTGTTTGATAGCTCTAAAGTAAACCTCCAGTCAGTTCACATTGGTGTGTAGTTCAAGCAACTGATTTTTTCAATAAAAACAATAATTTTCTGTCAAGTGATAATTTGAATCCTTTCTTGTTTTGTTTCACTTACAATCTGAATTCTTGAACATATCATGAAACTGTATGTAATTATTGATAACGATACTGGCGTGGCAATAATCGCTTCCATGTGATCATGTGATGGTTATATGTGATCATGTGATGGTTATATGTGATCATGTGATGGTTATGTGTGATCGTGTGATGGTTATATGTGATCATGTGATGGTTATATGTTATGGTTATGTATGATCATGTTAGGTTTATGTGTGATCATGTGATGGTTATGTGAGATATGTGATAGCTATGTCATATCTACAGTACATATAGTCATGTGATAGCTATGTTATACCTACAGTACATATAGTTATGTGATAGTGTGGTTATATGATAGCTAATTGTGGTCACCTGGTTCATGATACCAATTCTATTAAGCTTTATTTGTGATGTTTATTATAGTCACAGAGAACAAAAGTACTGCCATCAGGTGTAGACTGCTAACAAACAGATCTGACTTATGATTTGACTCTGTCTGGTAGTTCTGTATCTGATCGTGTTTATTGTTGTGTTTTTGTTCTAGGGTCCCAATCATGCAGTGTCAACAGCCTGCACCACAGGACTCCATGCAATAGGTGATGCATTCCGGTTTATCCAGCGTGGGGATGCCAAAGTGATGGTGGCTGGTGGTTCTGAAGAGAGTCCAAATCCCATATCTGTGGCTGGCTTCTCCAGGATGAGAGCACTAAGTACAAAATTCAATGACAATCCTCAAAAGGCATCCAGGCCATTTGACAAAGATAGGGATGGATTTGTGATGTCGGAGGGATCTGGTGTTTTGGTGTTGGAGGAACTAGAACATGCACTAGATAGAGGGGCAAACATTTATGCTGAAATTCTGGGTTATGGTTTGTCAGGTGATGCTAATCACATGACTGCTCCACAGGAAGATGGTTCTGGGGCCTACAGGTGCATGATGGCCGCCCTGAATGATGCACAAATTTCTTCAACAGACATTGGATATGTAAATGCACATGCTACCTCCACACCGTTGGGGGATTTGGCCGAGAGCCGAGCTATCTGGCGGCTGTTCGGAGAAAGAAATCCTGAGATTTTAGTGTCGTCTACAAAAGGTGCTACTGGACATCTGTTAGGCAGTGCTGGCAGTGTGGAAGCCATATTCACTGTGATGGCCTGTCATAGTGGGAAAATACCAGCTACAGTAAATCTGTGTGAATCAGATATTGAACTCCCATTAAAGTATGTTTATCAGAACTCTGTAGACTGGCCAACAGGATCTGCAAGATATTTAGCTGTCTCAAACTCATTTGGATTTGGAGGTACAAATGGTAGTTTATGTATAGGAAGCTTTAATTATTAAGAATAAACATTGTGTGTCAGAAAGATATTTTACAAACTCACAGTTAAATCCAGCCACTACAGAAAACAGGTTAAGGATAGTAATAATTGCATTATTTTTTGCCTTTTTTTAAAGTGACAAGTCATAATGATAAAGAACTCAGCAAGTTTAGTTTGACAAAAGTTTTTCTGATTGTTTATTTTTAGCTCACCTGGTCCGTCTTTCTGTCCATTGTCTACTGGTCAGTTTTTTCTACATATCGCTACTAGTCGCTAGCCCCAAAAAGGGGAAATTGTGCAAGTTCTTTAGAATCCTACTTCTCCTGTAGAAATGGTTGGATTTTGCCCAAATTTGGTCTGAAGCATCCTTCGGTAAAAGGAATCAATTTCATATTAATAGAAGGTCTTGGCCTCCTAGGGCATTAGGAGCAGGGCCAAAAAATGGAAATTTCGGAAGTTCTGTGATATCTTACTCCTGTAGAAATGATCGGATTTTGCCCATTTGGTCTGAAGCATTCTTGGGTGAAGGGAATCACCCCTTGGGGAAAGGAGGAGTATGGCCAAAAAGGGAAATAGCGCAAAAGCTCTAAAATCCTACCGGTCCTGTACAAATGATCTGGTTTTACTGAATTTGGTCTGAAACATTATTGCATGGAGGATGTGTGTGTGTGTGTGTGTGTGTGTGTGAGGGTGTGTGTGTTTGTGTGTGTGTGTGTTTGTGTGTGTGTCTCCTGTGTTATGTACATGTACTGAAAAATCTTGGAAAAATAAAAAAAAAATTACAAAAAAAAAATTTATTGCATGGAGGGGATTCAATTTTGTATAAATGATGAGTCTTGGCCCCCTGGGGCAATAGGGATGGGGCGCATACAGGGAAATAGAACAAATTTTTAACTCAATTGGTCCAAAGGATTGGTGAGTTTATGCCATAGCATGGTGTATGTCGTCAACTTTTGAAAAACAATGTTAATAGTTATAAACAACTCAGCACATTTTGACCAAATTCAGTCAGAAGCATTCTAGTGAATAGGGACTCAATTTTGTATAAATGGTGGGTCTAACCCCCTAGGGCCTGTTGGGCAGGGCGAAATAGGGAAATTTTGCAATATCTTTTTAAGTGCTACTAGTCCTTCTTTAGAAATGATTGGAGTGTTGGGTAAAGAGATATTTTGTGTAAACAGTAGGTCTAGGCCAACTAGTACAGGGTTCAATAGGGAAAAATTCTTTACAGTCCTACTCCTCTTGTAGGAGTGGATGGATTTGCCCAAATTTGGTCTTAAGCATTCTTTGGTCTCAGCCCCTGGGTCAGGATCCAGTAAGGGAAATGAGTAAATTCTTTATAAGACCTTCTTCTGTCCCAGTCTGAAATGTAGCATTTTTTAAGGCTGAAGAGGAATCAGTTTTGTTTAAACAATGGGTCTTGACCCTTCGGGTGGGATGTGACAGGTCACAATAGGGGAAATACAGCAATTTTTTTTAAAATCGTTCTTATTCTGAAAGAATTATTGAATTTTGCCCCAGTAGGGGTCTGAAGAGGGAAGTGAAGTTGATTTTGTGTAATTTGTGCTTCTGATCTCCTTTGGGAAGAGGGATAGGGCCTAAAAGGGGAAATAGATTTAAATCAGTTAATTAATTTCCATGTAGTTAGATGAAGGAATTCAGCAAACCAAATCAGGTGAGTGACACAGGCCCTATGGGCCTCTTGTTGAAAATATATCGGATGAAAGTTTAAAGGTTTCAACTGGTTGTCAAAATGATGACAGATTACGAACAAACATTTACAGATGAAAAACAAAAATGTATTAATAAATTTCACATTTTATTTCCATGAATACAAGTAGTTTGGCATTGTTATAAACATAAACAGTATTTACTTTGACAGCTTATCTTAACAGTATATCACAGATCTGTATGTATATCACATTTATAAAAATATACTGGAATTCCATGTTTATTTAGATATCTCTTGTGAACTTCAACACTGATAGCATGTTCTCAGAGAAAGAACTTCTTATTGCCAATAAATTATAATATTTAAGTGACTTCTCTAAACCATTTATCTTCAACAGACAATTCTTTCACATTAGTTCTCAACCAGACAATTAATACCATCTCATTCAAATGAAATTGTGAAATTTAGAAAGAATATTCCATTAATATTGTTGTTCTATTGTTGTTCTTATTTCTTTTCTGAAAATGGATGTTTGATATCAATAATGAATGTAATATATAATTATACTGAGAAATCTGTTTTCTGTCATTATTCCTGTCTGTCATTTGTTTACTTCCAATTTCAGAGCAAAAAAAAAAAAATGTTTATTTTCTGTAGTTTTGAAATGTTGACTTGACTGCAACAAGGTAGACACAGACATAATCATAAGAATGCAGGTGTTTTGATACCAGAACCTGTACATGTTACAATGATATGGCTGGTGTCGCTAAAGAGCATAGGGAGGATAAGTCGTGTAGAACTGTCATAGTTATGGAAACTTCAGTTTTGCGCTAACGCTGCAAAACACTTATGAGTAAAAAAAGGGAATGGACTGAGAAGAAATATAATTACGGGAAAACATTTATTCTCAGGATCAGATAGAGGTGGGTAAATATATTTGTAAAAAAGTCACAATATATAAACGAAACCGTATAAAGTAGGCCAATATCACAACATATCACTTTATCATGTCGTTTTATATACTGATGATACAACAGGATACACTTAACAGTACTGAAATAGGCCAATATCACAACATATCACTTTCTGACAATGTTTGAAATAGATATTATTGAATATGTTTAAGGATCTTTAGATCAGACATAAGTTATGCAGTGAGATGCAAACAATAATTGCAATCTTGTCAGTGATTGGAATGTGTAACGCCGTGAGAAGTGTTTAGTCAGGCGTGACTAATACCATCCTTATGCTTACTATAGGATACTGATTTCTTTGCTCCCACTGTCCAATTAAAACCTTACAAGCCACAAAAGGATACCTTTTCTCAGGATTATATTACGTAAACTTCTGTTTGTTTTTGTTCTAGGTTGACCCTAGTTGTTTACATGAAGTCTTCCATAACTTAATGACTTGAAGGTGGCATTACTTTGAGTGTTTCCTGATTTTTAAGTTAGTTACACTTGCTGCTGTTGCTGAAGTGCTCTGTTCTTCTCCTCCTCCTCCTTGAGGGAGTCGTGTGCAGTGCGCCAGTGATGGAGTTTGACTGAGATCTGGACCTCGAGTGGTGGGGGTGGGGCTGGTTCATCCCCTTCCTCATCTACTGTTGTGGGGGCTCCTTTGGCCCCTTTGCCTTTGTCTCCCTTTTTGTCTTCCTTGCCTCCCTTGGCGGCACTACTTTTCCTGCTCTCTGTAAATATGAAATTAAATAAAATCAATGATAATACTGTCCCCCTCCTTGCCCCCATGGTGACACTAATCCTGATCTCAGTCAACATTCAACAAACACAACAATACTGTCCCTAACCTTTGCCTCCATGGTGACACTAATCCTGATCTCGATCAACATATAACAAACACAACAATACTGTGTTTCTATTACAAAGATTGGGTACATGTTAGTGGTTATGTAAGAAGAGAAACTCTCTAGCTTCATGTTTTATTTGTTTATTGCTTGTCTCCACATGTTGTAAGGTTTTTTGTTTCATAGATAAGGTATTGTCCCTGGAACCCGTTGTACCCATATCTTTCACAATATTCTATTTTTGATCCAAGGTAGATCCTTGATCTCACTTAGGTTTTTTGCTTCACCAGACTTGTTTGTAAAAGCTTTATTTTGTTGTACTTATGAACATGAATCTATCGTACTAAATCAGACTCGTCTGAAGTCATGTAATTACCTTTGCCTCCTTTTCCTTCATCTTTCTTCTTTGGTGTCCCCGGCTTCTTCTTGTCCTCCTTTTTACCCGCCTGGATTAAGAAAGAAGTTGAAGAATTTAGTATTCCAACATATGATGCATACTTAAACTTCTTTGACCTGGATATTCAGACTAGTGTTAAGGGTCAACAAACTTGGGAAGAATGAAGTATTACCCAGACAGAAAAATCTGTGGGCATATAACCACAAAAACATATAAACATGTGTAGGTTAGTTTATATAACAATTTCAAACAGTTGCTCTTCCTGTTAAACATGTTTTGTACACTGCACAATTTCATATAGAAATGTTTTCAATGGACTAGAAATATAGATATATTGATCTCTGATTGGTTTCAGCCGTGGCCATTGTTTTATAATTCACACAATAAACATTGAACTGAGTGTGAGAGTGTTTGTGATATACAGGTGTGGTGTCTATATATCTATTGCTGTAAGTTATTACATTTATTACGTCATGCATTTAACACAGGTTCACATGCTGACAACATTAACTTCTGTCATTTAAAGATTAATCATTATCATGTTTTTCAGTTATATATATTACTTTCTCTAAAGTAATTGTTAGCAATTGAGTACTCTGTTACCCTGAAATTTATAGCCTGGTATTAGCAAAGCAATTGAGTTCTCGTAGTATGGGTCCATATTTTATTGAATTCTGCATTCCTGTAGGGCCATCCAAGGTAGGATAGTTCCACCCTGGACATAATAATTCCTACATAAAATTGTATATTGCTGATCTTTGATACATTATTCTAAATAAATTGAAAGAAATCATTGCAGGGCACAGCACCTGTATTACCCTGACAAATCAGATGACTTTTTGGCCCAGATGATGATGATATTATCATTAATGATAATTTTCATTTTCTATGATTATAATACATTCTGTAAATGGTTTATATAGGTACAGGGAAATTCAAGATAGACCTCATGAATGGAATGGAGTGTTTCATTTCCAAACCTTTTCTTCCTGTGTAATTGGCAAATTAACGTACTGGTAAATATAGGTTCATTACTGTTTACGAGTGGAACTTGGTAAGTAGTATGTATGATATTAAGTCAGTGACAACAAAAATGTAGATGTTGAGTCACTTTAATGTCTCAACTTTTCATTGGTTTTCCTATGCCTGTATTTACATGTTTGTCGTTTATAAAAGTGATTAAATTAGTTACGGTTATATCAGAGAGGTATCTTTATAGTCATGTTTATAGTGAAAACAAATTTACACAGCATCCATAACAATAAGGGGGAGCATTAGACCACACACAGATATATCTGGAATGTAACAACAAGGACTGTATAATTCAGAAATTCACAATCTGAAAAAAGAAATCTTCACAAAAACACATAAACTGATAGACACAACAGATTACACTGGAGGGCAGTCAGGACTTTACTGCAAGGCCTGCATTGATGTTGTAAAATACTGTATCAGAATCAAACAAAATATACCTAAACTGTGGCTTGTCACAACAAAATCATGATAGACTGTCACACCAGATATACAAACTGTCTCTGGTATTAGACAGGATGATGATAGAGAGTCACACCAGATATACAAACTGTCTCTGGTATTAGACAGGATGATGATAGAGAGTCACAGGAGATGTGTAAACTGTCTCTGGTATTAGACAGGATGATGGTAGAGAGTCACAGGAGATGTGTAAACTGTCTCTGGTATTAGACAGGATGATGGTAGAGAGTCACAGGAGATGTGTAAACTGTCTCTGGTATTAGACAGGATGATGGTAGAGAGTCACAGGAGATGTGTAAACTGTCTCTGGTGTTAGACAGGATGATGGTAGAGAGTCACAGGAGATGTGTAAACTGTCTCTGGTATTAGACAGGATGATGGTAGAGAGTCACAGGAGATGTGTAAACTGTCTCTGGTGTTAGACAGGATGATGGTAGAGAGTCACAGGAGATGTGTAAACTGTCTCTGGTGTTAGACAGGATGATGGTAGAGAGCCACAGGAGATGTGTAAACTGTTTCTGGTGTTAGACAGGATGATGGTAGAGAGTCACAGGAGATGTGTAAACTGTCTCTGGTGTTAGACAGGATGATGGTAGAGAGTCACAGGAGATGTGTAAACTGTCTCTGGTATTAGACAGGATGATGGTAGAGAGTCACAGGAGATGTGTAAACTGTCTCTGGTATTAGACAGGATGATGGTAGAGAGTCACAGGAGATGTGTAAACTGTCTCTGGTGTTAGACAGGATGATGACAGAGAGTCACAGGAGATGTGTAAACTGTTTCTGGTATTAGACAGGAGAATGACAGAGAGCCACAGGAGATGTGTAAACTGTCTCTGGTGTTAGACAGGATGATGGTAAATATAGACACACAATATATGTACTAAAACAATAAAAATGTCAGTATTATGCTGACATAAGCAAAGATGTGTCCTGCACAATCTGTAAAACAATAGGTGTAACACTCGGACAAGTTTGTATATATTTAGGTGTTGTAGGTACATGCGGTATCACACTGTAAATTAAGCTTGTAGTGAGTTAGCGCCTGTTACTGAGTATACTGAGGATATCCTTATATAAGTCATACTTCCTCGTCACTGACAGATTCATCCAACTCCTCCTCCTCCTCCTCTTCCTTCAAAGTCATAACACAACATTGGATAATTACAGTGTTAAACAATACTAGTCTTACAATTGTGAATGGTACAGGATAGTTCCAAGCAAATAATTCTTAGAGAATTGAGAAAAAGATTTTTGTAACTTTTCTTAGAAGCTTCTCAATAGTGACTCTTCTGTATCTCCATGACAAAAAAACTGCTCACATGCTCTGCTACTCTTTGGAGTCAAAATAATAAAGGCTTATTATTCAACATCATTCGAGTAAAACCAATAAAGAAATGACCTTGACAAATGATGAACTCTAACACAAACACAGCAGACAGACATAATGATGTACTGACCACTAAATAGGCCACAATACTTAACATGGTGGGGATATTGTCTGGTGGGGCTAATGTTACCTCCATTCTTTTAAGAAACTTTCCATCTGAAAGCCTTATTTTCAAATCTTTTTCAAAGGAATTTTCATGTATTTGTTTTGGTGGAAACATTACCATTGGGTACGGAGTTACGTACCTTTTTCGAGTCTGTGTCTACACTTTTGACAGTGGAGGCAACCTCGATGCCACCATGTGTAAAGACAGCAGTCATCTCATACTCGCCCTCCAGGAACTCCTCTAAAGGTTGATGCCACGTGGCCAGTGTGGTATATGTCGGTGGCATGCGCTTCATCTCTACCTCTGGCTCTTTCTTTCCTTTCTTCTTTTTGTCATCCTTCCCTCCTCCCTGATGGTTAAAAACCCAGTACTTTAATTCAAAGCAAACAATTCTATAAACAAAACCCATATATAACGATCATAAAGATGAAATTGTATTATCCTACAGCTAACACTCTTTATCTATTTTATATCTTCCTGGACATCTACTGAATGCTGACAAACCATTACATGGAAACTACAACTAAACGTATGGATTGTTAATTAATGTAACCTTCACATGTTTGCATGATATATTCAGGTGTTGAAACTCTTGATTCTTGTAGTTAAACAACTTGTAATGCATACAGGTACGATACAGTTTATCAACATTTTCTTCAATAATTTTCCTTGTCTCATGGTAACCACAAATGATTATTTTTTGAAGCTGTCCATGATACAACACTGATTATCTCGACCTGTTATAGATGTACATTATATATATATTACAAGTAGTGTGAGTATTAATTGTAGACAATAAATAACACCAACTCACCACACTTCACCAATAACACCTTCCTTACTCATAGTATCCATTAATAATCAAGTAAGGAAATTAGCAAGTTTTCTTACATGAAGTAATCAAGAGCAATTCTAAAATCATGTTTACCATTATATAACTATTGTCATTTTACTTCATATTTTATATATTTACAATAGATATACTGTATGATTAACATAGCTTGCCACCTCTAATGGTGTCTCAATTTAGAGTTATGAGAGAACTACAATCCTACACTCTGATGGCATCTTATCGTAGTATAATATGAGGAACAGAATCCTACATTTTTGATTGTGTCTCTTTGTAAAGTAATATGAGAAATAGAATCCTACACCTTTAATGGATGCTCATTTAAATATCAGGTAATATGAGAAATAGAATCATACATTTTAATGGTGTCTCATTGTAACAAAATATATGGGAAACAGAATCTTAAACTTCTAATGAGTTTACCATTTGACAACCATGATATTAATAGAATTTTGTACACATTTGACAGGGCTTGTGACATATAAGAAATTTCAAGATCATGTGTTACAATTTATCTGAAAGTATTCAGGAACTATGAATAGGCAACTTGTAGTCTTCTTGACCTCTGAATGACCTATGACCTCTATCTTACTTTAGCTTTGTCATCCTTTTTGTCCTTTTTCTTGTCTTTTTCCTTGTCTTTTTCCTTTTTAGTGGGTGTGCTACACTGTGAATCCTCTTTAGGGAAACACATCACCTGTAATGGCAGAATGTTAGCTAGCTCACTCCACATCACACCATAGCCTCAACATCACCATCCAGCCTCAGTATCATAGCCCTTTCCCTATCCTGATCAAGTCTTTCATAACAAATAGTTAATGTACTTGAACATAAAATTCATTTTCTAAAGTATTTACATTTGCTATGTAAGGAAAATATTTTGTTTGAATCCAAATTTTTAATAGAATATTATTCAAACTTTCCATTATTACTTTTAAAAATCCAGTTACATAAAGGGTGGAGATCAATTTATCAATTTAATTTTCTTAGCTTAAAATTTTGAACAAATGTAATTTTGTAATGAAAATCAAATCTAGTTAGAAAGTATGCAATTGACTGTGAGAAGTATTCCAGTGTTTGTAACCACTTGATCAGGATATGATACTGGAAGTAAATAATGCCAAAGTAAATGAGAAAAATGTCTGAAAATAAGTATAGAAGCAAAAACCAACAAACTTCTGTGTACCACCCTGATTGTTAGGGAAAGAAAGACCTTTTATATCAAGGTCACCTAATAGTTATCTCCCTTTAGGACAGAATAAAAAAGACTGATGTTTAACAAATGCTACAATTTTAAAGATGTCACAAATATACATTTCAATTTTTTTTCTAACAAATATGATTTTTTCATAGCAAACATTGAGAGAGGAACAGAAGTTTAATGGCACTTTTGTTTTACATATGAATAATCAAATATTAGTACAAGCAAATTATGCAATGCCTAAAATACCAAACAAATGAAATAATAAAAAGTGCTGATTGTAATTCATATTGTGTCATCCCTTGGCCACCACATAAAAACCATCACACCAGTCAGTCAATTCTACACCAAAATAAAGCCAGATTTCCACAGAAAAAGAACCTTTTTAGCGGACGACGCTGACTTCTGTGACTGGGATACAGGTGTACCCACAGGTGATTGTTGGAAAAGTTCCGTCTGTAAGGGACAAGACATACACTCTTAATTCATGTATATTAATGGTATACCAAGCTACAGTGATATGTTAAGGGCTGGACAAGTCAGATGTCAGGGTTCTATAGATTGCTGTACAGTTTGGGTTCATATATTTTAATGGTATACCAACCTACAGTGATATGTAAAGGGCTTGACAGGTCAGAGGTCAGGGTTCTATAGATTGCTGTACAGTTTGGGTTCATATGTTTTAATGGTATACCAACCTACAATGCATAACAGGCCAGACAGGTCAGAGGTCAGGGTCGTAAAGGTCAGGACATACTCTCTGGGTTCATCTAAGTGAATAGTATATAAACCTACAACACTGCCTGAAGGACTGGACAGGTCAGAGGTCAGGTGATGTTATAGAGGTCAGTCAAAGAGAGCAGTCAAGGATCTGGTAAGGGACCAGATCAAACTTTCAGATTGAGAACATCTGCTATATAAATAAAATCTTAACATAAATCCACTCATTATACGTATACATAGACATATTTCATTGCACTACAAGGTAAGAGAGATACACACAGATTTAACTGTTTTACAATATCACAACAGTGAACTTATACTTACTTGGTTGTATCATAATGAAGACAAATATATAAATATTTACATATACTTTGCTACCATGAATGTCAAATTATAATAAATGATTACTTACAGTATAATAACTTAAAAACATGTACCGACAGACAAGCTAATCAACAGCTGACAATGGTCCACACACATTTACTCTAGTCTTCTGTTTATCACCAACAGTTGTACAGCAAACCATTGTATAGTTCATAACAAGTCTTTTAGTTTATTTTGAAATGTTTCCTTATCAAGGAGAGACAGTGGTTGAAAGTAAACAAATGTGTTTTTATGGATCTCAAGTTTTTTGAAAATATTTAGGTACTGGGTAATTGCATGAGTACCATAGGCTATTTGTTATTGGATCTGAAATGTGTGATCAACACAATTTATCAGACTGAATTATCCAAACTTAAGTTACTCAACTTTGTGTGAAAATTTCAAACAACAAATACAAATGTGTGCATTAAATAAGCTAAATCTACAGTAACTTATACAGAAATAGTCTACCCTACAAAAAACAACAAATAAAATTTGTAAAACATATCCAAGATAACTACTGGTTGTTATCTTTGATTTAAATACATAAATACAGTTAGCACACCACGAGATTATATAATTTATTTGTATATAGAACTAGCATAACATGGGACTCAATATCTCATTTGTACACAACTAGCACACCATGGGTCTGAATATCTCATTTGTACACAACTAGTACACCATGGGTCTGAATAGCTCATTTTTACACAACTAGGACACCATGGGACTGAATATCTCATTTGTACACAACTAGTACACCATGGGTCTGAATAGCTCATTTGTACACAACTAGGACACCATGGGTCTAAATAGCTCAATTGTACACAACTAGCACACCATGGGTCTGAATATCGCATTTGTACACAACTAGTACACCATGGGACTGAATATCTCATTTGTTCACAACTGGTACAACATGGGTCTGAATAGCTCATTTGTACACAACTAGGACACCATGGGTCTAAATAGCTCATTTGTACACAACTAGCACACCATGGGTCTGAATATCTCATTTGTACACAACTAGTACACCATGGGTCTGAATAGCTCATTTGTACACAACTAGGACACCATGGGTCTAAATAGCTCATTTGTACACAACTAGCACACCCTGGGTCTGAATATCTCATTTGTACACAACTAGTACACCATGGGTCTGAATAGCTCATTTGTACACAACTAGGACACCATGGGTCTAAATAGCTCATTTGTACACAACTAGCACACCATGGGTCTGAATATCGCATTTGTACACAACTAGCATACCATGGGACTGAATATCTCATTTGTACACAACTGGTACAACATGGGTCTGAATAGCTCATTTGTACACAACTAGGACACCATGTCTGAATATCTCATTTGTACACAACTAGTACACCATGGGTCTGAATAGCTCATTTGTACACAACTAGGACACCATGGGTCTAAATAGCTCATTTGTACACAACTAGCACACCATGGAACTGAATATCTCATTTGTACACAACTGGTACAACATGGGTCTGAATAGCTCATTTGTACACAACTAGGACACCATGGGTCTAAATAGCTCATTTGTACACAACTAGCACACCATGGGTCTGAATATCGTATTTGTACACAACTAGTACACCATGGGACTGAATATCTCATTTGTACACAACTGGTACAACATGGGTCTGAATATCTCATTTGTACACAACTAGTACACCAAGTGTCTAAATAGCTCATTTGTACACAACTAGCACACCATGGGTCTGAATATCTCATTTGTACACAACTGGTACAACAAGTGTCTAAATAGCACATTTGTACACAACTAGAATACATGGGACTGAATATCTCATTTGTACACAACTTGCATACCACGGGTCTAAATAGCTCATTTGTACACAACTAGTACAACATGGGTCTTTTAAGCTCATTTGTACACAGGTCAATAGGTAAAATAGGTCATTTGTATATTCAACTAGCACACCTTGGGTCTGAACAGCTCATTTGTATACAACTAGTACACCATGGGTCTGAATATCTCATTTGTACACAACTAGTACACCATGGGACTGAATATCTCATTTGTACACAACTGGTACAACATGGGTCTGAATATCTCATTTGTACACAACTAGTACACCAAGTGTCTAAATAGCTCATTTGTACACAACTAGCACACCATGGGTCTGAATATCTCATTTGTACACAACTGGTACAACAAGTGTCTAAATAGCACATTTGTACACAACTAGAATACATGGGACTGAATATCTCATTTGTACACAACTTGCATACCACGGGTCTAAATAGCTCATTTGTACACAACTAGTACAACATGGGTCTTTTAAGCTCATTTGTACACAGGTCAATAGGTAAAATAGGTCATTTGTATATTCAACTAGCACACCTTGGGTCTGAACAGCTCATTTGTATACAACTAGTACACCATGGGTCTGAATATCTCATTTGTACACAACTAGTACACCATGGGACTGAATATCTCATTTGTACACAACTGGTACAACATGTGTCTGAATATCTCATTTGTACACAACTAGTACAACATGGGTCTGTTAAGCTCATTTGTACACAGGTCAATAGGTAAAATAGGTCATTTGTATATTCAACTAGCACACCTTGGGTCTGAACAGCTCATTTGTATACAACTAGTACAACATGGGTCTGTTAAGCTCATTTGTACACAGGTCAATAGGTAAAATAGGTCATTTGTATATTCAACTAGCACACTTTGGGCCTGAATGACTTACCTGGTATATGCAAATAGATGTTTTATTTTCTCAAGACTATTTGGCCCATGGTTTATGTATTTGTTAGACTGTAAAATTGTTACTTGGAGTAGCCTTTTAAAAGCTATAAATATAAACTTTATTTATTTGACAACAATTGCAAAACGACCTGTCAGCATATATTAATCACTCTTGTTGGCCCAGATGGATGCACATACAGGATCTTACCGTTAGCAGAAAGCGGAGTATCTGGGGAAAACCCACATGGCCAGACAGGTGACCCCATACCTTTTCTAAATTTGGAAAAAAATGGCCTGAAAATTCTTCTCAATACTGTTGATATGCAAGTGTAATATCCACCACTACAAGTCAATTTTCTGAGTTAATGTTGAGCTGGGCCAACTAACAACAAAAGATAAGTTTTGACTAACTGACGACAAACATCACATCATGACATGCCATAAACTCTCTTTTTCAACGTGCTAACAAAAAATGACTAAAATTTTTCTACATTAAACCTAATGGTGAGCCAGAGTATAGTCTAAGTGAGCCACACACTTAAACAAGAACCTTTCTGCTGCCTGAAGATTGAAGTGAGGGTCGTGACCCCCGGGAAGTCCGGGAGCTTCGTGACCCCCGTGATGATGCTGACCCAGGGAAATTTGGGGACAGAACAGGCTCAAATAGGGTCTGCAAGGCAATGCATCAGTTAACACAAGAACACAGAACAACACTTTACTGTGACAATATTAACAGATAACAATGATATTTAAATGTGATACAACAGATCAATGGTTAGAATGACAACAATGTTTACTTATTTACTCAAGAGCGACAACACACAATTTACAGGTGTGATATTACACTATTACAGATATGACAATACAACATGTACAGGTGTGACAGCACACAATTTATAGACCTGACAACACAACATGTACAGGTGTGACAGCACACAATTTATAGACCTGACAACACAACATGTACAGGTGTGACAGCACACAATTTATAGACCTGACAACACAACATGACAGGTTGACATTACAACACAACATTCACATTTGTGAAAACACAACATTTAAAGGTGCTACAACACACCATTACATATGTGACATGTTGTAACATGTTAAGGTGTGAAAACACAATATCACAGATGTTACAATACAACAATTACAGATTGGGCAACATAACATTATATTACAGGTATGACACCAAACAATTTACAAGTGAGACATGTTAACACGAGTGACAACACAACATTTGCAGGTGTGACAACACAACATTTGCAGGTGTGACAACACAACATTTGCAGATGTGACAACATAACATTTGTAAAGGTGACAACATAACATTTGCAGATGTGACAACACAACATTTGCAGATGTGACAACACAACATTTATAGTTGTTACAACAATGTTTTCATGTATGACAAACAACACTTTCATGTGTGACAAACAACATTTACAGTTGTGACAACAACATTTGTAGGTTTCAAAACACATTACAGGTTATAGATCATAAATTTTACAGGTATAAAACATACCATATCAACCTAACTTTCAAAAGCAGGCAGGAATTATCTGACATTACATAAACATATATATGACACAAGACTAAATATACTTATACAGCTGTATAATGGAGAAAGAAATTATAAGTGTGATTTTAGCAGCTACCTACCATTTCCTCCACAACAGAGAATTGCATGCCCTGCTTGAAGAAATTGCGAAGGTCAAGGAGTTCATCCCGGATGACAAGCTGTGATGCATCAATCTCCACCTCCTCTGCCCAAGTGGCACCCCCAAGTTTAATGGCTTCCAGCTGGAGCTCTTTCTTCTCCTCCTCCAATTGTTCCTGTTCTTCCTTCTTGGGTGTGGACGACTTGGCTGGAGACAGCTTCTCCTGCTCAGTAGCTACAAAATCAAAAAATGTTCAATAGCAAACTCAAAGGGACTAAATTACCTTATTCATCTGCTATAGAACAACAAACTGGTATAGAATACTTGAAACCCACGAGTGATATTTGTAACCTATAACCTACTGATGTATCTTAACTTATAACCTACTGATGTATCTTAACCTATAACCTACTGATGTATCTTAACTATAACCTATTGATCTGTCTTAACATATAACCTACTGATCTGTCTTAACCTATCACCTACTGATCTGTCTTAACCTATAACCTACTGATCTATCTTAACATATAACCTACTGATCTGTCTTCACCTATAACCTACTGATCTATCTTAACCTATAACCTACTGATCTATCTTAACCTATAACCTACTATGTAAACCTATGACATTCAGAGCTTTGTATCCTTTAACCTCCTGACCTATGTAACACATGTTCTTCTTACATATATAATCTACAACCTTTTGACCTATCTGTAGGTATCGTCTGACCTATGTAACCTTTATCCTTCTTACCTGTTTCTGTGGGTTCCCTTGCTATTACAACCTCAGGTTCAGCAGTAAAGTTAACATTTTTAGCAGCCTCTGCTGGCGTGGAGTTTTCCTCAGGATCATCAGACATTAGGGCACTGATCTGTAATGAATGATTTGATATAAGTTAACCAGTATCTACAGTATTGATAGGACAAAATTACATATACTTTGGTACCTATATAACTATATAGTCTGGTACTAATATGATGTTCAAATGTATCTAGCTTGGTACTTTAACGTATCACTATAAATACTGATCTAACAATAGATGTATATGCTACAGTATTAGTGTATTTACAAGTGCTTCTGGTGTAATTTTGAAGTTTTATAACAATATTATATAAGAGATGGTTCAATATTCTATATTTATACAAGGCATATATATCATGGCATGGACAATCCTGGTGGGAACTGAGGGGCTAACTGAAATTAACCCTCTATTTTTTCCATTTTCTTTTTGTTCCACATTCCTGATAGGATGACCAACCTTATATTTTACATTGACTAAAACTAATTGCTCTCAGTGTCCCTGATTTTCCCTGCAGTAGTTTGAAAAATGTAAAACTGTAGTATCATGTTAGCCATAATAAACAGATTCAAATTATGTGTGACATCACATAAAATGTGTAAAAATGTTTTTGCTGACTGAGGGAAAAATTATGAGAATGCTGGTTAATATTCCTGGTAGGTAAAAACATATATATAGGTACTAGACAATCTGCCCAGACAGCTAATATATTTACATTGTAAAATATATATAAATACTTAACTAACAGCTAACATGTGTACGATATAGGAAAACTATCAACATTCTAAGGTCAATCCAATAAGTAAACCCTAACATAGTGCTAATACATTGAACAATATGAGCTGGTGACTACATTCTTCTGAACTAAGAAAATTAATTTTAGTTTAGTATTTTACTAGATTAGTGCTCTATTTCTATGGTAAACTGAGATAAAAAAAATGATATCTGATTGTTTATTTTATATTTTTCTGATTTAATCTCAGTCATGTCTCCTGAAAATTTAGTATGATAAACCATGGACAGGTGGCACAAGTTTTTCAACCCTTTCACTGTTTTTAAGATTAAAATCATCAAAATCAAAAATGCAGTCACAGTGTGTGAGAAGAAAGTTTATCAGATGAAAAATATCTGATTGCATGAAGCAACTTTCACCCTCCAAACTACATAACTTTTGAAATTCGAACTTGTTGTTCAAAAAAGAAACAAAAACGAAAAAATTAAATACCGTACCAAAACATAGTTTTAAAAAGTTATACCAAAACATAAAAAAAAAAATTAAAATATTAAAAAGCAAAATTAAATGACGAAATATTCTAGTGCATTTACTCCCGTGTCTAATTTACTCCCATGTCTAGTATATGCTGAACATAAGTGAACTCTTGTTCCACAGTTCAGTGTAGCAAAGTATATTGAAGAAATTGAATATTTAAATTTTGTGATCATATTAAAATGTTTGGGGTGAGAAGAGTGATCAGAACAAGTGATACAAAGAGAAGTGATAATCATAAACACAAAAAATAAATCATATCTAAAAAATAGGTGCAGAAAGAATTGACTGGTGAATAAGGATTACTGCCAATCGTTTCCCCAGAAGTAAAACCCACACAGAAGTGACTTGGTGGAGAGAGTAGTACATACCTACCTAACTTATATTGATCATTATCACATAGATACAGTCCTCTAGACTGATCTTTACCTTATACAGTTACATATTCCAAGACAATACCAAGAGAAATAACTTAAAAAATATCTCATTTTGTTGACAATCATTACAATCAATGTTTGAAATAACTGAAAAATTTATTGGACATTCCTAATGATCAAACCAGTGACATGTATTGTTTCTAAAGAAGAACATAAACACCAAACAGAATGAAAGAAACACACAACAGATGTAAAAGGGAGAAAGTGTTACCCGTTGACGAGCTTTTGTCTACAAAGCAAATTGAGTCACATTCATCAACACAAACATTCCTGAGTAAACAGCACACTGCAAATACTTAGTAACATTAACATGTCATTAGTTAAACTTTACAAATCATAGTTGCCAGCTATCCATATTCAGGTGTGTGATTTTTTAACCCCAGTCCTAGATATAAATTACTGATAAATCTTATTTATTGTTTTTTGTTCAAAATGTCATTAGTAAAACAGAAAGGCCAGCTGAATTCTAAAATATGAAATTTGATGACAAAATCTCCTCAAAGAAATTTCAGAGTGTTGGCAACTAGGATTGACAAAGAAATTACTATAAGACAATTTGGTGAATTACAGTCCCCCACCTTCACACTGCCTCACCAAGAAAAACCAATATCCAAAGTATGAAGTTCCAATGACTAGTTGTGTAGGAGATACAGCCCAGATAATTTTTTTCTTTGATGAAGGTCAAAAGTCAAAATGTAGGTCAAAGTGACCTACTTTTGACACATGACACACTGCCTCTTTAAAGTAGGAGGTAGGAGTAGGAAGTTCCATTGACAAGTAGTGTAGGAAATAGAGCGCAGACAAACATTTGTCATTAACATAGGTTAAAGATCAAAATGTAGGTCAGAATGACCTACTTTTAGTGTACCAATACTTGAAGTATGAAGTTCAAGTGACAAGTTCTGTAAAAGATAGAGCCCAGACAAATTTTTATTTGATGCAGGTGAAAGGTCCAAATGTCGTAGAATATACCCTACTTTTGATACATGACATGTCCACTTATTAAAGTGAACCTCTACCAAAAGTATACAGATCCAGTTCTAGTGACCAGGGTAGGAGACAGTGCCCAGAAGAGAAAGTGGAGAGACAGACGGAAAGATAGACTGACACAACACAAAACTATAGCCCTTGGATCCCTTTGAGGACTAATAAGCTATTAGTATAGAATGTGTTTGCTTACTATACACATTCCTGTTTAAACATAATCAAAAAATGAGCACACAAATTATCAATCAATAACACTATTTCTGTTACTGTTTCAGTGTAAAACACTCTATGTTGTTGTCTACAATCGTTATAAGCATTAAATGATATGTGTTACACAGTTTTCTGTTTCCATGATCAACCACCAACACAGTGACCTACAAACAAACCTCATCGGAGAAAAAAGGATGGTCTTCATCAGGACTTCTCCATGCCTAATTAAAAGCATGTTGTTATACAATAAAAGGGTCCTGATTCATCAAACAAACTGGTATAATGACTACGGTAAATCTGTTTTCAAACACAAAGCTAGTGAAGTTTTGATGACGAGAATTACGTTTATTTCTTTTGTAATCCAACAATCATTCCGAGAGATTTGATGGGAACCAAGAATGAGTTCAGAATTTAAACTTACTAGTATTACCCGGTATACTAGTGAAGATTTTGAATTAAATGGAAAGTTTTCCTCCATAAATTGTATGTACAGTATTAAATACTTGAAAGCTTTATATTCTTATTCCAGGAAATACACTATCAAAGTTTTACAATTGTTTCAAAACACTTTTGTAACTGTTCACAACATCTATACAACAGATGTGTAACTCCCTTTTGTGCCCTCTGTGCAATCTAAACTTACCGCTTCCTCGGAATAAACAGATTGTTCCTCGCCAGGGAGTGGGGATAATTCTCCCAGATCATCATGGGACACCTCCAGGACATCTCCCTTGCCAGCAGTATCATGCAAGAACATAAACTGCACATAGTACTTTCTTTCAATGACCGGGAACTCAGGCTGTTCTTCTGGGTTCTGTGGACAAACAATTTCTTTATCAAATTAGACTAGACAAAGTAATAAGAACAAATGAAAATTTAGTACAGCATCAGATATGACAGTTTTAATGCAAGACATTACAACATCCAAAGACGTATAACAAGGCCATGATAAATGAAAGAGGGTGTGATTTATGCCTTGAAAAAGTGGAATGGAGACAAGGTGAGATTGAGATGTAGCTCAAATTGGCCTATCTATTATATGAAAATTAGGTACTATGATACAAAACCTTATAAAATGGGAATTTATATATAGACATTTGACATTGACCTCCTTATGGAATGAGATAGATATTACCTGATAATCTCTCTCTATGTAGACCTTGACCTCTATTGTATTGTGACCTTGATTTTCTCAGGGATCTGAGAATCTCCAACTAAACACTAAACATGATTTTCTCAGGGACTCTTTGACCTCAAAACAATTTTCCACTCTATACATACTGACATTGATCTACAGATAATACCATCCTTGGCCTTCATAGGGACAGAATAAAAATGACCTGGCAATCTCCCACTGTATACTGACCTTAACCTTCTCATTTTCAGGGACTTATACATACTTATAAACTAACAATCTCTCATTGTATACAAACTGACCATGACTCCCAATGTCTACTGACCTTGACTTTCTTAGAGACTGATACTAAGGACCTGACAATCACAGTGACCTTGACCTTTTCAGATACTGATGCTTAAGACCTGACAAACTCCCAGTGTATACAGACTTTGACCCTCACAGTGTCTGATAAATATAACCTGACAATCTCAAACTATATACAGACCTTGACCTTCTCTTGGTGTATACTGACCTTGATCTCCTCAGGGACTGGTAGACCTTTGATATAGCTGACCTGTAGAGTCACCTTAGCCTCGTCAAGAATGTACTCTACAAGATGGCACAAACAAACAAAATGATGGGAAATGTAGCACATGAAATACACATGAATGAAACATCAATATAAGAACAAAACTTAATTTAATAAACATCAATATAAACATAAGAGGTTGATATTGAGTAAAAAAATAAACATCTGTACTGATTATATTGATCAAACAGATTAAGTAAACATCACTAAAGATGAAATAAAACAGTACCAAAATGGACTTCAGAGATAATTATATCAGTTTAATAGTAATTCATACAAACAGGCAACTGTTAATTTTAGTGTGGTTGTCAATTCAATGACAAAATAGATGTGTTTTACCTCTTCTCTTAGCAAGGCCTTTGTAATGATGACGTTCATCTGCTGAAATCATGATGTCATCAAGGACACTCAACTTCCTCATGCTGTCAATTGTGTAACCACGATAGCCTGCTATCAACTATTAAAAAATAGAATAATTTGGATTGTAACAGGAATCATTACATAAGCTCATCTAGTCTACTCTGCAGTTGTTAATGATACTGATGGAAATTGTTTTAGACAATTAGAAAATAATATAAAAAAAAATCCCACTTATATGTACAACCAATTAGACATATATCTTTAGTTGTATGGACCAAAAAGACCTGAATATATTTCAGATAACGCATAGTCTTGACAAAATGTATCATGAGTTACCCTGTCAGAATATACTTACAGACAGTGGGTTATCCTGTCAATAAGTATTGTGTTACCTTATCAGTGTATACTTACAGACAGTGGGTTACCCTATCAATAAGTATTGTGTTACCTTATCAGTGTATACTTACAGACAGTGGGTTACCCTATCAATAAGTATTGTGTTACCTTATCAGTGTATACTTACAGACAGTGGGTTACCCTATCAATAAGTATTGTGTTACCTTATCAGTATATATACTTACAGACAGTGGGTTACCCTGTCAGTAAGTATTGTGTTACCCAGTCAGTATATATACTTACAGACAGTGGGTTAACCTATCAATAAGTATTGTGTTACCCAGTCAGTATATATACTTACAGACAGTGGGTTAACCTATCAATAAGTATTGTGTTACCCAGTCAGTATATATACTTACAGACAGTGGGTTACCCTATCAATAAGTATTGTGTTACCCAGTCAGTATATATACTTACAGACAGTGGGTTACCCTATCAATAAGTATTGTGTTACCTTATCAGTGTATACTTACAGACAGTGGGTTACCCTGTCAATAAGTATTGTGTTACCCAGTCAGTATATATACTTACAGACAGTGGGTTACACTGTAAATAAGTATTGTGTTCAGTATATATATTGTGTTACCCTATCAATAAGTATTGTGTTGTTACCCTATCAATAAGTATTGTGTTACCTTATCAGTGTATACTTACAGACAGTGGGTTACCCTGTAAATAAGTATTGTGTTACCTTATCAGTGTATACTTACAGACAGTGGGTTAACCTATCAATAAGTATTGTGTTACCCAGTCAGTATATATACTTACAGACAGTGGGTTAACCTATCAATAAGTATTGTGTTACCTTATCAGTATATATACTTACAGACAGTGGGTTACCCTGTCAATAAGTATTGTGTTACCTTATCAGTATATATACTTACAGACAGTGGGTTAACCTATCAATAAGTATTGTGTTACCCAGTCAGTATATATACTTACAGACAGTGGGTTACCCTATCAATAAGTATTGTGTTACCTTATCAGTGTATACTTACAGACAGTGGGTTACCCTATCAATAAGTATTGTGTTACCCAGTCAGTATATATACTTACAGACAGTGGGTTACCCTATCAATAAGTATTGTGTTACCTTATCAGTGTATACTTACAAACAGTGGGTTACCCTATCAATAAGTATTGTGTTACCCAGTCAGTATATATACTTACAGACAGTGGGTTACCCTATCAATAAGTATTGTGTTACCTTATCAGTGTATACTTACAGACAGTGGGTTACCCTATCAATAAGTATTGTGTTACCTTATCAGTGTATACTTACAGACAGTGGGTTACCCTATCAATAAGTATTGTGTTACCTATCAATAAGTATTGTGTTACCTTATATATACTTACAGACAGTGGGTTACCCTATCAATAAGTATTGTGTTACCTTATCAGTGTATACTTACAGACAGTGGGTTACCCTATCAATAAGTATTGTGTACCTTATCAGTGTATACTTACAGACAGTGGGTTACCCTATCAATAAGTATTGTGTTACCTTATCAGTGTATACTTACAGACAGTGGGTTACCCTGCAGTATTAGGTTCCGTAGCTTAGGGAGGGTGCCAAGTTTTCGTACAACATCTAGAAGGTCAGTGAGATTGTTGTGGCTTAGATCTAGAGACAGCAACTGAGGCCTGCAGTACAGCAATGTATACACTATAATACTATGATAAACACTCTGATAGTGTATAACATTGTATTTATAGATACAAAGTTAATGATGAAGATTGTCAGCCTTGAAGGATATTTTATTAAAGTGTATATGACTTACCAGTAATCCCCTGTTAAGTAGTCACCCATGAAGGATATTTTGTTGAAACCTAGACCTAAGTGTATCATGGACTGAGGAGGTCGCACACACAGGGCAGACAGATCGCTAATCTTGTTGGCACATAACTCCAATACCTTGTATTGATGGAGATAGAAGACAGGTCAGAGTAGGCTAGTGCACATCAAATATCACTACTTTCATAAAATGTTGATAAAAATAAAGGAAGAAAAGCTGATATGTCTAATTGAAAAACAAAATGTACCAAAAATAGAGGAGAAAATTGTTTTTAATTATCTTTGCCCTTTCAATTAAATATTCCCATGCAGTCTTTGTAAAGGCTAGTGTTATTTTATTTTTTATTCAATTATCATTTATTTTGTAGATAATAAATACAGCTATTTAATCATGTGTTTGACAATAAATTGTACAGTATTTGACAATAACACATATGTAAGTTACCTTGAGACTAGGTGGAAGATTTTTAGAGTTGACAGTTACAAGATGATTAGCACTTAGTGTCAACTCGTTTAGATTCCCAAAACGTAATAAATCACCATCAACTTCCGTCACCCCTTTATCCACAATTCTTAATGTTTGAAAATGATTCAGAATGAAATTGTCATCTAGAAGCCATGGTGATTTCACAGCTATCTCACGTAATCGTTTAGCCTCAGCACTCCAGCTGTAGTCCAAGTGCCAGGGAGAATATTTGGAGCCAACATATTCCTCAAGTGTCTCTGTCTTTTCATGCTGAGCACCAAAATCTGAGAATTTAATCAACATGCGTATTTTTGAAACATATCAATTTTGATCAAACATAGATTTTGAAAATACCTCATAGATATATACACCATTGCCTTTTGATTTGTAATGAAATTACCTGGGTAGTTCACTTATTTTTCATAATTGATCTTTATGCATGTAAGTGGTATAACAGACACTTAGAAGGAGACATATTATATCATTTTTCACATATACACAGGTGTGATCTCTTTTTAAACTTACCTTTCAGAGTGACAGAATACTTTGAATCCACATTTTCACTTGCTTTCAGTTGCTGAATACTTTTTGCTTTAGTTTCTCGCTGTAAAACAATGAAATACAATTTTCTTTCACAACATTAAGCAGAGTTATATATGATAGACAGACTTCAGATTGCTATGAGTTCAATCATGATATCATAATAAGGACAATTTAACAATTTAATTATCAAAACTTGAAAATTAACAGACATCCATATTATTAAGTTTTACAATGAGCATATGATGATATATTGTGTCGAAATTCAAAATTGTTCAAAACCTTAAAAAAAAAAAAAAAAACAACAACAAATTAACAAACTTAATGTTATCCACCAACTTGAATGCTTATTGCACAATGGATTGGGAATGTCACTGAATCAGACATTTACATAATAATGGCCCAGAATTGCACAAATTTTGATGAAAAAAAAATAAAAATAAAAATATGTTAAGTGATTTGTTGTTTTATCTTTTCTCTGTCAAATGAGCCACATTTCTTAATTCACTTTTTTTCCATACCATAAACTTTTCAGGTAATTTTTTTAATTGTCATTCTACAATTCACTTGTTAATTCAAATCGAAAAGCAGTCATCATTTTAAAATCATCAGCTTTCCAATAAACAATGTACATACTGCAAGGAGTCATGACCTATTGTTCATGACTGATTTTCATTCATTTAACATAGGACAACAAAATACTGGCATCTGTGAATAGATTTAATCACATCTTGTGTTTCTTATGGGAAGCATCACATGTTGCAGTAACCAAAATCACCCGGATACTAGGTCATGTAGGTCAATAGATCACGTAATACAGTACAACATAATGACTGCACCGAAACATACAGCAGACTGTGATTTATTTCTAGACAATATGATATCCAAATTTGATATTTGTATTCTGCCCATTTATTAACCGTGTAGAAGTTGAGAGTATAGATCGCCTTACTAGCCTCGGCTAGTGTGATTTTCCCTTTAATTGAGGGGTACAGTTCGAACCCCAATGGGTGCAGTGTGTTTTTCAATACTTCCTATTATGAATTTGGTGCCGTTGACCACTCCAAGGGTAGAAGCTACAGGAAATTGCTATGTTTCCGTAGAGATATTGAACCTTGGTTGTTGTTGTCTTTGGGGTCAATGACTTTGTGAAGGAGGGAGTATGTGTATACGTTGATGGTGCATGTTTCCATACTAGCCTCAGTAAGTGGAAACTTCCCTTTTTAGCGTCTGGCTAAAGATTGAAGGGTCGCTAGTTCGAACCCCAGCTGGTGCATTTTTCTCATTACTCCCCCTATTACAACAGAATAAATAAGTCATACTTACCCAATTTCCTGCTCCACACGGAAATTCCTTTAAACAAAGAGTTCGTAGTTGCTTTTGGAAAGCAGCATAAGCTGGAAAAGTGTCTACTTCAGTCATATTTAGCTTATTGTCATCTTTACGTTCTCTGAAATGAATGTTTTGGCAACACCGCCGCCATTTTGATGCTGTACAGTTTCTCTTCGATACAAAGTAAATACATAAGTAAGATTACCCGGCAATAAACATACGAAACGTAAACATTATTTCCATCTTCTAATAATACAACTTACAATAGTGATAATATATACTTCAATGCTAAACTAAACAACCTCTATGTATAAAGATCCATAACTGTTATGACAAACTTCGATGAAACAAATAGAATCGCGTTTCACTTTTATAATTTATTTTTAGATAAAACCAAGATGGCTGCGCCCTAGAGAAATTGTCGCAAATCGTAAATCGTTCAGAGTTTTTTCTTTCTTTTATTAAAATCTTGATAACGATGGATTCGATTAAGAAACGCTCTAGGTCCCATTCGCACTCCCCTTCTAGGAAGCAAAGGAAGCGTTCAACGTCAAGTAAAAAGAGACATAAACCAAGGAAATCTAGATACGACAGTTCTACATCGTCCAGTTCATCATCTGACACTTCTGGTTCCGATTCATCGTCTAGCGATGATAGCAGAAAACGCCGAAAGGAAAGAAAAAGAAAAAAGAAAATGTCACGAAGGAAAAGGTAATAATATTAACTTTAGGTCCCATTAATTTTATGCAGTATCTTGATGCACGATCCTTTCGTAGGTGGCTAACTAAAAGAAAATGTGTGTAATTCAAATAATTCTTGTTTCCCTTTTAGAATTTGCTTGCCAACACAACGCACTCGACAAGATTTTATTTCAGAAAAAACATTTATTTGAAAAAGAAGTGAAAAATCAGGAGTTGGTGCATAAAAAGAATGTGCAAAGGGCATCAATTTACCTAAAACAATCCAATATATATGTCGATATTTGCAATACAATTGATTTACCAAATCCAATATAAAGTTAAATTTATCCAATGACACTAGTGTTATACAGAACCATACTTGGTATACAATTTTTGTCTTATTGTCTTTAAGACTTGCGTTGTAAACCTTGTAGCTCTATTTCAAAGCAACAACACTTTGCATATGAAGTATTCATTAAGTCATTATTGCACACTCCCATGTTTTAGTCATTACGCAAGGGAAGTTCTGACACAAGCACTTGCTCTTTTTAATGGATCTCTCCTGTTGCAGGGTAATAAAGTAATTTTGTGGAACTCATGTATTATGTACTTATTTGGTCTTTATCCGTTGTGTTGAGTAGTGTTGGGTTGTATTAGATAAATTAACATTTGTAAAGGCTGTATTGGGTTGTATTGAGTAAATTGACAGACCAGGAGGCTAACTGAATGAACATGTGCATGACAGGATTTTTTAAGAGGAAAAGTAGTTAAAAATTAGGGATTTAATACATAAAAACTCTACTGTATATGAAAATTAATGATAAAAAGAGTCACAAATGTGTTGATAGCTTGTGTGTAAATAGATTATGCTCTGAATAACTACAAATATTTTTGTGGAGACTCTCGCGCCTAATTTGGTATACTTCAATCACTTCATGTTGTAAATAGATTATGCACTGAATAACTACAAATATTTTTTGTGGAGACTCTCGCGCCTAATTTGTTATACTACAATCACTTCATCTTGGACAATAGATACATCCTTTACAATGTCTTAGTGTAGGACTACATTAAAATCATAATTTTATGTGAATTAATCCATTGCTTAACCAAGCTTTATTTTAGTGCCACATACATGTAATAAGGCAGAAATTAAAGATTGAAAGAATAAATGACTGATAGATTGATGATGAATTTAATTTATCTGTTTACATGTTTGTCTATACATCTAAGTGTGTTGAGTTGTTTAGTTACCTTTTTTGCAGATGTTAAATACAAGTGTATGGCAGTTTAATTGGAAATCTGTTGTGACCTCAAGTAATTTTTGTTGCCTTTTTGATAAGTAACATTTTCTTTTTATGCCTTGTTACCAAGCAAACCTACTTCCATGGCTTGGAATTTGCCCGAGTTTGCATACTGAAGCTGGTTATTTGAGTACCAGTGTGTGACTTAGTCACAGTCTTTACTGAAGGTTTGACCATGTCTAATGAAGTATGTATGCTTTAATGATTATGTTCTCATCAGTGTAACTGTATATTTAGTAGTGTTTTATGTTTTGATGAAAATATTGAAAAAATTGGGCCTTAAGTTGGTCAGAGTGGCACTGCTTTCAGAGCTTCTGGTATGACATGTATTTGAATAGATTTCCAAATTTTATTTTTTTGTTTGTTTCTGTTTTTTGTTTTAGAGATGATTTGGCAGTAGTTTTGAAGTTCCGATTGTCCATAATTTTGAAGTTTTAGAAGAGGGAGGAGATGGGACAGACAGAGTACTGTAACTTACATATTTGTTCTGGTCTAGTGCCATTTTCCTGTCCTCAATAACTCGCCATGATGCTGTCTGACAACTGTATCCAGCTCTGAATGTAGAGAAGTGGGAATGAAAGGCACAATCAAAGAAGCTTCTAAGTTGTAGATGAAGTCACTGAGTTGAGAATGCAGTCATTGAGTTGGGGACGGAGTCCCAGAGTGTGGAATGAAGTCACTGAGTGTGGAATGAAGTTATTGAGTTAGAAGTGAAGCCACTGAGTTGGGATTGAAATTACTAAGTTAATAATAAAGTTACAGAGTTGGAAGTGAAGTCACTTAGTTGGAATGAAGTCACTGAGTTTGGAATGGAGTCAGAGTTGGGGATGGAGTCACTGAGTTAGGGATGGAGTCACTGAGTTAGGGATGGAGTCACTGAGTTGGGGATGGAATCACTGAGTTGGGAATGAAGTCACTGAGTTAGGATTAAAATAACTGAGTTTGGAGTTGAGTCACTGAGTTTGGAGTTAAGTCACTGAGTTTGGAGTTAAGTCACTGAGTTTTGAATGAAGTCAATGAGTTAAGAATAAAGTTACTGAGTTGAAAGTGAAGTCACTTAATGGGAACTAAAGTCACTGAGGTGGGAATGAAGTCGCTGAGTTAAGAATGAAATAACTGAGCTGGGAGATATGTTTAGCTATACTCTTTGCTCTTTGTTATTTTTAAACTGGTGATAAAATGTTGTTGCAGAGACAGTTCCTCAGATTCAAATTCATCATCTCAAGATAGAAAGAAGAGGAAAAAAGAGAAGAAAAAGAAGAAGAAGAAGAAATTAAAGAAAAAGATAAAAGAAGCAAAGAAATTACAAGAAAACTCAAACAAAGAAATCCAAGGTATTTCTGTGCCCTCACAAGCTGTAGGTCAACAGAAAGGGGAAGACAAGGCGTCATCAGGTACTTTTTTGGCCTAGAGATTACTGTTGATAAACAATAAACACTAAGGCAAGAAATGTTTTTTCTCGTCTGAAACTCATTAGGTACATATTCAATCATGAGACAACTTGACTGTAATAAAACTATAGCTTTATTTCATGAGCTGAAATTTGGTTTTCTCTGAAATAATTGACAAAGATAACAATAACTTCCAGAAAAGATTTATATAGACTATGCCTGTTATCTTATTCATTTATAATTGTATTATGATAAAATTAGCTGAAATGAAAAAGACAATGATTTCTAGCAGGACCAGCACCTAGGATTTTGAAGCCAATGACAAAAGAGGAATGGGAGAAACAGCAGAGTGTTGTTCGTCGGGTGTATGATCCAGAGACAGGTAGAAACAGGTAAATATACAATCAGGGAGATGAATGGAGACAGGTAGAAACAGGTAAATATACAATCAGGGAGATGAATGGAGACAGGTAGAAACAGGTAAATATACAATCATGGAGATGAATGGAGAGACGAGTAGAAACAGATTAATAAACAATCAGGGAGATGAATGGAGAGACGAGTAGAAACAGGTAAATATACAATCAGGGAGATGAATGGAGAGACGAGTAGAAACAGGTAAATATACAATCAGGGAGATGAATGGAGAGACGAGTAGAAACAGGTAAATATACAATCAGGGAGATGAATGGAGAGACAAGTAGAATGTAGAAACAGGTAAATATGCAATCAGGGAGATGAAAGGAGACAGGTAGAAACAGGTAAATATACAATCAGGGAGATGAATGGAGAGACAAGTAGGAACAGGTAAATATGCAATCAGGGAGATGAAAGGAGACAGGTAGAAACAGGTAAATATACAATCAGGGAGATGAATGGAGAGACGAGTAGAAACAGGTAAATATACAATCAGGGAGATGAATGGAGAGACAGGTAGAAACAGGTAAATATATAATCAGGGAGATGAATGGAGAGACAAGTAGAAACAGGTAAATATACAATCAGGGAGATGAATGGAGAGACGAGTAGAACAGGTGAATATAAATGTATTATCAAGGAGACATGTGGGAGTGTCTTTTATTAGATTTTAAATCTGAATCTGTTCCTCATAATGACAGATTTTTTTTAACTAATGGATATTTTAAGTGTTCTTTATGTAACCTGAGATATTAAATTGTATAGAGCGGGAATTATTTCACTACCTATTACATAGAGAGTAAATTTACTTTTATTTTTCTATTTTTTAACAGATTAATCAAAGGTGATGGTGAAGTTATTGAAGAAATTGTCAGCAGGGAGCGACACAAAGAAATCAATCAGGTGGTGTATACACTCAGGTCACATCAGTCATCAATTATATCATTGAGTAAAGGATAGAGCCAACGCCGCTGTTGTATTTAATAGAGGTCTGCAGGTTATTCGCCTCCCGCCTGGATACCCTAGGGTATGCAGGGGATTGATGAGAAGGGGTGAGCTTAAATAGGTATGAATCAATCCAACAGACTGGAGGCGGGTTCTTCAAAGATTTATTATAGGTAGTCTGTCCTCCAGTCTGTTGGATTGATTCATACCTATTTAAATTATATCATTGGATGTATGTCAGGAACAAAAATTGTTATGAACTCACCTCCTTGGATTTCAATGGATTTCCTGTATATACAGTTATTATAGAAACCATAATCATGATCAATATTTTCAATGTTTGGGTTACATTTGAGATCAATGAAAATATCATGGTGAGTAAGATGTCAGTGTTGACCCTAAGAGGTCAAAGCTAGTGTTAAGGTTACATGTAAGTTATGGTTAGGTATGGTTACATGTTGGGGTGTGGTTAAATATGAGATATAGTTCCATGTGAGGTGTTGTTGCATGTGGGGTATGGTTAAGTATGGTTACATGTAGGGTAGTGTTAGGTATGGTTACATGTAGGGTATGGTTAGGTATGGTTACATGTAGGGTAGTGTTAGGTATGGTTACATGTAGGGTAGTGTTAGGTATGGTTACATGTAGGGTATGGTTAGGTATGGTTACATGTAGGGTATGGTTAGGTATGGTTACATGTAGGGTAGTGTTAGGTATGGTTACATGTAGGGTATGGTTAGGTATGGTTACATGTAGGGTATGGTTAGGTATGGTTACATGTAAGGTAGTGTTAGGTATGGTTACATGTAGGGTATGGTTAGGTATGGTTACATGTAGGGTATGGTTAGGTATGGTTACATGTAGGGTAGTGTTAGGTATGGTTACATGTAGGGTAGTGTTAGGTATGGTTACATGTAGGGTAGTGTTAGGTATGGTTACATGTAGGGTATGGTTAGGTATGGTTACATGTAGGGTATGGTTAGGTATGGTTACATGTAGGGTAGTGTTAGGTATGGTTACATGTAGGGTAGTGTTAGGTATGGTTACATGTAGGGTAGTGTTAGGTATGGTTACATGTAGGGTATGGTTAGGTATGGTTACATGTAGGGTATGGTTAGGTATGGTTACATGTAGGGTATGGTTAGGTATGGCTACCTGTAAGGTATGGTTAAGTATGGTTACATGTAGGGTATGGTTAGGTATGGTTACATGTAGGGTATGGTTAGGTATGGTTACATGTAGGGTATGGTTAGGTATGGTTACATGTAGGATATGGTTAAGTATGGTTACATGTAGGGTAGTGTTAGGTATGGTTACATGTAGGGTATGGTTAGGTATGGTTACATGTAGGGTATGGTTAGGTATGGTTACATGTAGGGTATGGTTAGGTATGGTTAGATGTAGGGTAGTGTTAGGTATGGTTACATGTAGGGTATGGTTAGGTATGGTTACATGTAGGGTAGTGTTAGGTATGGTTACATGTAGGGTATGGTTAGGTATGGTTAAATTCAAGATCAAGTTCATTGGAAGGACAAATGTGGAATTTATTTCATTGTAACAGTTACATGGCAAGTCAAGGTCTATTAAACAAAATGTCTTTCTCCTAAGGTACCAGTAATCCTATATTAATTAGTGTACTGTACATGGAATCGGAGATAATACCACATTGTGTAACATCTTAGGTCAAAATCACTCCACCAATTAAAAAGGGCAAGTGGATGACTTCTGGGAATTGATGCCAAGGTCACATTTTCAATGTACCAATATTTTGATTTCTTTGTCTACATTTTAGTGTTGTGGTGTTGCATTTGAACACTCGGGCAGACAAAATTTGTGGTGCAAGGGCTGATTGATAAGTTGTGAGCCATGAAGAAGTTAGGCAGGGATGTCCTTTTTCAACTCTACTATTCCCTGACTATCTAAGGTTGTGTACCCAAAGACTGGTGTCATTTGGTCAGTTTTTGTCGAAGAGGTAGCATCTAAATGAGACAAGGCAACTGCAAAATGGACAGATAGAGGAGTGATTCAATATTAACAGAAGATAGGTATAGCACCTAAGGGTATCCATACTGATATGGTAGCAACATATATTCTGATGGTAGATTTTCTGCAAACGGAGCAAACAATCAATGGCACGTATTATGCATCACTTCTCATGCGGTTAAGAGAAAATATTTTAAACTCAAGCACTGCGGTAAAATCAGTAAAGGTGCGTTCAAAAGTATGTCATTGCCATGGCTGCCATTAACGATTGTGACTTTGAATTGATTGAGCATCCTTTTTATTCACCTGATCTCACTCCATCAGACTTTAATCTATTTCCAAAATTGAAAAAGGCCATTTCCAGTTAGATGATGACGTCATACATGCAGCGGAAGACTTTCTGAACAGTCAAGAAAAGGAGTTCTTTAAAAGTGGCATTGAGGCTGTTGAACATCGCTGGAAGAAGTGTATAGATACTGAAGGGAATTATGTTGAGAAATAATGCAATATATCCACCAAAAGTCCAACCCTTAAATATGAGGCTCCTAACTTATCATTCAGCCCTCACAGATCATTAGTTATTACTCAGGCAGAGTTAGATAAAAAGATGTCTCTTGTCATTATCCACCAAAAGTCCAACCCTTAAATATGAGGCTCCTGACTTATCATTCAGCCCTCACAGATCATTAGTTATTACTCAGGCAAAGTTAGATAAAAAGATGTCTCTTGTCATTCATTGACATTTCCTATTTTAAAATTTCAGTCCCAAAAAAATATTATAAAAAGAATGATGCTATAAATCAACTTTTGCATTAAGGCTGTTAAATATTTTTCAGCAATCAACTAGAGGAGATGGCTTGTTTTTCCAGTCCAAGATGGGATTATTACCAAAGTGATGTGTCTTGACATTCCGAACTGAACAAACCTATTTCAGCTCTGAAGATAGTTTATATCATTCCTTTCTAGATAGAAAAATCTCCAATACTAGCTAGATGTGTCTAATTCTGGAAGGACAAATTGACAGCACACACATGTACCAGCTGAGATAATGTAAAGCTGTTTTTATATTGAATGAATGACCAAGTTTGTTTTGACCAAATAATTTTGGTCTGGAGCATGCATTGCTTGGTGAAGAGGAATGACCCCTGCTGGTAAGAAGGTGGAGCCCTGAAGGGAAATGTGAATGTCAACCTAATCTATCTTTTCGTTCAGCTCTGTACAAATTTCATCTAGCTGTGAATTGGGCTTTATTTACGGATTGGCTCATGAAAATTTATGCGGGACAGAGGAGCTGGTAGGGGGCAAACAACATGCAACCTAAGGGACAGAGGAGCTGGTAGGGGGCAAACAACATGCAACCTAAGGGACAGAGGAGCTGGTAGGGGGCAAACAACATGCAACCTAAGGGTCAAAGGAGCTGGTAGGGGGCAAACAACATGCAACCTAAGGGTTAAAGGAGCTGGTAGGGGGCAAACAACATGCAACCTAAGGGTCAAAGGAGCTGGTAGGGGGCAAACAACTTGCAACCTAAGGAGCAGAGGCAACGGTAGGGGACAAACAACATGCAACCTAAGGGACAAAGGAGCTGGTAGGGGGCAAACAACATGCAACCTAAGGGTTAAAGGAGCTGGTAGGGACAAGCAACATGCAACCTAAGGGTCAAAGGATCTGGTAGGGACAAACAACATGCAACCTAAGGGTCAAAGGAGCTGGTAGGGGCAAACAATATGCAACCTAAGGGTCAAAGGATCTGGTAGGGACAAACAACATGCAACCTAAGGTCAAAGTATCTGGTAGAGAGCAAGCAACATGCAACCTAAGGGTCATACAAGAAAATGTGAATACAAAAGTAAGTTGAAATGTATTGTAAAATTGTAGAGTGTCAAATCAAGGTTTTGGACACTATTGTTAATATTTATTCTTAGCTATGCAAAGTTTTTATTGATAAAAAGAGTTTTTTTAATTATGCTTTGAAAATTTCATCAGAGAGTTCTTACAGAATACTTTTGTTACACATGTATGTTACTGGTATGAATACTATTGTAAGGATGTTAAGTTTGTTTTTTTCATTATAACTTTTAACTTCACTTTCATCAAACAACTTCATCTTATCATGCAATTTTACACAATCCTATTCACTGAAGAAATTAGATAAAATGAGATTCATCAGCATTACAATAAGATGGTTCTGTATAATTTCCCTTACCTAAAGTTTAATGCAAGTAAAATAATGGGTACATTGTCATATTGTACACATAAGTTAGCGTTCCATGTTTGTTGGTTACTTACAGTTTTCAATTTTGTTGAATAAATTCACAGTAATTAAAGCTATTTTGTTATTTATTAGTATACTGCCAGTACCATCAAACAGATGTGTAGGTTTTTAATTTTCTTTGTCCGTGTATCACTCTATACATTAAAGATCTTTTATACTATCTCACCTTTAAACTGCCAGATTCCATAGATGGTTAATTTGTGGGACAGAGTTTATGTAAAGTGAATGTAAGGTGAGGCGAGGTGCATGTGTTGAGTGTATGTGTTTTTGGGAGGCTGCATTTGACTTTGGTGGGCTAAACCTCTCGGGTAAATCTCTGAAGAAATGGAAACATGATTATCAAAAACAAAACATCATGATAAAGAGGGAAAATTTATTCACAAAGACATAATTTACAAAACAAATCCTCTTTCATCTTTGGTAATCAATTATATCCAATGGACCATGTCAAACATCAAACGATGGACATTTTATTTCCCCGTAACATAATATTCAATGTTTACTTCAGAGAGAAAAACAAATCAATAAATTAATAAATTAAGTCAACTGCAAGAAGAGGAGTAACCAAGTTGTGACGTTACAAAGTAATATGAATATAACCTTCTACTGGTAGATATCTTGTTAAAATTCTCAATTTCATATTCACAAGGACACTTACAGAGAAACAATAAATGTGTTGTCCCTAACTTGACTCGAACATGAAACATCTTGCTGAGGCCCAACCTCTGAAGGGAAATTGTCACTAGTGGAGGCCAATAGGGAGTGCTGTAGATCTGTACTTTTACACTCATGTAAATACTCCATTTTAGGTAGATGGAATGACAGCACAGCAATATTAGCACACTTTACATGTATTATACTCAGCTTTGAGTAGATGGAGTCAAGAACGGTAAATTTATAAATTTTTGTGATTTTATTTTCATTTTTTTACGTTTTAATCAACAAATTCATATGTCAACAAAATGATGCTGAAGATTTAAATTAATCTACAAATGTGGCAATGGAAAATCATTTTAGATTACTATGAAATACAAGTTCCACAAAAATGTTGAATTATACAGTCATGTGAGCTTATCCTGTTGTCTTTTTTTATCTGAATGTGAACGTTGCTAACTCATCACCGGTATCAAACCGTGCACAGGACACTAATCCCTCTCAATCCCTACCTGTATGCTTGTTAGAGAAAGATGCATAACAGGCAGACTGTTGTAAAGATTCAGGCCTTCTTAGGAAGATGGACATAACATGCCTGATGACCTGTGTTCTTCAAAATAAATCTATGTTACAAGCTATATGACCCATTACAAGCCATATGACCTGTGTTCCCCGGAATAAACCTTTCTTCCAAGCCTGATGACTTGTGTTAAAAATATTAATAAATTTATCTTAGAGATAGTTATCTTAGAAATAACTTTGAACATCCTCCAACTTAACATAAAAACAATAATAATCTCAACAAAAACAGTAACAGCACTGTATATATTTGATTTGGTTCAGACTATCAATTATATAGACAACAATTAAATGCTGGAATCATCATCTTCTCTTTTTAAAGTCTGTCCACTGACTACTATACAAAACAAGAGATCCCCAAGGGATCTTGGTGCTCACCATGTTTGATCTTTATTTCCTCTTGAAAGATGGATCTTTACCTTTCTTTCCTCTTCTCTATTTTGTTCTTAATTACGAGAAATTTGAAAATTCCTTTGCGATGATAGTCTTTACCTGCCAAATCCAAAATGGTTGCCTGGAAGCCATTTTGTTTCTTCTGACCAGTCCCAAAATCAAACAGGCACAGGAAGAGACCAAACAGAACATATGTATGAAATTTGAGATAGATCCATTCAGTACCCCTTAATAAACAGGGATAATCTTTACTTGGCAAAATCCAAGATGGCCACCTGTAAGCAATTCTTTTTTTGCAATCAGTACCAAATTCAAACAGGCACAACTAGGGATCTGAGATAAAAGCCTGTCTGCCATTTTGTTTTTCTGAGTCATCCCAAAATTAGATGGGCTCAACTAGATAGGACCAAGAGGAACATGAATATGAGAGATCCATTAGGTATTTTTCAAGAAAAAGCAATAACAAACTTTAATGACTAAATCAAAGGTGGCCATCTTTCAGCCATTTTGTTTTCTGATCAGTCCGAAAATCATATGGGCACAACTAAGGACTAATGGGAATCTACCTATGAAATATAAGAAAGATCCATCCAATTCTTCTCAAGAAATAGCGATAACAATTGTTTATGGATGGAGGACAGACCGACGACAGACCACGGCAATTTGAACAGCTCACCAGCTAATTGTGGTGGGCTTAAAAACATCTTATAACATAAAAAGCTCACAACATCTTTTACAAGTGTAATTATTGTGATTACAAAATGATAGCACAATCAACCTTCAGGTATGTTACAAGTTTCTCGTGTTCTGTGGTTCTGGTTACATAGGGTTAAAACAAATGTCCTATCACTCAACTATATTGTCATTATATATCTAGTACTTACAACATGGAAATGAGGCTCTTTTGTGATTTTGACCTTCAACATAATTTCAAGGGTAACACCATCTGAGGATACCACATATTCTTAAACAGAATTCCTGTATCTTTAGTCTTAACTTTGTGGTCTGTCTATTCCCACTAAAACAAGGGAAGTTTCTACATATCAAATATTTCATGTGGAACAGTACTCTTGACTGGGAATGTAATACTTATTAAACACTAAAGATTCTCCCCAAGATGAGATTTGATATTAAAACCATAACTCCTATTCTTGTTAAGTCAAGTACAATGTACAATGTCAAAATCTTCTAGTAAACTCTAGTCTGTACAATTCATTAAAACGTTATAATTTTAACAAATCAGCTGGAGTTAAAAAAATTAATAAATAGATAAATAAATAAATAAAAATTAAAATAAAACTATTGTTGGTCCTCCTATCACACTACACATCATACATCAACAAAAAGTAATTTGACTCCTAACCTTTATTTATCTACAGAAATAGTAACAGCCTTTCCTCCTGACATAGCTAACTTAGACATAATGATCCAAGACCTGATGGAAGGTATAACTTGAATGAAAGTTGATGTAAGATACATAATTGGAAAAGAATATAGTAATTCATTGATAGGACAAGACATTGCAGTAGAGATCAGCTCACAGGTGCATACAGCGAGGTAAGCTAATCAGCAAAAGTCCAAGGATCTTGACAGAGTGACCTCCCTTTCGTAAGTCATAACATAGCGTTTACTATTATGAGTGGAGAGTCTACGAAGGTACATTTTGTAAAATCATTTTGTAATCAGTGTCTTGTAAAAGCTTAGGTATTAAGTAAGAGAAAATATAATAATAGTTACAATGACAATGTTATAATGAAAATGTCAACGTGACAGATGCATTCTTCATAGAAACAAGATGGTGAACCAAGTGGACCTCTACAAGAGGTTGGTATATATAGCACATCTTCTAACATTAACAAGTACATGCATTTTTTATTCTCTACGATTAATGCATTTAATATGAAATAGATAACAAAGAATATTGTACACATGAACAACCTACTGATCCTCACACACACTAAACATACTCTGTGACTCAGGGCCTCAACAGCCCACCTGTTCCTTCATTTAGAAGGAAACTAGTTACGAAAATTCCTTTATAAAAATTATCCCTAAACCTATTTTTGACCTCCAGTTTTCATGTCCATTGTTTAATTGTTGTTCCCCTTGAAGTACCTGAGACGAAAAATGCCCTATATCACTAAAGGTCAAAAGAATGGTTGTCTCGGGTTCATGTTTCTCTTAGTCTGTACAGAGACCTTTTATACACGAGAACTGTTTTATCTGAAAAAGGATTTAACAAGACTGCTCAGTCCTCAGAAGGTTATACTTTTCCCTCGAAATGCTTCATTACAAATTTGTTCAATATCCCTGAAGCTAATTGGAATTAGAAATCTTCTAATTGAGAAGATTTAACTTAATAAATGGGTGGTGTACCATTATCAGGAGATTTTGGTGTTTTGCAATTTTTACATAAATCTTCAAGATGTACCTTTTTGCAAATTTTGCCTTTCTCAGTTTTGATTCTAAATTAGCTTGAAATCTAACTACCCATTACATACCAACTAATATTTATTTGTTATAGGAGTATTCAAAACAAGAAAGTGTTCAGGTACATGTAAGAATGTTGACGCTATAGATGTATTAATAAAAAGAAGAAAACATGCAAATTTTGTAATTTAAATTTTCTGGCGATTTTAAAAGGATTGCTAATTTTACTAAAATTACCAGGTAGATGTACACAAAAAACTCACGATATGCCATTTTATGACAGCTTACTTGCCCTTCAGAACAACGTTTCTCCTAAATGATACTTCATTGTCCTATTATAAACATATTTCTCTCTGTTTACAACTACACAATCACTAAAAATCAATCTCTCAGCAACAGCCACACTTGTACAATGCATACATAAAAGAATTAAATATCCTTTATCAAGAAACAATTTCTTTGGGATGGTATGCAAACAGATTTTCATATTGCAACCACTTAAAAACTTTGTGTGAGGTTTTATTAACTACACTCTGTTACATCTATCAGATCAATCTATTGTCAATTAACAGGTTTTGCCTGATGATGATAAGAGTAGTTCTAAAACATCACACAGCAAATTTCTAATTTGTTGTGATATACAAAGATCTATTTCTATTGTTGAATCACTTAGCAACAATCAAACATTCAATCAGAATTCTACTGGAGTATATATATATATATATATATCTATATATACAGATTAACAAGGAGTATACAGTGGACATTTGTACCCTAAAAACAGCACTTCTTAACTACTAGTAAATTCATCACTTCTGACACATGTGATGGAAAAAGAAAGGTCATCACAGACAATAAAACAGACCGATATTTCAGCAATATTTGGTGTGCAGGGTTATAACAAGTTACAATATAATATCATTCAAGATGATAGCGTCCTTTCCATACATGAACCCTGTAATCCCCTTGAGGTAGGCATTATCAGCACTTTTTTTAATAAAAAAAGACTAAGTTAAAACAAGTGTAATATAATTGTACCAAAGAATTGATTTAATTATTTCATAAAGTGAAGTATTTAAATAGAATTTCAATGCAAAGATAGATGATATCTATATTTCGAACAAATTTAACTTTGACTGATAAACTCCTAAATGAGTTATAGAACTTTATGTTATGACACCAGGGAGTAAATATGATCCAGCTCTATTCAGAGGTTCTCAAAATGACAATGATTTGGAAAGGAACATGATGTGACGCAACAAATAAACATGGGTAAGCCTATATGCCCCCTGCCTCCAACTCTCACAAAATATAAACTGCGGAGGCATAAAGATACCTTTCTGTAACACTTTACACTATCTATCTTTGTAACACCAACAAAAGCAGTAAAGCCAACCAATATTGCTGAAATATCATCTCTACATACAAAGCTATCCAAATCAACATGTTCCTAGGAACCAGTAGTAGTTACTGGAACACTAGGTGCTGAAGTGGTTGGCACCACATTTGGTACTGTGACAACTACAAAGGGCTTAACAACAGGTTGACTGATCATCTGTCCACCTTTTAGCAGGCCTGGTGAGAAGATCGGGATTTGTTGCAGAAGTGGCTGGGAAGCTAACATACTGATCTGAGATTGTGACAATCCAGAGCTTGCAGCCAGCTGAACACTTGGCGACATCACCATTGGCGACACAAGATGTGCTCCTCCAGCCTGACCCATCTGAGCCAGTGATATGAGCTGCTGCATGGATGTGTGGCCCACCATGTTGCTTATACCTGACAGACCACTAATAGTGGTTCTGGGTACTGTTTGTGGCATCAGTGCAGCCAGTGGTGCTGTCATGATTGCGTGGTGTGGTCCAGGCCCAATAATAGTTGGGCGAATGCTATTTATAGCAGCAGCATTGACCTGTGTTTGAGTGGCAGGTGTCACAACTGAAGTTGCCAAGCCATTCTGCATGGCTGCAAGGGACATGAGCGAAGCTGATGCAGTGGTGATGGTGGTAGCGGAGGAGATCTGGGAGGACGCTGTGGTGACTGATGTTACCATGGGGGTGGTAAGTTGTAGACTGGGAGACATCAGTATGGGTTGGTTCAGAGCCTTAGTCAATGGTGTCAGGTTGGTGCCAGCACTGGACATGGGTATGGACAATGCTGCTGTTCCAGCCAGCTTGTTCAATGCTGCTAGCTGGGCAGCATTAGCAGGACCCCCAAACGGGCCAAGAGTAAGTGGTGCCCTCATTTGGGAAATGGATTTCATCTGGTGTGGGAGGAGCTTGTTGGCACCAGTAGCACTTGTGGTCGCAGTTGAAGACACTGTGGAACAGAAAAACAAAACTGTTTAAGACAAAGTGAAAGAGATAAAATAAATGTAATTATTTCCATTAAATAGTTCAAATGATGAGAAAGTTATCAAATATTTGCCTAATATCATGAACACCAATTAAGATCAGCATTGTTTCCCCAATGCACTTTGACCTGGACCTTACCCTGCACTGCCCCCTGCGAGGTACCACTTTGTTGACGCTGTAGCAACTGCCTTGCCAGGATCTGAGTTACTGGAGGGCGCACCGCAGCAGCTAAGGTCTGCTGTATCACACTACTGGTTGTCTGAACAGTTGGCATGGAGACAGTAGAGGTAGTCATGGGAACTTTACTGGTCGTATTGTTGCCAAGAGTACGAGATGGAGCAGGGTTTGGATTTGAGACCTTGAGAACCGTCATAGAAGCCTGGCTCACGATTGGATGGGGCAAGGACTTGTGTACAGTTTTATTGATCTTCACCTCGTGAACTAAACAGAAATGGCAAAATCATTGCATTTTAATTTCAATCATTAAAGCTAAAAAATTAGAGTTTGTTTTCTGTTGCATTTAAGTTTCATGTGTATATCAATATATTCGCAAAGTCCGTAACATGTAAATATATTATTTAATTAACAGATGTAGTGATATAGTATAGATTTACTAATGGAAACAACCTATCAATCAAGGGTCTTAAGGGACAGATAAGAGAGGGTGTCTGAATTATCAAGTATAAGACTTAAAACCCAGTAGTTACATGAAAAAGATTGTCTACATACTCAGGTGTAAGATATAAGCAGTCGTAACACCCAGGAGATAAATTACACGGCTCTCTTCATACTAAGGTGTAAGCTGCAACAGTCTTAACACTCAGTAGTCAGATGAAAGAGACATTGTCTGAATACTTAGCTGTAAGATAAATCAGTCTTAACACTCAGTGGTCAGATAAGACAGATGTCTGAATACTAAGATACAATAGTCTTAACACTCAGTGGTCAGATAAGACAGATGTCTGAATACTCAGATGTAAGATACAATAGTCTTAACACTAAGAGGTCAGATAAGACAGATGTCTGAATACTCAGATGTAAGATACAATAGTCTTAACACTAAGAGGTCAGATAAGACAGATGTCTGAATACTCAGATGTAAGATACAATAGTCTTAACACTAAGAGGTCAGATAAGACAGATGTCTGAATACTCAGATGTAAGATACAATAGTCTTAACACTAAGAGGTCAGATAAGACAGATGTCTGAATACTCAGATGTAAGATACAATAGTCTTAACACTCAGTGGTCAGAGGAGACATATCAAAACTTGAGGCTGGAAAAGTTAGAATGTCAGAATACTTGATGGTCAGATTAAAGAGGCCTGATAGTGGCAGCAGTCAGGGAAGTTTACTTCTGGTGAAGATCTTGTTTTCAAGTTTCAGTTGATATATGTTGTGGGTACCTGTAATGAGTGAATGAGCCATTTCATCCTCGTCTTCATCTTCACTGCAGATAGGACTACCTTGCTCTGAAATACAGAGATAGGGGTTAACACGCTGGAACCAAAACCTGGAACATTATACAGAAACAAGATTTTTTTTTTTTACTCAATACACTTGTTTTGTTTACAGTACCTTTGCCAAGTTTGGTGTGTCAATGACCTTCAGATAACTGTGAATTGGTGACAAACAAAACAAGAGCTGTCGCTAAGATGGACAACTTATACCCCAATAAACAATAGTGTAGGAGGTGTTGTCTGAATAAAATTCTTTCTCTTTCATTTGGTCATCATGGCAACCAAATGGCAACTTTTTTTTTTAATTCCTTTACCTGTTTTTCTGGGGATGGTTATCACCATAATAACAGTTTTACCTGTGGCAGTGATTGTCAGGGATGATTGTAACGATGACAACAGACATACCTGTGGCAGTGGTTGTCAGGGATGATTGTAACAATGACAACAGACATACCTGTGGCTGTGGAGGTGGAGTTAGTACCCTGGTCATCAGGTACAACTGCCCATTGGTTGATGTCCACTTCTATATTCATCTTCACAAGTTCTGACTTAAGCATAGCCATTCTTTCCTGGAGACTGATTTTTTCCCGAGCGAGACGTTGCATTTCCAACTCATACTCCTTCTCTTTCCTCCGCAGAGCCTATAATACATTGGAATACCCCGTTAGTATTACAACACATAAAACCTGTGTACGAACACAAGGTCATTTTTGTTAATCTATATCTCTTCAGTCAATGTACAATTAGTGTATTTATTAAAATTTCATCAAAGTGACAATGTCAGAGTCTTCAACAAAAGTTTGATTTTACAAGATCAGAAATATATAATGCTCAGTAAAAAACAACTAAATTAACACTGAATATAGTTTCAGTATCCTATGATGAAGTCTATAAGAATATAGTTTCAGTATCCTATGATGAAGTCTATAAGAATATTGTTTCAGTATCCTATGATGAAGTCTATAAGATATAGTTTCAGTATCCTATGATGAAGTCTATAAGAATATAGTTTCAGTATCCTATGATGAAGTCTATAAGAATATAGTTTCAGTATCCTATGATGAAGTCTATAAGAATATTGTTTCAGTATCCTATGATGAAGTCTATAAGAATATAGTTTCAGTATCCTATGATGAAGTCTATAAGAATATAGTTTCAGTATCCTATGATGAAGTCTATAAGAATATAGTTTCAGTATCCTATTGAAGTCTATAAGAATATTGTTTCAGTATCCTATGATGAAGTCTATAAGAATATTGTTTCAGTATCCTATATATAAGAATATTGTTTCAGTATCCTATGATGAAGTCTATAAGAATATTGTTTCAGTATCCTATGATGAAGTCTATAATATTGTTTAGTATCCTATGATGAAGTCTATAAGAATATTGTTTCAGTATCCTATGATGAATTAAGAATATTGTTTCAGTATCCTATGATGAAGTCTATAAGAATATAGTTTCAGTATCCTATTATGAAGTCTATAAATTCAGTCTTTTACACTTAAACAATATTATTGACTATCAATATAATGACCACTTAGTAATACTTGGCTTGTTGTATCTGATCAATATATAAATATACCCATTGCTGGATATGACAAGTTCTATTAAGCTGATTGAACTTCATGTTCAATTATATAGAAGTAGGAAAACCATCAATAAAACATAATTGCTGGTGGAACAAATGATAGTATGACATCAACCATTTGGCATTCAAATACTTTGCACTTAATTTTGACCCAGCTTTTAAAGATAAAATGTAACATTGTGAAATGTAAAATGTTTTTGTAATTTTTTCCAGTAAAGTTAAACTAATCTATTAGAACTGTTTATCTGTTGTATTTGTTGTTTTTTTTATCATTTTATCATTTTAAGAAAATTCAATTCAATACTCATTTCAAATTCTTCAAAAGATCAATCTTTTACTCATAGACACAAGTAAACAACCTTGACCATTTGAGAGCAAATGAATATATTATCAGGACTACATCTGTATAATAGATCTAAGTTCTTGCTTTCTTCTACTATAACTCAGTACATGTATGAACAAATCTGTATACACTTCCTACTTTCTTTTCTAAACAATTACAAATGTTATGTAAATCTGGAAGAATGAAACAGACATCACAGACCGAGATCATGTGTACCTATACAACATGTGTAAGGTCACATGGTATAATATATAAGCCAATCAGCATTAACCATGTGCCAGCTTGGTACAAATCAGGTATACAGTGTATTATCATATGATAATGGCCTGACCTAAATACCAGTGTACCAAGTTTGACGGCTGTAGGCTCCGCCCCCAACTTAGACAGAACTAGGCTATATTTACACTTATGTACAGGCTAAGCTAGGAGTGACAATCCTCATGTAACATATCTGATATAACAACATCAAAACCTTGTATTCAATCTTAAATTGAAGAAGTACTTTAAATACTACTTAGGAGATTTCTGTGCTTATAAATAATCAATAACCCTTTAAACTCTGTAGATACATGTTCTGAGTGTGTGACACACGTCACTACAGGACCAAAGTAGTGGCTGGGGTTTATATACACTATGTCTCAATGACCCACCAGGAAATCATAACATCTACCACATATTTTCATTTTTTAGATTAGTAGTTAATGTACAATTTGATCTTCTGTGTTTATCAGATCAATTTAGTGAAATTATTTCAACTATTACTTCAGTACATTGGTGAGTTTTTACACAAGGATTAATTACTCAGTATCCCTGTGTCAAGAAAATGTACAATTTTGATAAAACTGATATATTCTGAAGGAATAGATTTGCTATTCTTTCACTTATTTCTGCACAATAGTAATTCATCAATGATAAGAACACTAAATAAAACAGGAAAGTCATTGGTCACAGGTAACAAAAAAATCACTTCCTCATCTGTCATCTTACTTTCTGTTCCTCTGCAGGAGACAAATTCTATCAATACAAAAGAATTCTTGCAGAAAATACTAAATTATATCCACACCTGATGTTGTATTTTAAAACTGGATCATAATTTCAAATGATAAGATTTTAAACTGAAAATCCTCAAGGTTCAAGTGTCTAGTGGGGTTATAAAAATCAAACAATTACTTACATAACAACCAATAAAAATTGATTTCTAATAATATCATTACTAGGAATCAAGTAGTTTATGTCTGAGTGTTAAGGTAGAAAGAATGCGTTGCTTATTACAGAATATTTTGTAAACTTTCAGTAATATATTGTTGATAATACATACCATAAAATAAATGAATATCTTCTCAGATTTGCAATAAAAACGTGGTTAATTTTAGACATTACTTCCTGTTCAACTTAAAAAGCATACCTGACACATGGCAAGTTAGTTTCACTATCCACACAATATAATAACAATCCTTGCTACAAAGTGTGCTTAATACATCTATCTGTATTGCTTTAGAGGATATTGTGCAAAGCATCCATTCATAGCAGATTTAAAAACATATTTTTTTTCATTTTGAAAAGCCTCTTTTGAGGTGAAATGAAAAATCTGAGACATGTTTCATCAATCTCATACAAATTCCAGATTCTGTTTATCGGGCAACAGATATTTTCATTATATTTTTTCCCATGAAAATGGTATGACATCAGACTAATACAAAATCTAATTTAGTAACATCCTCACTCGAATGCCTCGTCTATGACGATGTCACACGCCTATATGATGGCATAAAGATATGATGTAACAATGAAAGCAATTTGAATCTTCAGCTTAACACATCTCTGTCTGGTCATATTACATGTCCTTACACCAGATACTTGCACAAATCTTCCCTTCATATGTCCTAACAATGGTAACTGCACAAATCTTCCCTTCATATGTCCTAACAATGGTAACTGCACAAATCTTCCCTTCATATGTCCTAACAATGGTAACTGCACAAATCTTCCCTTCTGAACAAATGTTCCCTTCATATGTCCTAACAATGGTAACTGCACAAATCTTCCCTTCATATGTCCTAACAATGGTAACTGCACAAATCTTCCCTTCATATGTCCTAACAATGGTAACTGAACAAATGTTCCCTTCATATGTCCTAGCAACAATTGACAGCAAAAAATGTCCACTTCTGATGTCCTAAATTATAGCAACTGATAAAAGGAAAATCTTCCCTTCATATAACAGGGGAAAATGTCGAACTTCTTGTGTGTTAGCAAAAAAAATAATAAGTAAATGTCTCCTTCGAATGCCCTAACAACAAATGACTACAAAATGTCAGCTTCTTATGTCATTGTGAACAGGTGGCAGCAAATATTTTCACTTATGTTCTAAGAAAGGTGGCGGTATAAAATATCCATTACTTATGTTTTATCAACAGGTAACAATGCCAAATATCCATATTTTAGGTCTTAGCAACAGGTGACAGGACAAAATGTCTACTTCTTATATCATTACAGCAGGTGACAGGACAAAATGTCCACTTCTTATATCATTACAACAGGTGACAGAACAAAATGTCCACTTCTTATATCATTACAACAGATGACATAACAAAATGTCCACTTCTTATATCATTACAACAGGTGACAGAACAAAATGTCCACTTCTTATATCATTACAACAGGTGACATAACAAAATGTCCACTTCTTATATCATTACAACAGGTGACAGAACAAAATGTCCACTTCTTATATCATTACAACAGATGACATAACAAAATGTCCACTTCTTATATCATTACAACAGGTGACAGAACAAAATGTCCACTTCTTATATGTCCACTTCTTATATCATTACAACAGGTGACAGAACAAAATGTCCACTTCTTATATCATTACAACAGGTGACAGAACAAAACAAGAGATCCCAGTGGGATCTTGGCGCCCACCATTTGAGGATCTGTTTTCAGTTTTTGGAAGATTTGCTTATTTTTTTTTTTTGTTACAGGTGTTGTAAATGTTCATGAACTGGTCTTCATTGAATGTACTCAATGATTGCAAAAGATATTTGAAAAAGATCCCAAAGTATTATTAGATAGCAGTCAGTTACATGTGAATAATGGACATGGTCTTGAATCAATATCATAGAATATTGAAGAAAATATTGTGCTGTATTACTTCCAAACTCCAAGATGGCAGCCTGTCAGCCATCTTGAATTCAAATCAGTCCAAGAAAGGTACAATGCACAACTAGGGACCAAGGGGAACCTGTATATGAAATTTGAGAAAGATCCATCCAGTACTTTCCAATAAATAGCAGTAACAAACTTTTACTTTCAAACTCAAAGATGGCTGCCTGTTGGCCATCTTGAACTTGAATTGAAATCAGTCCAAGAAAGGTACAATGCACAACTAGGGACCATGGGGAAACTGCATATGAAATTTGAGAAAGATCCATCCAGTACTTTCCCAGAAATAGCAGTAACAAACTTTTACTTTCAAACTCAAAGATGGCCACCTGTCGGCCATCTTGAATTCGAATCAGTCTAAAAAAGGTACAGTGCACAACTAGGGACCAAGGGGAACCTGCATATGAAATTTTAGAAAGATCCATCAAGTGCTTTTCCAGAAATAGCGGTAACAAGAATTGTTTACAGACGGAGGGACAATGGACCACGGACCCAGTGCGATTTGAATAACCCATCATCTGATGATGGTGGGCTAAAGACCAGTTCTTTCACCCTAACAACAGGTGATTGTAATGAACTTTCCCAAGAAATTTAAGTGTATCTGTTGGGAACACCTGGAGATATTGAGCAGACACTGTTTAGGTAATTAAAATAAGGGACAATAACTGTGAATTATAGGCCAAAAGTTGCATTTATCCAATTTGTCCTTACTATAGTAGTGATGAACCTACCAATGAAGTTTGACGTTGATCTGTTGAAAAGTTATCAAAATATTGTGCAGACACTGTTTTGATGACTGAATAAAGGGCCATAATTCTGTGAATTACAGCTAGAAAACTTGTGTGAGTGATCATGGTAATGAACCTTCCTATCAATCAAGTATGAACTTTATCTATTGAAAGTTAATTGAGATAATGGGTAGACATTTCGGTAATTGAATAAAGGGCCATAACTCAAGAAATTCTACCATTATTTGTGGTAGTGGTAAGCAATATTGAATACAATAGTTATAGAGAAAGTGTTACGAAAAAGAAATTGTGACATTTATGAAAGTAAGACATAGGTTATGTGTTTTAAGCCTGCGGGGTCAGCCAGTGTCAATATATGCAGAGCATAACATAACCTGTCACCCTCTAATAATCTAGACATGGTCAGCCTCTAATGGCCTGAATATATTCATCCTCTAATTATCTTGATATTATTGCCCTTTAATGAACTAGACAATGCCTCCTAAGACCTAGACAATGTCTCCTAAGACCTAGACAATGTCTCCTTCTGTAAACCAAAACAATGTCTCCTTCTAAGTACCAAGACAATGTCTCTTTCTACAGACCAAGACATATTTACCTTCTAATTACCTTTACATGTCACACTCTAATGATTCAGACTCAGTCACCTTCTAATGATATAGATACTGTTTCCATTTAGATGACTTTGACACTGCCATCTTCAAATGTCTTGATACGGACACCTTCAAATGGCCATGATTCTGTCATCTTCTAATGATCTTGATGCAGACACCTTATAATGACCTTGACATTGTCATCTTCTAATAACCTTGATATTGTAATCTATCATTATTTTATTTTCAAATACAGCGAAAAATTACTGTATCTCATGAAAACTTAGTATCATATATAATCTATCAAAAAAATGTTGACTACTCCGTAATGGAAACTACATAAGCAAAAGACAAAATCACAATACAAAGCCGTACTACAAGGTGATGTCTTACCTGTATATATCGCAGTGAGCCTCTTAGAATACTCAAGTTGGAAGTCCTTTTGTCTTCTAATGTTGGGATTTGATTTTTCAAAAACTCAAAGCACTCTTTCAAGTGAGCTCTCCTACAAGTAAACGGGTGAAATTTGTTACAATTTAGGAAAGTTATTATCAATGTTTGCCTGTCCAAAAAAAATTTCCTTATTTACCATAGCAAAACCAGTAAAACTTCCCCATAACTGTTAAGTGTTCAGCATATTGATTATATATATAGAGAAAGAGTATTTGGTTGCTAAAGCCATGCAATATACTAAATATTTCTAATTACAGTTCATCTGTTTAGTTTTAAAGACTGTTGTCAGACTGATTACAGGAAGACAATCTTGATAACAAGATTTTACCATGATGATATTCTGATTTATTAGAATACACATTGATATGGAGTTATGTCCCCTTATCAAAATTATACATATTACCGATCTAAATCATACATATTTTAAAATCAAATAAGACCTTTCTACATGATGGAGGAACTGATCTATGAGGATCTTATTTTCTCAGCATGTATTTTTTGTAAAGAGATCACTTATGTGTTTTTTTTCTGTAACACTACAGCTAGGTTAGGTGCTCTCACAAGTATAAGACCAATGTGCAAGCCTACAGATCACTATTTGAGATGTATCAAAACTATGAAACAACAAGAGCGTAAGTGAAACTGATGAAAGCTCCCTAAAAACATCTTTATTGGACATTAAATTACAAAAAAGGGCAATAATTTTGTATTTTTGGCACTGAATTTGTTACACTGTAACAAAGGACAGTAACTCTGTAATTATGGGGTTGCAGCCCCTGAATTTGGTATGTTGTACATCATCTTAGTATGACCACAGACTTATATACACATATATGTGTATATAAGTCCGTGGTATGACCAATGTATACATCAAGTTTCAAAATGCTAGTTTTCATACAAACAAAGATATGAACTGTAGACAAAATTATCCAAAAGGGCAATAACTCTGCAATTCAGGGGTCACTTATCCCGACTTTGGTACACTACACTTTGCATTAGTATGACCAATATATACATCACATTTCATCAATACTGTTTAAATGCAGACCAAGCTATGCGCTTAATTCAAAATTTTTATCAAATGGCATTAACTCTCTAATGAAGGGGTCACAGTCCTGAAATTGGTACGTTTAGTATGACCAATGTATACACGAGTTTCATGATATTTACTTAAATGTGGGCTAAGTTAAGCTGCACACACGAAAGGATGGCATACAAGTACTGACTATGTGTTTCCCCAAAAAGAATAAAATGTCTAAAGTTGATTGCAATGGTAGGCAATTTCAGAACAATGCTGATAAGTTCTGAAAGCACACACTGGCCAGTCACTTATTGTCTAAACACTAAAATGTTGCTGGTGTGCATGTGTTTTTGAATTTTTTTTTATTATTATTATTATCAATTATTATTATCATTTTTCAATATTCATTTCCTTAACCAGATTTTATATTAAGCTATTACCTGTTCTTTTCCAACTTATTATGGACTTCACGTGTTCCAGCACTGCAAAAATAAAAACAATCAAAACTAATGCGTTTGAAAATGAAATACAATGCATATGCACTAAAACCTAAATTGAATGAGAAAAATGTTGGCAATTTCACAAAACAACACACTATATGACACTGTGTCGAACCACACGTGACGCAGTTTCGTCACTGAACACGTGAAAATTGAAGGTCGATCATGTTTACTCACCCGCCCGCTCGGCGCTTGTCTTTCCCGTCTTCGTTTCCCGATAGCTTCCCAGAATTGCTCGATTCTGGTGATCCATCAGAATCGTTTGTCGAGAGCATAGAATATCCATGCGGATCCCGGGGACTCGAGTCAACTTAAAACCAAGAAATTTAACAAATTACAAGATAGCATAGCGTTCCCGGCACGTAGAACCAGCTCATAAATATGCAAATTAGCATTATCTCCAAAGAGAGACCCCGGCAGCAAATGTGTATACATTATCGAATAATGTACCTAATCGTCATAATATCAAACAAACAGATGCAAACGTGTTTTTAAACGAGCCATTAATAGAAAGCGTTGTCAGTAGAACGAAATTAAACACGTATAAAAGACGACAAAAACACGAATTTTCATCAAAAATAGGCCATGTGCTTAATCTTACCACGTGTTCTCGAATGGTTACGCCATTCCAAAAATTCGGCCGCTTCTAAAAGCGTTTCCAGGCTCATTTCCCCTGCCGATCTGCTCAAAACGATGACAGGATTGTTCCTGAATCACAATATCAGGTCGTTTTCTTTATCAGTCAACAGAGTACTTTCCAATTTTCAATGTTTAGTCGAGCCACCAACATAAGATGGCGGTGGCTAGACCAAAACACTTGGCCCTGAGAAATAATTGCAGTACCACGTGGTTTTTGATTGGCACCTGTCAATTTTTGACCAATGAAAACTACGGATTTTGACGTCATGATGCTACCACGTTGGAAATCACATGGTTTGTTTTGGCAATGTTAATATCTTTGCATTCAATTTTAGGAGAGAAGATTAAAATAAATTGCGTAGAAATGGTGCAAAATCTTCATTCAACACTGTTAAAAATGGTTTATAATCGAATAAATAGGGATTGTGTATGTGTTTTCTGCAGACAAACGCGTGTTTGTTGTAAATAGGCAAGTGGGTGTTTCCCCTGGTGATGATGACATGCACTTGCCGAAATCGCGGAGTTTGACGCGAGAAAACGTGAGATAATTACAATAATGGCGTCGGACTGTTTACTTCTACGTGGAAATTAGATATTCAATTTAAAGAAGCAGATGCACATTCTAATGACATTTTGAATTCGGTGAGTAGTTGGTTATTACGCACAGCTTTGTATTCATTGAAAGAAATAAGATTGGCCGTACGTTCCGGTCAACACCTTTCCTTTTCTCCGGCTTGTCAATATATTTCAACCATCACTGACAGTCGTGCGCACGATGCTTTACAGAGCTATAAATAAACTTCAGTCTCACGAATTAAATTTAATTCCGTTGAAAGCATATTAGGACTTAAAAACTAGATGTGGTACCAGTGCAATTAACAGGAGGTTAATTGGAGTACATAATAAAAGAGCCTTCGCGAGAGGTGTTGTGATCAGTACCTGCAGCCGAGTGAAAGTACGATACCGATCAGTCGCTTAACGTGGGACGCTAATACCCGCACAGGTAAGAATAAAACAAATGCCATTTGAGGTTATGTGGAGAATCTCTGCCCAACCCCAGAGACACGTTGCAAAGAGAGCTGTGTCAGAAGTGTTGGTAAATATCGTAAATTATAGGCTTTGTGGGGCCATGATATCTTTGAATAACTTCTGACGAGCCTCCGCCAGTTATTCAAGTCAACTCTAGCATTATTGAAGGTCTCCCCTACAAAGAAACTCAAATCTCATTTTCTCCCTCCGTACCAGGAAAAGACATATAATGAACTGTGAAGGTTAGGAAAACTCACTGCAACTTAAGCCATGAGAAAAGGGAGATGAGGTGTATGCTGTCGACCAATCCAGGTGACATTTTCTGTATGAGCATTCAATACTGTGAACATCTTCCTCAGTAATAACATATGACATACAATAATATATTTTTGAAATGTAAAGATTTCTGAGATATTGAAATTTGAGTTATTTTATATTATGTCCATAATACAGAAAGAGCAGAATATTATATCTTTTCTATAAACCATGTCAAAGCTCTGTACATGTTATATCAGAGAAAGTTCATCTAACAATATCACTTAGTGCTGAAAATTAAAATTGTTCAAATTTAGGTTAGTTAGACAGGACCTTGTTAACAGTTAACAGAAAATTCTCATTTGGACTTTGCCATCATAGCAGAGATGTGTGCTTTATTGTTTTGATAAATTAATCGATAGGTTTCTGAAATTTTAAATCAAAAGTGACCTACATGTATTTACATACTAAATATGGTATGGAAACATCCCTTTGTTATCCACTGCAGTCTTTGTTCATCCACACACATCCACATTGAACATTTTTGAACCTGTTGCCAATTTCAGCTGCTTCAAATCAAAGTGGTCCAAAAATTTTCAATTTGGAAGCTGAAATAAAAAAAAACTGTATCAAAGAGGGCTGTTAAGTGCATCCTTGCAATTAAAGTATACTACTTATTTGCGTGGTAGTTATGGACATAAATGTGTAACTTTAAAGGCAAACATCATATTGTTCACTTAGTACCCAATTATCGTATATTTGCCTGCAAAATTCTTGTCATATATTTCAAACATACATTGCCACATAACAATGGTTCAATGCTATTTATACATTCCCCATGTGTGTTGCTGTCTTAAGTCAGTAATTACCCGATTTAGACTATAATAAACATGGTCAGTGTAATCCTAGTTTCCATCAGGTGGAATTTTTATGATGAGACATCATCATTTCCATGCCAACAATAATGATGTTATAACCATGTGCTGGATTTAATTTGATGTATTTTATACCGTAGTTATTTCTGGCAGGTTTGTGTTGTGGTTTGCCTTGTAGGTATTACTGTAATTATTGTTTTATGATGTTTGTAACTACTCTTTATGAGGACTTCTGGCTTTTTCAGTGCAAGGTAATCAGTTATTCAATCAATAGGAGTGATTACTGTGATATCAAAAAGGAAATGAAAATGTGTAATAGATCATAAAGTGTCCAGTAAAACCAGATAGGAAATTTAGATCAGTGTAAAATATGTTCCATTTAAAAAATGCTGTAACATTAGATGAGAAATACTATGTCAAGGGTCCCCTCCCACAAATAAGTTCCTTTCACTACTAAGCTCCCTTCCTCAAGTAAGCCCCCTCCCACAAATAAGCTCCCTTTTACAAATTAGTTACCTCCTTCAAATAAGCCCACTAAATTGGCCTTGTAGAAACTACCCTGTTCCAAGAAATTTGGGAGTTATGTGATTGTGCATTGTACAGTGGTGGATGGTCTTGATAATAAATATTTTGTTTTTGCATTTGGTTCGATTTACTTTTCATGTACCATGAAAGCTTTAGGTGACTTTATGAAATATTGGAAAACGGCCAGATTTCATTAAGTTGATCGGACTCTATGATGGTAACTTAATAATACTGAATTTTTAATTAGATGATAACTTTAATGGGATAATCTAGTTTACTGTAGAATTAATTTAATTATATTTCAAAGTCATTCATAAAATAATTATTTGATATTTTCAGGGAAGGTGGGAAACCCCCTGTGAACACTGAAATGTTGGCAAAACCTATCAGTTTTCTTGGAAGTTAAAAGAAAATAACCAGGGAATTCTTATTCATTGGTTGTACTATGAGTGGTATGTTTATATAACACTGTCACCTACTTCAGTCGAACAGATAATCCTGTGTTAATCTTGATCATCTACCTTCTATCCTATGCCTGGATATTAAAAATTGAAAAAAAAAATTAAATTTTCACTGCACAATTTTGAGGCAAAACGTAGATGTTCATAAACTTTATATGGCTTTGAAATGAACCAAAGATTTATAGGTATGTTGTGGGAATACATTAATTTATTCACTGTGGATGCAAGTGAGTAATCATTTTAGAGACAAAAATTTACTGTCAACATAAATGGCAGTTTCCTAACATTTCAATTTACATACTAATAATACTGATGTATTGTATCTTCAGCATGTATTCAATTCTCCCTACTTCACCAGTTACCAATGACTTCACAAACCCATTTTGGACACATGTTCTTGGTACACCTTATGCAAAATCTGTTTTTGTTTAAATTCATTGAATAAATCCAAAGACTTTTCATATGAGATTTTGATTATGATGCACATATTTTGCAGTTGTGATGAAGGTTTCATAAGAATAACTCAACACTCTGTGTCATCATGAATTTGGCCTGAGTATGGCTATTTTTGCTTTACCTTGTACATAAAATTAAATTTAGCACCAGCTTTCCTCATGATTAAAACTAGCTACGGTGACATCATCATCAAGTGTTCTTATTATTGATTAAGACAACTTTTCATTAGGAGTGATATATTTAGCTTGGCCAATTTCAAATTCTCATTCCTAATTGGACTTTCATTTTATGTTACTTTTATGAAGTCAATTGGTTGGATTGCTTGCCAATTTTCAGTACCTGAAAGATATGAAAGAAGGATCTTATTGCTGTTCACCACAGTAACAGGATTCCTGAACTCTAGACAACTTCTATACAAATCAGACACTGGCTACCTTTTAGATAGGTATTATGTTGAATACTTATTTCTAAAATCGTCATGGATTTTTCACAGAAACTTCCAAATCTATAAAAAGGCCCACAATAAGAATTTCCTTTCTTTGAGTACAATTCAATAATGCCAGGTGACAGCACTAGTTCTGGGTGTAAGGTAGGGGTGGCATAATATTGGGCTGAGGAAAAGCCTTTGCTGGTTATTCTACTGAACTGAAATAGTGGGCATATCATTGATGTCATTGAGAAAAGATTTTGAAAGCTTGCATGATGTTAGCCCACCATCATCAGATGGTGGGCTTTTCAGATCGCTCTGCGTCCGTGGTCCTGTGGTTCGGCCATCTTGCATCCGTCCGTAAACAGTTTTTGTTACCACTATTTCTTGAGAAGTCCTGGTTGGATCTTTCTCAAATTGCATGTGTAGGTTCCCCTTGGTCCCTAGTTGTGCTCATTTGATTTTGGGACTGATTAAAATCACAAAATGGCTGACAGGCAGCCATCTTGGTTTTTTTTATTGAAGATTGTTATCGCTATTTCTTGAAAAGCAATCATTGGATCTCTCTTAAATTTCATATGTAGGTTTCCTCTGGTCTCTAGTTGTACCCATGTAATTTTGGGACTGAGCAGAAAAACAAAATGGCCGAAAGGTGGCCATCTTGGAGTTTGACATTGCAAATTTGTTATCGCTATTTCTTGAGAAGTACAGGATGGATCTTTCTCAAAATTCATATGTAGGTTCCCCTTGGTCCCTCGTTGTGCCAATTTGATTGTGGGACTGATCAGAAAGACAAAATGGCCAAGAGACGGGCATCTTAGATTTTGACTTCCAAAGTTTGTTATCACTTTTTCTTGAGAACTACGGTATAGATCTTTCTCAAATTTCAGGTATAAGGTTCTTTAGGTCCCTAGTTGTGCTTGTTTGAGTTTGGGACTGATCAGAAAAACAAAATGGCCAACAGGCAGCCATCTTGGATTTTGCCTAGTAAAGATTGTATATTGCAATTTCTGCTGAAGTACTGAATGGATAGCTCTCAAATTTCATACATATGTTCCCCTTGATCTCTCCTTGTGCTCCTTTGCTTTTTGGACTGATCAGAAGAAACAGAATGGCTTTGAGGTGGCCATTTTGGATTTGACAGATAAAGATTATCATTTATTTCTGCAAAGGAATGTTCAGATGTCTTTTTATTAAGAGCAAAAACAGAGAAGAGAAGTGATGGGAAAAGATCCAACTTTCAATGAGCATATAAAGATTAAACAATGTTGGGCACCAAGATCCCTCTCGGATCTCTTGTGAAGTATTGCCTTTTAAAGTATTAGTTATCTCCCTTACCTCAGCTTACACCACAGTTTATGAGTATCGGATACATGTACTTTATAACAGATCCTGTTAATAAGTCATTTAGATGTAGCAAGTCACTTCACTTTTTTATGATAAGGTCTTTTTGAATGATGATTACGAACTTTGAGAGCTATCCTTGGTGATGTAGCTGTTAAAAGTAAGAATTTATACATCACTCCTAACTGGAATCACTTACAACATACATCAGCTTAATTATTCATACAAATTGCTGCTATTTATTGCCTGGTGTAGGATTTGACCAAGAACATTGGGTTTTCTTATTCATCCACATATTTTCTCCTGCTCGTTGAAGGCATTACAGATGCTGCATGTGTACATATCTTTTATTTGAGAAAATGGATTTGATGTGCTACATATCCTTTAATTGAGAAATGGATTTGATGTGCAAAAATGTGTGATTCTATTTGAGTTTTGTGATGGATTATAGGCACCAACAGTACCGTAGGTAGGTTAACAAGTGTGTAAGTATGGGTAAATGTAAAATGGATCCAGTCTTTGGATCTTAAGCAGACTTATGTTGTACATGGCTATTTATACACTGTTAGTTGATTTTTAATTCACTGTGTTCAACAGCAGCTAAGTCAGTTGCAAAGTTACCCCCAAGGTCTTTAGTCCAGGCTTTTTGTGTACAAGAATGGTCAGGTGTTGCCATGGTAACACATCTTTCACCAAGGCAGTCAGGGTTTTATTTCTGCATTGGACAAGAAAAGGTATTACTGAGGCACTTGCTTGACCATTTAGGCACTTAGGGTTTCCTCCCACAGTTAGACCCTTTGACCCTGTTTCCATCCAGGCCAACAAGGGCAATTAATATCAAATGATATATGTTGTTTGGAAAATTTAGTAAAATATTAAAAGTTTATAGTTTTGATATAACGATATCTGCTACTGTGTTTAAAATTACATGTAAACAAAAAAAGATCAGCATTACAACTATACATCTACAAAACTTTCATACATATCTGTTACGTAGAAAATAACTTGAAATAGGATGATTCATTTGTCACCTTTCAGTATTGTATGTAAATCAAACTACTTTTATACAATGTACCAAGTAAATATTAGTTCTTTTGTTGTTTAGAGAGCACCTTACACAGATAGCCATATTATGTTAAATTCGTAGAATGAGAGATAGGATTTTATATGACACCAACCTTTAATATCAAATTGCTTGAAAAGTTTGATAAACTCATTAAGATTAAAGTATAAGAATATGTTTATCACAACACATATTCTGTAAAAAATCATAAGAAAATAACCAACCAATGAAAGCAGATAGATTTCAATTGGGTTTGTACAAGTAGATTTCAAGTAGGATGGTACAGGTTGATTTTCACTAGGATTGTAATGGTGAATTTTAATTGGAATTACAAAGGTAAATTTTAACTGGGATTATAAGGGTAAATTTTAAAAGGAAGATTTTGACTTGGATTATACAGATAGATTTCTCTATATAGCTAGTCATTTTCATGAGCAAAAATTTTTACAATCGAAAATTTTCATGATCAAATTGTATCTTTACATATTGAAATTTTGTGATCTGCTTGTTGAAGGACATCTTTCACACATGTCTCATTGGATGGTGACATAAATCAAGTACAGCATTTGTACAAAATTTGGTTTTGTCAGAAAAAATCCTGATTTGAAATATGCTAGTGACTAAGCATACCAATATAAACTCTGTCAGCTGTATCGATCTGCGAACGAGATCAAATGCATCAGTGCCTTCTGTTTACTAAATATATCCCAGGCAGTAGACTGCATACTGGTATGTACTCTATCCGCGACATATTGTTGATGCTACATAATTCTCCTGATATTATATTTCATTATACTGGGAAATGTCACAGGGACTTGTATTCAAGTTCCAACATAACTGTCTTTAAGTATCTACAAACATACAAACATATTTAGAAAGAGACCATTAGGCTGTGGCAAGTCTCTATAGTGTTGGGCTTCGCATGAATTTGTGTCATACCCCTGTGATCCATCAGGTGTCATTACTACATGTCTATCTAGTGTCAACATAACAAATGATGTCTATCTGCTTTTGTATATTAATTGTTTAAATTATCAGATTTCATGTATTATAAAGAGCTTGATATCAAATCCTTATGGAGTTGATGACTTGGGGAAGGGGAGATGGAAGTTAAAGCAAGGAATGATGTGGAGGAAAGCTGGAAGTTAGAATGCACATCAAATAAATGGAGGGTATGGAAGGGATGGGATATGAGGAGAAACTATGGTAGATGCTAGGGTGGTGAAATGTGTCATCAATTCATGTTAAAATGTGTATACATCAGTGAATTTCTTGTACATGGATATGACCTCAGGGTTATGAGGACAGTTTAGTGGATCATAGATCATCAATGGATTGTCAGAGAAAAAAGAATTTTGAAAATTATTTAATGTTATGCTGATCAGTCTTTCTATTTTAATGGAATTTTGCAATGTTTAGATATTTCAGTAATTAAAAAATACATTGGTATGTGTTTATTAGGAAAATATTCCCGAACTTTTCATCACTTTAAGAAATGAACTTTCACAGCAAGTTGAGAAAAATCCTATTCTAAGCTGTGTATGTCCACTGGAGAAAGAAATATAAGCAGTTACCTTGCTTGTGTTAAATATTTTAAAATTGTTGCTTTCTTAGAAGTTATTTTGTTTCGTGGAAATTGATTTTCATTTCATCATGAGAAGAAATTAAAAGACCTCAGAGACGATTGTAAAAATACACAGAATGAGAAACCTGTGTACAATAAAGATTTCATACCTTGTTACCCTGATAGTGATTATTTATAGTCCTGAGTTAATGCCACATAATTTAGACATCAAATTGAGTGCCACAAACATGTAAGAATGATTTACAGACATTGACTGAAGTCTTAGCTTTGACTAAAATCTCTGCTCAAACTCTCAGGATTTTGTAAACAGACTGAGGCAAGTCAAGACTGATCAACATCTTTAGTTAGGATCTTTAAAATTGTAAAAGAGATTGATCAATGGTGGCTGAGAAGGATAATTTGCCATTTTTAAAGCTGTGTTTGATGATTTTCCTTCCTGCTATAGGGTGTGTTGCTGTCTGTGATTTCTGTGATTGTTCTTTTACAGGTTGTGTTTGACTTTTGTCATGCCTCCACCTGTGGTTGAGAACGTGAAGGGATTCCTATCCAGCAAGCCTCCACTTGTCATTTTTATGATATGTCTCGGTGGCTTTGCAGTTGTTCTCCTGACTTTGGCCTATATTGTGAAGGTCAATGACCAGCTTATTAATCCTGATTTAACTAAAGTAAGTTTTGAATTAAATTATTAGCCTGTAATAGTATTTTATTTCCAAAATTTAGATGATTCAGGAAAGTGTATATAAGGTTCGGTTTGATACAATATACATGTAACACTAAGTTCAAAATTGCTACTTTATTAGTTGGTAGGGAACCAGAGAATCATATTAACCTTTATTATAATCAGCTGAAGGTTAAAATTACCAGCTACAATTTGAATTTGATTTGTCTGTCGCTGATCCAGATTTTAAGCTGAAAGCAGTTTATTAGCATTTTATTTATGTAAGTTCATTAAAGGAAGGAAGGATGGATGGGGTAGGGATTTCTTATTTTTGGATGGTAAGACAGAGTTTGAGGTTACTGTTTTACCAAAGGTAAAGGTATGTTGTTATGTATAACTGTGCAGAATGTCTCTCATATATTGTATTTATGTACACATATGTTTAGTGATGAAAAATTAAAAAGTTTCCATTAGAAATGATGTGTGTATACTGATACAGATTTGTTTAATATGATGTTCCCTATATAACAGGACTGGAACAGGTTCCTGGATAATTTTGCAGAGCTGGAGTTCTGTATGATTGCAAACTCCTCAACTTATCCAGATGATGTTCCATCTGGGTCTGGAAAGCTGACTGACAAGCTTAATGTCATCAGTAACAAGCTATCGGGGTCGCCAACTACTACAGACCGATCACCACAAAATGGTGATGACGTTGTGTAAGTCTGCTACTAGTAATAAGCTTATCCCTTGTTAGACAGAACAGCTGTACAGAGGTTACTTCACCATTAAATGCTATTTTTTGTATGTAAATTTTTAATTTACTCTCTCTAGATTGTGGTTTTCAGAGTGTTTTTGTCAATTGTCTATCATTCTGTCACTCTAAACATTTCCCATCATTTCCTATGAAGTGCATCCTCAGCCCCAGGTGAAAATTGCACTATCGCTAAATAATTGATAGTGCAATTTTTACCTAGGGCCGAGGATGATGAAGTGTTGGCTAGATCTTTTGAATAGGTTCTTATTAAGTACTAGTTATAAAATATCAGTATTGTACCAGATATGAAGCTACTGATTATTGATCAACACACAGTGGTTATTGGTTGTATAATGTTTTATATCCTCTGTTCACAGGAACACATCACTAACGATGATGGTGGAGATGAGGCCGTCGCCCCACTTTTATGGAATCCCACAGAATGTGACATTCCTGGCATCTACGGTAGTAGGCAATCAGATCGGCTTATCAGGTATACAGAAAATGATACAGTTGTAAAGGATAGGGCAAGGAATCAGGATTTAAGATTTAAAGTTTATGAAAATAGTACTATTAAAAATAGATTTACTGCCTGATAAACACACGTGACATGAATGCAAGACTGTGCAACTGTTTTTATGGAAAAGTTTATTTCTAACAACTCTTGCAGTAGTATAATACTTTCTGGTATACAGCCTAAAGGAACTATTACAGTTGAATTATAGTTTAGAGCTGATTTTTTAGCCCACCATCTAATAGATGGTGGGTTATTCAAATCGCCCTGCGTCCGTGGTACGTCGTTAGTCCGTCCGTAAACAATTCTTGTTACCGCTATTTCTGGAAAAGTACTGGATGGATCTTTCTCAAATTTCATATGCAGTTTCCCCTTAGTCCCTAGTTGTGCATTGTACCTTTTTTGGACTGATTCGAATTCAAGATGGCCGACAGGTGGCCATCTTGGATTTTGGAAGTAAAAGTTTGTTACCGCTATTTCTGGAAAAGTACCGGATGGATCTTTCTCAAATTTCATATGCAGTTTCCCCTTAGTCCCTAGTTGTGCATTGTACCTTTTTTGGACTGATTCAAATTCAAGATGGCCGACAGGTGGCCATCTTGGATTTTGGAAGTAAAAGTTTGTTACCGCTATTTCTGGAAAAGTACTGGATGGATCTTTCTCAAATTCCATATGCAGTTTCCCCTTGGTCCCTAGTTGTGCATTGTACCTTTTTTGGACTGATTTGAATTCAAGATGGCAGACAGGTGGCCATTTTGGATTTTGGAAGTAAAAGTTTGTTACCGCTATTTCTGGAAAAGTACTGGATGGATCTTTCTCAAATTCCATATGCAGTTTCCCCTTGGTCCCTAGTTGTGCATTGTACCTTTTTTGGACTGATTTGAAATCAAGGTGGCCCACAGGCAGCTATCTTGGATGTCGACAGTAATACAGTACAAACATATTGTCCATTATCCACCTGTAACTGACTGCTATCTAATAATACTTTGGGATCTTTTTCAAATAATATTTGCGAATAGGTGCTTAATAAAAATATCTTGTGCCATCATTGAGTACATTCAGTGAAGACCAGTTCATGAACATTTACAACACCTGTAACAAACAAACAAAAATAAACAAATCTTCAAGAACTGAAAACAGATCCTCAAATGGTGGGCGCCAAGATCCCTCTGGGATCTCTTGTTATTAAATTTTAATGCTGATGATTTTACAGGTGCAGCTGCTGACCTTGAGATGAATGTCACTATGAGCTTCCCATTTGACTGGAACAACACAGATTGTTCAGACAGCACTTGTCAAACTGTCCATATCCTCACCTGCATAAACTTACAAGCCCCTGTGGCCTTTTTCCCAAGTACTAGGTAAGTCTGGCTACTGCTTACATCCTCACCTGTATCAATTCAATGGCCCCTGTGACCTTTTCCCCTAATACTTTATAGGTTTGGCTACTGTACTTGTCCTCACCTGTATCTGTGTACAGGTCCCAATCACCATTTTACTCAGTACTCAGTAAGTCTTGCTTCTAATCACGTCCTCACCTGTGTACAGGTCCCTGTCACCGTTTTACCCAGTGCTTTGACTTCCTATCACAAAACAGCAATACAGCATGTTATCTAGATTTCCACTACTGCCACCACCATCCTCATGACCTCCATATAGCGCCTTGATCAGTTCTTCTCCTGACCTTTCCAATGCACTGTTCCTCAGAAATGTTGAACATTAAGACAGTACATGTGGACACGCTAATATTTTCTTCATTGCTGCAGCTTGTCCTATGCTGTATAACCATGATATCGTGTCACATGCCCTTAGGAATGCACGACTGCCAGCACTGTTCACAGTTGGTTACCCAGAACACGTTTTAACAGTATAATTTCCCAAATTTTGGTTTTTTCCTTTTGAGTTATCAGACTTAAAGAATATTTTTTTACCACTGTCGATGTCAGTGTAGTATAAAAGTAGGACAAGAAGATTGACATCTTCACTGATGACGACCATGTTTTTAAAGGATGAATGTGTAACACTTGTTCATGCGATAAGTTTGTCTGCATCACCTTCTGAATGAATGGTCTCTGCTCCTATTGCAGCAAACTTTTCTCCAAGAAGTTCTAGAAAATCTTGCTTGTTTTCTTCATTTGAAAGAAATATTTCTTCTGTGAAATGCACTCCCCAGCTCGGAACCTTTGTAATGCCTCATGTGTCACTGCTTTCGTAGGTTATTTGCTTCTGTTTCCATTTCTGTCAAACACTATTATGGATTCCTTGTACCTTCTACAAACATATTATATAGTAGTTCTGACAAGTTGCAGAAAATGTGTCGCCTCCTGACCTCGGAATACACTAGAGTAACGACCTGCCATCAAGATTCCTCCACACCATAGGCATTCGTATTCCAAATTCCATCAGCAAGTTGTGGTTAATTTGCTTCTTGTGAAAGTCCATTATCATCCAGCAATGAGGCTGGTTCGTTGCTGTGTTCATAATAGAAGATTGTAGAAGCCTCTGATCCTGAAACCATCTTTGCTGCGGCTATGAGCCGCTGGTATAGCAGTTGAGGGTCCACCTGCACATTGTCATCATCAATTTTTACCCCAACTCTGGTATCCATGCTGGTAATTGCCTTCTTAATGATGAAATGGTGTTTTCTTTCCCTTTCATCGAAATTATAATTTGTCACTGATAGCTCATATTTCCTTCAAGTTTACTTCCTTTTCAGTCAGTCTCAGTATTTCTGAGAGTTGAGTCATTTGGACTGAAGGGGTTTCTGTCCTTGAGAAAATGCAAAAGCATTTTTACATCAGTGGAATCCTGATTCTTTCTTAAAGTTGTTTGGTCTTTGTGCTATTCACTTGTGCTCTAGTTGACATCAATAATGCTTTGCATTTCATTAATGATTTCCACACACATTAGCATCGACTGCATCCACTTCAATCTTTGGACAGCTGTCATTCCTCTTCTAATGCCCCCTGATGTTTTAAAGCTCCTCATCACAACTTGCTTGATGGTAAGGTCAGTGAGAAGACCTGCCCTGAAGTGGTTGGTTCTTCTCAAGACATGATGCCCTTTTAAGAACATGGCATAGACTTCAGGATGTGTGTCATTAAGCTGAGTCATGTTCATAATGTATATGTATGTAATCTTCAGATACAAATTGTGTCCTGTTGTGGCAAAATAAAGCTGAATATTGCATGCAAGCAGCATTTGACTCAAATCTTTGTATTTCTTGGTATGACAAACAGAATCCCAAGGCATGCAAGGTATTGATCAGAGGTGGCGAACGAAACTAGTGATGCACTTGAAGTCCTTAGCCAAGTTGCAAAGGGATAGCAATTGTTTAGGCCTCAAATTCTGTGTTATTGTTTGTCCAATTGCTGCCACTTTGAGTTTATCCTTTCCTTGAACTGTTTTTCTTAGGAAGTGCTGCAGGGTCTTTTGAATATACATCCAAATTTACAAATTTACAATCAAACATTCTGAAAAAGGATACACATCAGCTTGTATGTGAAGTTTTTATTTACAGTTTGACATATCTGAGTGGAAAAGAAGTATATAAAAAAATGTTAGAAATAACAATCAGATTATTTATCTACCTGGACGAAGTAGGTTAAAGAGGCATTCTACAAATTGGCCTCACATTCATGCCAAGCTTTAAAGTAAAGATCACCAGTCTTCAGTTCTGTATCATAATAGAAAAGAATAGATGAGTCTGAAAAATATGTATTTATTTGAAAATACTTAATCAAACATCATATGAGCATTATGTGATTCGGTATGATAACTTTCAATTTTCCAAATGCTGTATGCATATACATTTTATAGCTGTTACTGACATATATGGGCTTCCATACATTGATTTTGTGTCAAGTGAGCCATTATCCATTCGATTATGTTTGATTTAAAATGACTTATAATGATTGGAAATTTGTACATCTGAATTATAAATCATACTGATATATAGTTAAATATTGACTTACACCAGGACAGTGATTTTACATATAGAAAAGTGTTTAATTTTTAACATATACTTAAGAGGTAGTACTCAGCTGATGCAAACGGTAGCAGATGATTTTTTTCACTAGCATCAATTTTGTAAGTAATATAAATATATGCGCATTTTAAAACAAAAAAATATATATATATTTTAACTTCCTATATGTGATTCTTGGGCAAATCTTATGATTTTTCTTCATTTTGCCATTAGATGTAAAGGTGTGGTCTGCACTGGAAGTGTCCATGCTTCTTGTATGGAAGACAATACATGCCATATGGCACAGTATAAAATCTGTAATATTGCCCTACATATCAAACACTTTCCCACTTTTTGATTCTTTGGGACAAAGTCAATGATTATTTTATCTTTAATTTACAATAGTAATAATTTCTTTTGCAATTTTGCCAGATTAAAATCTGTAACTGGACTAGCCTAATAGCTCAAATGCTATTGCAGAATTTCATGAGACAGATGTCAGGATATTAAATGGTGATATTCTCTCTCAGAAATACATGTATCTCTATTATGGTGTTGTCAAAGTGAAGATGACACCACAAAGACAATGAGAACCCTCTGTCAATTATCATTCACAAGGTATTATTTTACCTCTGACTGACAATTTTCTGTAAAACTTTGTTTATCTATAGACAAGCTGGAGCCTGCTACAGTTTGGCTAATGAGTCCAGCAGTGAAGTACATACAAGGATGCAGAGTTACCAGGGTAACCAGTTCACACTCCTACCAACAGTAGCTTCACAGTGTCTGCAAACTCCAGTCATCAAGGTCAAGCATAAAGTTGACCCTAGATTTAATGTGATGCTGACCTTGGTAAGCAAACCTTTATCTTGTCTGATGGAATAACTAGTTTAAATTACTGTGTATTTTGAGAAGATTTAGGCCAGTTACATTTAAAGTGATTCCTCAAATTCATGAACTATTGTTTGTATGATTACCTGCTACCCTGTATGAAAGACAGAGCAACTTTGAAGTTTTATGTTGTGTTTTACTAGGGTATCTTATCTTATCTTCTGTATATTTCTCCATCAGGAGGACCGATCTGTCATCAATCTCCATTTGATGCACACCAGCTACTTTCTGTTTGTGATGTTCATCACACTATTCTGCTATGCAATCATCAAAGGGCGTTCAATCAAGATTAAAACACACAGCTACTCAGAGGTGAGAATTTGAAGGCCTTGGCTGGTTCAAGGTGTGTGACAAGTGTAAAGAAACCCCTTATGTTTCAGTCTTCAGACAAAAATTTTGTTTTCTGATTCCATACAGATCTAATTTTTATACCCCTGTTTTACTTTAATTGACTTCTCTTGTAAATTCAACAGATTTTATTACCTGGTAGTTGACTTTAGTCAAATAGTACAACTAGTAAAACCTGTAGTAAGATATATTTCATTGTTGAACCAAAATGATAAATTAAACATTTCCCCATCCCTCAGGGGCCTGCCAAATGGGGTCTAATTGACTCAAATTTAGAAAACCTTCTCCTCAACACCCATGTATGGTAAAATCTAACATTCTTAAATGAAGGAAGCTTCTTAAGGTCTTTCACCAAAATTGTAAATTAAAGAGGTCTCGCATTTCCCCATTTGGAGGTTGTAAAGTTTGCTATGGTTTATGTAGGAAAATTTCATTTTTGTGCATAATTTTGTAAAATTTTTGTAAAATTATTAACATAGGATGATGGTTAGATAGTATACACATAATGATCCCCAGAGGCAGAGGCGAGGGATAAAAAGGGGTTAAATGGGCTCAAAATCTAAAATCTGCTCAACATTCTGATATGGCTTTACCAAAATTATAAATTTGTTGATCTCAGGGTCTTGCATTTCCTCCTGGGTAGGGGTTACATAGGAAACTCCATTTTTTAAACATAATTCAAACTTATAATCCTGAACAAGGGATGTCAGTTAATACAATGCTTCTTTTACATTAACATTGCAAGTAGGAAGTCTTCTTATTATGTTAACCAAGTGGTTTCTATGATATATATAACAAGAACAACAGTATTTATGGAACTCAGTTTACAGTTAATGTCCACAGGCCTCTTGTTATGACTCTATAACCAGTGTTAAAGATCTTCCAGAATAACATGCATGTCATATAGTCAAACATGCAGCAATGCTTTCTGTCTTATTTTTTCAAAGCTTGTAATTAATGTAAGATAATTCATTTTTAGTTCAGCTGAGACAAAGTCTCATGGTGACCTGTTGCTATCACCTTTGTCTGGCATGTGCATCCATAAACAATTAAAAATTTTCGACTTCTTCTCAAAAACCCCTGAATCAATTTCAATGAAAATTTTGCAGAAACCTTCCTTGCCCTAAGATGGCCAAAAGGCAAAAGGGTCAAATTGACTCAAATTTCAATATTAGTACCAGATGACAGTTTTGATTGTATGACGCTGGCTTACTGTCATCAATGTCACAATTTCAAGTCTATATAGATCAACAAATAAGAAAAAAAAAAGTATGGATTTAATAATGCTTAAAGCTCTGTGATAATAAATATGATGGATATGTTTAGTAAAATTGCTGTTCTGTAATTTTGAAATATATATGAATGGGAAGTTGCGTTGATAGACTGCAAACTTCAAATTCGTCTTTTTACAACCATAAACTTAATTTCTGTTATTGATTTCTATTTGCAGGTAAATTCTTACGCTTAAAGTGCAAAGAGGCAAAAAGAAATGTCTGTGATAGTATTGACAGCAGTTCTCTCCAAGGCTCTGTTCTATTCCTGTGTTACACTGGCACTTTATTGTAGTTGGTCCACGTGGTGAGGCTCTGCTCCTGTGTTACACTGGCACCTAGTTGTTGTTGGTCCATTTGGTGAGGCTTGGCTCTTGTGTGACACAGGTACCTTATTGTTGTTTGTCCTCTTGGTGAGGCTCTGCTCCTGTGTTACACCGGCACCTTGTTGTTGTTGGTCCACGTGGTGAGGCTCTGCTCCTGTGTGATACAGGCACTTTATTGTGGACAGTCCTCTTGGTGATGCTCAACTCTTGTGTGACACAGGCACTTTATTGTTGACAGTCCCTCTTGGTGACGTGAGGCTCCAGTTCTACACAGGTACCTTGTTGTTGATGGAACTCCAGGCAAGCATAGCCCCCGTAAAACATTGATTCGTTATTGTGGACAGTGCTATATGCTCAACTTGGCTCGTGCGTTACACCGACACCTTACTGTTGACACATCTCTTGGTAAGCCTATCTCCTCTCCTTGGATACCCGGACATGTAGTTGTTGACATTCCTGTGGAAATACTCGTCATCTTTTCTTTTGATAAAAAATTGGATCCTTTTGCTGGGAGACGAGCTGTTTTATCAAAAGTGTGCATTGTGAGCAGCAAATGTATAGGTATTTCTGACTGGCAGTTAGAAGTATTGTGGTTAGCATCGTGTGTTCGGTGAATTGTGAACAGACTAAGCAATACCTACATTAGCTCAGAGAATTACTTGTCCATAAATGATTTGAGATAATTTTCGAATACCACAATAAATTTACCTCATCTGTGGATTTATATGTTGTGGTGTATAGTAATTCTCAGAATACAATTTCTATATTATTGTATCAATGTGTCTCAACACAAACAGGTCTAGTGTAGGAATGTCATTGATGAACATTGTTGTGTTGTTATAAGTTATGTGAGAGCATGTATTGTTTTTTATAATGAATCATTATTAATTATGGGAGAACAGGTGTTATTATGTTTTGAATCACTTTAAGTAATGAGAGAACTCATTCAAGATTGTAACACTTCATTTGATTGGTAAATGAAAGCAACAGTTAAAACATGATAGACCGTCCATTAACTTTTCATTTGCATATAAATCCTAAATTGTGATAGTTAATCATGTCTCTGACCCAGAAACATAAAAAATAATTGCTTTACCTTGAATATTACTGATATCAGAAATATTAAAGATACACAGATTTTTGAAATATACATGAAATTAACAGATGCTTCTTTTTGCTGGTTTAATTTGGATTTAAAAGAATGCAGTACACATCACCAGTTAAACATGGTTTTCAAAGGTGCATTAATGAGGTACATGTGAAGATTTCAAACCACTGGTTAGTCCCAGATTATCTTTTTTTTTCTTTCTCCATTATTACATGTAGGAAGTATGTATACTAGGGAGCACTTGTTATACTGTGTGAAGTCAGTCCTATGCTCACTAATCACTCGTTATGCAGTATATTGTCACAACACATCAGAGACACAACATGCACACATATAATGACCTTACAACATAGGTACATCATATACCAGTTTCTCAATACTTTGGTTTTTAATGATCATTACCAAATGTGATTATGACTGTCATGCATCACAATTTTATATCTTGTCCTACGTAATAGCAGCTGCATATTGATTTTCTGCAAATAACTTCCCATTCAGAAGTATTTAACTATTAAAATTATTAGTTCATAATGATTTTCACCATCTGCCATGTTTTATTACCCCATAAATAATGTATTAGCCTTATTCCTATATCACTCGATGATGTATATCTCAATAATACTACTTGTCCAAGGTTAGACATGCGAGGCTTTTTCATCTTGTGTATAAGTTCATTCATAATGTAATTCAAGTGTAATTTTAAGCCCATAAAATGTAAATTTAAATAATTATTTTGCTAACTTGCCATTTTTTTTTATATTTTAAGGGAGATTTGGGATATTTAGAGATTAATATGCTGAAGTTACCTTTAACAAAGTGTTTAGACTGACACATCCAGGTGAACTAATGGGATTTTTGAAACTAAGAATATAGAAGATATATGTAATATATATAAATTTAAAATATATGCATGAAATTGGGCCATAAATAGCAGGATTCTCATTAATAGGGTTTGATGGGTATGCCTTTTGTTTTGTTATGAATTTGATTTTACCATGTTTATGTTTAATTGTAATTACATTAACTTTGTAAGTATTTTATATCTATTGTTATTTCATTCCTTCACTGCTGTAAATAGGGTTTTTTTTTGTTTTTGTTAAAATCCTTTGTTTGTCAAATCATAATTTTCATTGACATTATGTTGACTGCTGAAATTTTCATCATAGTAGCTTCACTGCTGTCAGATATTTTCCTAACTTTTACATTCCATTTGAAAACCTTTCAAGATCCATCACCAACTTAAATCAACAAACTTGGTTAAAAACCAAGAAGATAAAGGCTGTTGCAAAAAAAAAGAAACAAAAAAACCTGATGGTTGTTTTTGCTCCGAAACACCTGCTTTGTTTTGTTTTTTGAAAGGAGCCGTGTAGTGTACTTGTCAAAGAGGACAGACAATTCTCTGGTCACTTGGAGATTGTGAATGTGTACAAGTAAATAGTGTAGAGTAAATGTGTACATGGTTATAAGTCATTGTTTACTCTGTAAAACATTGATAGGATTGAGCTGTGATAAGTTTGTGATAACTTATGTATCACTGCATTTTACTATTAATGACATTATGCACTTTTTAACTTCATATGTGGAGAAAGTCTAATTGCAGTTATGCAATATTAATAATTCTTAAATGATGCCCCTGCCTCATTGGCTTGTGTTGAATGTCTGCACTATCAACTATATATAAAAGTTGCAGATATTTCATCCATATAAATCCAGTATACTTTGTTGTGTTCTGATAACCTACACCAGCTGCTTCATATGTTTTGTGTTCATAGTGCTTTAACTTATACATGTTCATTGATCTCTGCATTTCAGTCATGAAAATTTAATTCTAAACTAAACCTCAAGCAAGAGTGGAAGAATTCTATACCTCAAAAGTTATATAAAAAATATATTGAACCCTATCTCATAAGGAGGCATACTTATAAACATTAAATATTAATGTAAAATCATGGTCATGGACAATATGAAATAGTTAGTCTTATAATATCTACAACTTCTCTTCAATATCATAGTCTCATAATATCTACTGCTTCTCTTCAATATCGTAGTCTCATAATATCTACAACTTCTCTTCAATATCATAGTCTCATAATATCTACAGCTTCTCTTCAATATCATAGTCTCATAATATCTACAGCTTCTCTTCAATATCATAGTCTCGTAATATCTACAGCTTCTCTTCAATATCATAGTCTCGTAATATCTACAGCTTCTCTTCAATATCGTAGTCTCATAATATCTACAACTTCTCTTCAATATCGTAGTCTCATAATATCTACAACTTCTCTTCAATATCATAGTCTCATAATATCTACAGCTTCTCTTCAATATCGTAGTCTCATAATATCTACAACTTCTCTTCAATATCGTAGTCTCATAATATCTACAGCTTCTCTTCAATATCATAGTCTCATAATATCTACAGCTTCTCTTCAATATCATAGTCTCATAATATCTACAGCTTCTCTTCAATATCGTAGTCTCATAATATCTACAACTTCTCTTCAATATCTTAGTCTCATAATATCTACAGCTTCTCTTCAATATCATAGTCTCATAATATCTACAACTTCTCTTCAATATCATAGTCTCATAATATCTACAGCTTCTCTTCAATATCGTAGTCTCATAATATCTACAACTTCTCTTCAATATCATAGTCTCATAATATCTACAGCTTCTCTTCAATATCGTAGTCTCATAATATCTACAACTTCTCTTCAATATCATAATTAAGAAGGTGTAGTTCACATTGTGTCAGAATATGGGCCAATTATTATACTTGCTTTTGTTGTTAAACTAGCGGAACAACTTTGTGTCTAAGTATAGGAAATGTATAAAAGAATGAAAGATTGTACATAAATGTTTTGTTGCAATATTTACAACAATGTTTGGTGGCTAAGATTGAAATAAATTGAAATAAATGTTTACAACATTGTCACATGCTTTTATCTTACTACTGCATTGTAATGTCACGTTCTTCAATGATTCAGTTATTTGCTGTATCACTAAAAATTTCAAACAAAAACTAGGATGTGATTTTTATAGCAAATATGAAACATTTTCATGCTTTCTCTTTTTCCATGGTTTTGTTTGATCCTTGAAAATAACAAAATTAAAACCTGTTGAATGCAAGACCCCTGACGATACATGTTGTAACAATGATCTTAATGCTATCGTTGGGATTTAGAAATACAAATGCTACATTCCAGTATATTGCATTGTACTTTACATGGTAAATGTGTTTCTTCTGATGGAAGTCACTGTCTTGCTATTTGTAATTGATCAAGCCTTTTTCATATATTACAAAAGACTTGAATTACAGATTTGTAACCAGTAGCTAGAATGAGGATAAAAATATGACTTGGATCTTGCTAGATAAGTGAACTACTTGTCAGAGTAGCAAAGAAAACAACTACACTGATTTCAACTATTTTCTTTAATAGATTTTTTTTTCTTCTTTTTCTTTTTCTTCTTTTTTGACAAGTCTTCTTCTGTACCAACTTCAGTAAAAGTTCTGTGATCGTCTCTTGCTTCTAAATTTGACACAAAATCTTTACCATTTTGATGATTCTTTGCTTCTTCACCATGAATAATGACAGATTGGCCTTCCTTAGAACCAATGAAAACCTTGCTTTGTTTGACTATGAAGTCATGTGATACAGCAGCTGCAGCCAATCTCTCATCTTCTTCAGAACTGAAAAAGAAAATACCAATATGATAATAATTCTTCCCATGGATGTTACTGTTCTAATCATACTCAAACTTAACATAAATTAGTCTGGTATACTCATCTACTACTATTTTACTTACATAACTTGTTGTGGTTCATCATCAATTTTGCAAAAACACATTGATATATTCACCTGTCACTACTGCTAGTATCATTGGCTCTTTTCCTGGGGACTGGCTTTCTCTGTGTTGGCATGTTTTCTGGATTACACTCAGTTTTCAAATGACGACTTGATCCAAAGCACAATCTTATACCTGTCGATACATGATAGGTAGTGTCAGCACTGTTGACCTTTCACTTCATTCTCAAACATTAAAAAGTTCAAAGTATGATATTTTTTATGTCCCTGCCATTTCATGGTTGGGGGTATATAGGGTACTCTTGGTCATCATTATTTGTTTCCACTAACTTATTCTTTATTGGATAAAGAATTGTGATGTATTATGAGGCTTGCCTAACTCAGTGAGAATTTTAAAAAAATAATTGTAGGCATAACTTCAATTTAGTAGGGCTTACATGTACACCACTTTACAAAGTCATTAGCACTGAAAAGTTTGAAATTTATCAGTTGCTGCTCAAAGATATCTAGCTCAGATTAACTTTCTTTAAAGGGTGAAATTAAGTTTTTATTTTACAAGCCTGATCTTGCATTTCATTGACCTTATCTGAATTATCAACAACTGATTTGTTTATATATTTGGTTTTAAATGTTTATCTTCACTCATGTCCTCATAACCTAAGCTGAGAATCAGGAACCTTCATAGGTTGGGAGTGTCAAACCACACACCTTGAAACATTATCCTAGGTCATATCATACAATTCTCTGCCAACTAAACTATCACAACTTTGTTGTGTCAGAGATATAGAGTTTATATTCAATCCTGTATTTATAACCAAAAGTATTACAGAGTTGAAATTGTATATGTACCTGTTTCTTCAGGAGGGTTCTAGGACTTAACAACCAAATGAGATCAAACTTTCTCTCCTCTTCACTGTTTTTGCTCTTAATGATAAGACATTTGAATGTTTTTTTTGCAGAAATAGCGATGAAAATCTTTACCTGCCAAATACAAAATGGCCGTCTGGAAGCCATTTTGTTCCTTCAGATCATTCCCAAAATCAAATGAGCACAAGGAGAGACCAAAGGGAACATATATATTAAATTTGAGATATATCCATTCAGTACTTCTTAAGAAATAGCACTACAATCTTTACTAGGCAAAATACATGATGGCTGCTTGTAGGCCATTTTTGTTTTGTCAGTCCTAATCTCAACAGGCACAACTAGGGACCTAAAGGAACCTATACATGAAATTTTAGAACAATTTATAGAACAGTTCTCAGCAAATAGCAATAACAAACTTCCAATGTTAAAATACAAGATGGCCACCTGTCAGCCATTTTGTTTTTCACATCAGACCAAAAATCAAATTGGTTCAACTAGGGGCCAAGGGGAATCTACCTATGAAATTTGAGAAAGATCCATCCAGCACTTCTGAAGAAATAGAGATAACAAAAATTGTTTACTGATGGACGAACAGATGATGGACCATGGAGGCAGAGCGATTTGAATAGCCAACTATCTGATGATGATGGGCTGAAATTTATCAGAAGCAAAAGCAGGTGTAACAAAGTATATATTGAAAATGATTAGAGCAAAATTGATCGGGCTATCAGATTACCAGGTAGTATGACAGGGACAGAACATACACACCAGACAGAGGTAGGCATGATGAAAGGATACAGGTTAACTGGTAAATAAGTACATGCAATTCATACACCCATGATTGACCAAGGAACCAGGAAGGAGAGGAGGTCAACCTAGGGATAACAGAAACTCATTTTACTGGTATGATAGAAGAGGTAACCAAAGACCATGACATTTAAATCATAGGCACCAAAAATGTTCCTAACCCCTCTTCCCTTGTTGATATCCCTAAAACCTTTCAGAATTTAATGTGAGAAGAAAGAAGAGAAATGTATAACTGTATCGTAGTATAAATTGAAGTGTTTAAATGGAATGATCGTCACTCTATATACTACTCCAACCATTGCCCCACTAAAAAATACTCTGTAAGATTGTCATACTGTGATTAGTCTTCAGAACAATTTAATATTAAATCATTCAAATAATAATGTAAGGAGGAAAATAGGTATATATCATGTACAGAATATAAGTTTTATTCTGCCAACATGTGATTTCATTAGAACGAAGGAGTTGTCTCCCTTCAAACACCAAAATCATGTGTAAATACATCTGAGGAGTTCTGAAAGAAGATAAAAAAAATCTTGCGAATATGGCAAATTCTGGTGACAATGTCCCATATTGGGAGGATGTTAAGGTAAAGTCTGTATTATAATTACCTGTGTCCTCATAGTCTGCAGGGTTCAAATTTCTATTATCCATCTTCTGTTCTTCTACCTCTCTAAAACATGTGAAAGTAACTTTTACCACCAACAGTCCTGGAAATCATCTACCTTTTTTTTTCCTTAAATAATCGGAGGTTGTGCTTAAACTACCCTTTAATCTTTTTGTATTATTAAGAATGTTGAAAACAATTGTCATCTATGATGACCTATTATTCATATTTCACTTTGCAAAAGATAAAAATGGTTTTGAAATGTGGTGACAAGTTCTTATGGAGGTTGGGTATGGATTGGAATGATAATGAGAATTTATTCTATATCAGGCAAATTTTTATATACATAAAAAGAAAGAAGTATGATATGAAATTTGTCAAACAATACATTGTATTCATGGATAATACACACTCATCAAGCATCTGTGATAATTTCTTTGCCACAAATGCCTTAAACTCGGGAGTGGTGTTGAGGTCATGCTTCTCTTCATGTTCAATGATTTGAGATGGTCTACAACAAAAATGTACTCACTTAAATAACATAAACATTGAAAGTGCAAGCCCTGTCCCACTGAATATTCTAAACATGAACAAAGAAACAAAAATAAGGTAGTAAGTAATAAGATTATTTAATAAATACCTTTTTGATGGTATATTTGGAACTATCCGATCTCTTGAAACAGCTGACTGCATACCTAAATATAAACAAAAGATACTTTAAAACAAAACTTAAATGTTTACAATAACTACATAAACACATGGAGCCTGCAGGAGGTGCAATGATAAAATCTTATTTATTTTACACATTTATCCATAACTTTTTTTTCGCTAAGCAAAACATTGAAATAAGAGAGCACGTTCGCTGACAGAACATACTTTTTTGTTGTTTTTTCCAAACACTGTACTTTCGTCTACACATTGGTTCTAGACAATTATGTATTTCAGAACGGCTAATTAGTCGAAATATATCACTTGAACTATTGACCTGCTTGACCTCGCACCTGGATAATTTTGGTTGAAATAACATGTTAGGTTGTTTTGTTGTCTTCTGTCCAGTGTATAAAAATTGATCAGGAATAATAGGCGACACATTCTTGCAACTTTTTCGTTATAAAAATTCAAAACAAGTGCATGTATGTCTTATATTGGAAAATTGGCGATTTTTAAGTTATCACTTTTGATGAGTCTTTTCCAATTTGAATTACTTTGTGAATCATAGAGCGACCAATGAAATACCATTTAAATAGCTTGTGCTAAAAGAAAAAGTTTTCCAAGAAATATGGTTTATATGAGAAAAAACAACCAAATAATAAAAACTTGAATCTAACCCTTCTGAAAAAGTGCACACATTAATACAGATATTTACCATTTTCACACCGTTATATTATTTATTTTTCAGAATGTCATTCACGTTCAAATGATGATTTTAAGTAATACGTGTGTACTTCTGGGTCGCTGTAAGCTTATCCAAGTGTCTCTATGACGGAGTGATGTCGTCAGAAACGCAAGTGTAGTCACTTGTCCGATACACATGTCTAGCATTTCAGGTGGGCAAAATCGAGGTAGGATCTGTGGGTAATATTTGCGAAAAATGCTTGTGTTTCACTGATTAGTTTTCACATGAGTCATATAGCATGAACTCATTTTAATTAATGTGGTATTTGTTTGGTGACGTTTCGTTGAATAGCATAGTAAGCAAAAAATGGTTCTTGAGATGTCCAAACTAATCCGAAAAGGATATATATATATATATCTGCACGCTAACATTTGAAATTGTTTCAGCAACAGCATTACGTCATGACAGTTAAAAATATCATACCGACAGGTCCATTGTTTGGCCCTGCTGACTTAACAATCTTCTTTATGTCTACTGCAGCATCTAATAAACGCTGTCGTTGACTTTCATCTTCGATCGAGCTGTCGGTATCAGAATCTGAAGCCATGTTGGTTTGAATTGGTAGAATTTTCGAAACGAACTTCCGGTACAGTGTCTTGTCGAAACGAAAATAAAGTTGGGTTGCATTCACATAACCCGGTTTAAACGGTTCAAATGCTCTGGAATTATGCCGCGAATGAAATTGTACCGGATGTTGGATCTGATATATGTAAAACTGAACATGTACAGTTTCGGAATTTCGTGTCAAGCATAAAACAATTAACCAAAATTAGGTACCATCCATTTCACTTAAACTTAATAGAATAATGCTTCTGGAAATATGTGAGTGCACCGACCCTACAATTCTGCAAACACATGATTTTCTGCAAATTAGTTTAGGACAGGCACGGCTGGACCCATAGATATCTAATTATGCCTGTGACATGTCTAGCGGTCCGCCATCTTGGGAAGGTATTGTACAAGCTGTCAAGTTTTTACCATGTACAAATTGATGTTCTACAGAATGTGTGCCTTATCCGATTTACCTTTGTTTGATAAGGCCTAATCATTTTGACTTGTAAACATAAGGAATCGATTTTTTGTATTTTGCTGTAACATGTTGTTGTGCACTGACATGTGTGCAAAGTAGTGTGATTGATTACAGTTACCTTTTGTGTTTGACAGTAGTTTCATTTTGGTCATTGTCAAAAATAAGCAACTAGTCTATACATTGTACAATATATAGTTATCTTGGACTTATAAGTGATGAATACAGAACCTGTAGAAAGAAGACATGATTTTGATGACTGGTTTATGGTATCAGTGCTGCATATGTAGAGAGAGTATACTTTGTCATGAATGATAGGCCGTGCGGCATCTAGGTTAGATATGTATGGCTAAACCCCCTCAAACTGTACGTGCCAAATATTCCGCAGTCCAGCCTCGGTCCCGATCTGTACCTGGCGCTTTTCTTGCAGGTTCTACCGGTCCGACCATTTCAACTGAATACGCGAAAGCGTCCTTGTCGTCGCTGGCCGACTATGACGTAACCATGCCAATCCATTTAGCCTTTACAGGATCTGGAGCATACTACACTAAAATATGTAAGTAATTGTTAGCTTATGGTGTTTGTCAAAGATATTTTCTGCCATATATTGAGCAAGTGTTATAACCTCTTCATATCTTGAGCCTAAGGATTGGGTATTTGAGCTAAAAATAGGGTATTTATTCTGCTCCGTTCCAATGACTGATTTCCTGTCGGTTTATTTCTTGTAAGTAATACTTCCTCTACGATAAATGTGTATAACTTCGTCTATATGCGACTGTTCAATTAAGCAGATAGGAATGCGTCACAGGTTAACATATTGAATTTTCAATCGTGTATCGTGTGTTATTTTTCAGAATTTTTAGAATTATTCATTTTGGAAACCTGAATGATAATGTTAGAACTGATAGATTGATTTACAAGGAGGCGGGAAAATTTGCCTTAAATGATATAAATTCATCCTCATCAGAACAAAAGAAAGTTTCTTGTTATACAAATAATGTATTCATGCAACTAATGGAGATAGAGAAATTAGAAATTAAATATAATACGCAGGTGGAAAAAATGAATTTTAAGACTTAAAAGTGTTCGTGGGCGCGCGAGAAAGGTGTGGAGAAGCCGTGGAATTTGAAAAAAAAAATTGTGGAAAATGAACAAAAAGCATAAGAAAAAATCGAACGAGCAATTCGCTTTAAAATTTAATAGGACATGATTGTTTTTTGTATATTATGAACTCTTGATATTTTAGTATGATTAAAACTTGATATTGTAGCATTCAATTAAGAATTGCATCTTTACCAAGGTTTCCAACTTTCTCTTACGTATATCTCTTACTGATGTGTACATTGTGTTATGTTTTTCAGGCCAACAAGAATGGCTAAAACTTCAAAACAAGTGCACTGCAAAAAATGCGAAAAATGGAATAATCAGATAGGATTTTAATAGATTAACCATAAAACATCAACATGTTGGCAGGAATGACCGAGCGTCGGTATAACCAATCGTCTTCTGTTGATCAGTTACTCATGGCAACAACTTTACCCGATGTATCACGATTACGTGAACTGTTAAACGCAGGAGCAGACGTGAACGCCCAGAACGAGATTGGACAAACCCCGCTGTTGTTGGCATCCCTTGAAAACAATGTAGCATCAAGCCATCTGCTCCTCGATAGAGACGCTGACATTAGACACAGTGATGTTGGTGGTTATACAGCCTTACACCTGACCCAGTCGGTTGAGGTAACCGAGCTGATTTTGTGTCAAGCAAGTTTCCAAGACAGAATTGATGACATAGTCAATATGCGAACAAAAGAGGGAAGAACAACACTGCATGAGGCAGTTTTGCACGGACCGTTAGGTCGCGTTGATTGTTTGCTAAAGAGCAAAGCTCTGGTAAATGCTGAAGACGAAGACTTGGCCACCCCGTTGCACTATGCCTGTAGTGTTTGGAATAAGTCTGAAGAAGCGATACAGATTATCGAAAGACTACTACAAGCCGGCGCTGATGTAAACAGACAAACTGCTTTTCTGAAAACACCATTGTTACTAGCATGTGCACAGCAAGTCTGTGGCGTCGGTGAAGCAGGCATAAATTTACTATTAAACAACGAAGCAGACCCCTCAATCACCGACATTGATGGAAATACAGCGTTACACGCCCTTCTACAGGGCGACGACTTGGCATTGGGCAGAACACCACTGGAAGTCGTTGACAGACTTGTAAAACTTGTTCCTGGAATCCTCAGAAGATGTAATGTATACGGGGAACATCCCATTCATCTAACAAGTCGCAGATGTGTGGATGATGATGATTATCTGGTACGTCATTTTATCAACCTGGGGGCGGATGTCCATGCCCGAGATTCTCTGGGAAGAAACTTGCTTCATCTTTGTTGTCAGTATGGAAATAATGAAGAGGACATCGTCTTGTCTGAATATCCTTCTCTTGCAAATGAAGTAGATTGCCTCGGCAGAACAATTTTACATTATCAGGTCATACTCACAAAGGATGTATCGAAAATCCAAAAGATAATTCAGCTCGAGACGTTTAATACACACTGTGCATCGGACGCATTCGGATTAACAGCTTTCGATTATGCAGTGAGAAAAGGACAAAGGGAAGCGATTGAATTGTTGAAGAACTACGGCGAAACCTCAAAAGTCCCCGTTGCTGATAGTGCTCCAGTTGGATCTTTCGGAGGCGATGACGTGTTACTTGATCGTCTGCTTTCACCAATAGTGGTGGAATCGTTCGAAGAGGTTTCTCCTGAGATGTTAAGACCAATACAAGACGCAGATACATTTTTGATGGAGATTTGGGAAGCCGGTTCTTCACCAACAAAAAATCCCAAGCTGTTCTGTGAATGTAAACAGGTAGTGGAAACATTTATGAACAAAGTGGTGTGTCTGATGAGAGAGAAGGATGAACGGTTTTCTGGAACGCTGATTCGGAATGGCAGTTCGTACGAAGGAACCAAGATCGGATTCGCTGATGAATACGACTTTCTTTTACAGCTAGACGACCTCAGCAGCATCTGTCGACCAATTGAGACAGAAAATGACCCACCTGGGTACGCGAAGGTAGTTAGAGTTTCCGGGGCGAAGTTAGGAAAATACCAGGATTTTTTTTATTCAGAAGGAATCATAAAGTGTGAAAAGATACTGTCCCGTTTCAGTCAGATAGTTATGGAGATCATGCTCGATGCTCGTGTCTGGGAATCCTCTGGACTGGATTTCTTGCCGTGTCTTTTCATAACATGGAAGAATCGGGCTGCTCTAACAATTACATGTACACAGAGATGTCCCTACTTTGTAAATTCATTGTCTATTGATTTTCTTCCGGCGTTACATTTCAAGGATTGGTGGCCATACTGGACACGTGACGACATGATGCGCCAAGACGACAATGTGAAAAACACAGGATGTCACATGATCATCAAACCAGCGGACGTACCGTACTATCAGCATGCGCAATTTGGAACGCCACGTCACTTCCTCCGCATTACGTTTTCACGAGCAGAAACAGTGCTCTTCAATACCGTTCCGGCGTATATCAGAAAGAGCTACATGATTGCTAAACAACTGGTCAAAAGAAACGCATTGATCCCCCTCCATATATTGTTCGACACGAGTGATCTGCACAACAGAAGGGCAAAAATCATTGGTAAACACAATATAAATTCCTACTATATCAAACAATGCTTGCTGAAAACAGTTATGGACGAGTATCCGGTGCCACTACCGGATTCGGACGAGGAAGAACGAGCTCTGACTACAAAATGGGTTCGAAAAATATTTAGAACAATTCACAAGTCTTATGAAAATGGCAATCTCCCCAGCGCTTTCATGCCTAGCCAAAATCTGTTGCATACTTTTAAACCCAATCCCAGCATTGACAGAATGCGTCACATCCTGTTTCAGCTCGTCAACCATAGCATCGTGCAGGACAGCTTTACCGCAACATTCACTCGTGGGGAGTACAATCAGCGTGAACCCGGTGACCGAGAGATGAAGATGGATGGAAAACTAAAGCTGCTCAAACGTCTGTTGTATGGACCGCAGGAACGATGCTAAATGAATGAAAACTAATCTAGCTGAATGACTAACATTTTTCTAGTTATTACTGGCAGGTGTAAGGATAAATTTACAGATACTACTTACGGTATATAGTTACACTGTCCAGGAACTTGACAAGATACGTAATAGAATGAGCCTAGTTGTAAATGTTAACGAATAACATTAATCATGAACTACAGAAATGTGCCTTGTTACAAGAGTCTTTCAACAAATATACTAATAACTGTTAACTGTTATCCTTGTAACAATGAGGAACGAGTCTACTCCTTAGATCAGCTCACAGTAAAGACATGTTTGATTCAGCTGATACAAATCTTAGCAAAGCATCGCGATGTAAGCATTGTTACAAGTTCTTCTGACAAATGCTTATTGACCACTGATTTAAAATAATCAAAACAAGCGAAAAGTAGAGCTAATAACGATACAAAATAATGAGTATAGCTTAGAGAGAGGTTAGAACCAACAGCAGTTTTTGAAAAAAATATAAGCATTTATTAAAACATAGAAAGAAATATGATTCGGTAATTCAATCAATAAATATTTAGCATTGGATAATGTTAAAACTGTTGTAAGGTTTCGTAGGGACAATAAAATAAAGAAGAGTTTACCATTCAACAGTTAAGAGACACCTGTAACTAGCACCTCTTAATGCGACACTGGGACTTTTGAAAAAATACAAAGTAAAAAAAGACCAGGTGTCCCGTAAGATAAAGCGTCTGATTCATCAACGACAGCCACCTTGTGAACCCTGGTCAATTCAAGTAAGCAATGTCACATTCTCAAATGAGAACATGGGTGCAACAAGGAACCAACAGGCAAACTAACGAGCATCAAACGCGTCAAGCTTCATATTGCACACAGAAATGGAATATTTCACAACTAGACGTATTTATGATGTAAAACTTCCCCATAAATTTCATCAACCGCTGCATCTCTTGAAGCCCTGTGTCATGAGTTTGTCAGTTGACATCTTGCACGAACATCGTGGTATTGAAAACGTGCCCTTGATTTTTTAATCAACTGCGACATGTGAATAGCATATGTTACGGGCGCAGGACTGCTGCTATCCAGAATTGAAACATTCGCAAGAGGAAAATTGAAATCACCATGCTTACGGTTAACTGTAAAGCTGTCCGTGTTGGTTTAATTGTAGGGAAAACTAGAGATAATCGGCTGTTGTAGAATTGCTTGTCGTTTCATTGATTTCCTGTTCTTGTCTGGATATGCGATAGACTTCGTCAATGAATATCTTATTACTTAAAGACAAGACAGCATCAATATATCTGAAAGTAAAAATGAAGGTCGTTGTGGCCTATCTTGACAAGCTCTTGGATTAATTCTTTCAATCTTTAACAAGGGAAGTAACTCTCTGAGATCAGAATACTCCTCGCCTGCTCTCATATAGACACTCCTAGTAACGGATTATGTAGATAAAATTTCAAAGTCTTTGCTATACAAATGCTCGCCAGTAACCTCCATCGCCAGTTTACTGAATGACCTTGGCAGTGACAAGCACGTAAACAATAACAGTTTAATGAATGACCTTGGCTGTGACAAGCACGTAAACAATAACAGTTTACTGAATGACCTTGGCTGTGACAAGCACGTTAACAATAATAGTTACTGAATGACCTTGGCTGTGACAAGCACGTTAACAATAACAGCTTACTGAATGACCTTGGCTGTGAAAAGCACGTCAACAATAATAGTTACTGAATGACCTTGGCTGTGACAAGCACGTTAACAATAATAGTTACTGAATGACCTTGGCTGTGACAAGCACGTTAACAATAACAGTTTACTGAATGACCTTGGCAGTGACAAGCACGTAAACAATAACAGTTTACTGAATGACCTTGGCTGTGACAAGCACGTTAACAATAACAGCTTACTGAATGACCTTGGCTGTGACAAGCACGTAAACAATAACAGCTTACTGAATGACCTTGGCAGTGACAAGCACGTAAACAATAACAGTTTACTGAATGACCTTGGCTGTGACAAGCACGTTAACAATAACAGTTTACTGAATGACCTTGGCTGTGACAAGCACGTTAACAATAACAGCTTACTGAGTGACATTGGCTGTGACAAGCACGTAAACAATAACAGCTTACTGAATGACCTTGGCTGTGACAAGCACGTTAACAATAATAGTTACTGAATGACCTTGGCTGTGACAAGCACGTTAACAATAACAGTTTACTGAATGACCTTGGCAGTGACAAGCACGTAAACAATAACAGTTTACTGAATGACCTTGGCTGTGACAAGCACGTAAACAATAACAGTTTACTGACGAGTATATTCTTATCATTGAAGTTCAAGTGACGTTGTACAAAGCTGTTTTGGTCTCTATTATTAGGTTGTAAATAGACACTCAGGTTAGTTATCACCTTTTAATACGAAATTATCAGCATATCATGGATATATATACATTATTAATTGAACTACATCACACGGCTGTTTCCATATGAAAGGTCATATGAGAAGCAAGGAAAGACAAATCCGTTGAAATAAATGTTGAAATAAGTCATAATAAATTCTTACTATCCTTAATGTTTTTTTCCTTTTAAATCGAATGTCCCTTCTCTGAAAATCCTTAATTGGCGTTATGTGTGTGTGTGTGTGTATGTGTGTGTGTGTGTGTGTACGAGGGCTGATTGATAAGTTGTGAGTCTCGTATGTGACTTGTGGCGTATATAATGCATTATTTTTCAACATGATCCCCTTCAGTATCTATACATTTTTGCCTTCATTATCTATACACTTTTGCCTTCATTATCTATACACTTTTGCCTTCAGCATCTATACACTTTTGCCCGTGGTGTTTACGAGTCTCATTGTTACTTTTAATGAAGTCCTTTTCTTGACCGCTCAGAAAATTCACTGCATGTATGACGTCATCGTCTGACCGCAAGTGGGTACTGGAAATAGCCTTTATAAAATTTTGGAAATAGATGAAAGTCTGATGGAGTGAAATCCAGCGAATAAGGTGGATGCTATATCAATCCAAAACCACAATCGTTAATGACAGTCATGGAAATGTTAGACTTGTGAACAGGGGTATTGTTCTGGTGGAACAACATATCTTTACTGAGTTTTCCGCGGCGTTTGAATTTAATATTTTCTCTTAACTGCCAAGCGAGTGATGCATAATATGTGCCATTGATTGTTTGTCCCTTTTGCAGATAATCTACCATCAGAATACCTCCAGCACCCCAGAAAATCGACATTTCTAGTGGAGAACAGTCTTTGCCGTCTTTGGCAAGGGTGAGTCATTGTGCTTTCATTGTTTAATGTTGTTTGGCTTCTGGGATGAAATGATGGACCCACACTTCATCCGTAGTCACAAACCTTTGCAGTGCGTTCAGAAAGTTAGCAGATTCTGTTTCTGAAAGGCTCAGATTAGCACCTGACAAAGCCCGCTTGGTGTGCTTCTTATCAACTGTCAGAAGTCTTGGTACCCAACAGGTTGAAAGCTTTTTCATGGAAAGATCTGTAACGTGAAATGGAATGTACTCTTTCCTGTGAAACTCCACTGGCTATATATCTCTCTATAACTCGCCTGTCAGCCATAACAATATCATCGAATTTATTGACCATTTCTGGGGTTGCAACGTTGACAGGCCTTCCAGGACAGTCGTCATCTACAAGGCTCTGCCTGCCATACTTAAATTCCACCAACCATCTTTTCACTATCGCATCTAAAGGGACATCATTCCCTAGAGTTGCGACCATATCAGTATGGATATCATTAGGTGCTAGACTCTTTTCATGCAAATATTGAATCACTGCCCTTCTAGCGATTTTGTCTATTGTGCAAAATTCACTTGCCTTATTTACATTAGAGTGCTACGTCTTCGACATAAACTAACCAAATAACAACAGTCCTCGGGTATACAGCCTTAAATAGTTAGGTAATAGTAAAGCTGAAAAACGACATCCCTGCTTGACATCTTCAATACAAGGGTCACAGCTTCCTTAACAAGACTTCAACATGATAAGGAATATGGAAGTGATGATGCTGATATTGATATGTGAATATGCTGATAACGATACTGTAGCACGGCTTTATTTGTGTGATTGTGTGCTTAATGTTGTGGTGACTCGATACATGTAGATCATTCACTGGTCAATATATAATTACATGTGTCTTGAATAAATAAGAAATATAAAAATAAAAACATGTATATCTAACCCCCAACCCCGGCCAGCCCATGTCCTTCCCCTTGGGGCATCAATGTGTACGGTCTCGATATTTAACTAAACTTTGGTATGCAGTTGTACAGGGACATTTTATGCAAGTCAGGTTTTCGTATTTTTTTTCTAATCAGCTGATTTTTTTTCTCTCTTTTCTGTGGAACTTAAAAAGATAAGATTTTAGCATTTTCCGCTTATTTTCTGTATGTCACTGTCTATATGACTCATATAAGCCCTTTTAGTGAACCATGTACTTTGAAATATTTGGTAATTTAGTTTTGGATTGCGTCTGTTGGTTAGCGTTAGTCAACCATTACTCGACAAACTCTGTTGGTCTTACACTTAATTTGAATCTGATACAAAAAATTACAAAGAACAGGAGGCTTGGATTAAATTATTGATATTTTTTCTTTAGAAAAATAAACATACGTTAAAAGGTAATAGATTAAGGAGCAGTTAATTGACATGTAAGCAGTTAAGATGACTCTTATGGATAAATTGACTTTATTATTGTTAAATAAAAATGTTCCACGCCCTAACAGTATATTGCGTTCCGCTTTCATGAAAATTTGAACTTTATACCAACCTTTAATTCACGCTTTATACTCCATAATCACCGATAGCGCACTTCCTTAAGCAAACGTCTTAGGAAACAAATAAAGTGAAATACAGTATTGTTGGTTTGAAATATTTCCAGAGAAGCAGTTAAACGTCAATTAGCCAAAAGTAGTAGCTACTTCATTGTCGTTGCTTATTTAGGCGCATTGATTTAGCTCATTTGCATATTGGACAGGAAGTGAGGACACAGGCGGTACTTTCTGCATGAGGTTCACGAGTACGTCTCGAAGGAGATAATTCTATCGTTTTGGCGTCTGCAGCTGATATCCTTTGAATGTAGGAAGCTACACATTAGCGCTAGCAATGGCTACAACGGCTGTGTTCATCGGCTGGGCTACTAAAACCTAGCCTGCATCAATATTATCGACGAAGTTGCATCCAAGCTTATTTCTTATCACTCAACATGGCTCAAAATTACAGCAATTTGAACCGAGCTCAACTGAGCTTTGATTACCTTCATACCAATTCGTAAGTATGTCATATCAACAAAAGTGATATAAATGTGATGCTTTAATGGATTTCGTGGTTCTGTTGAAGGTTCTTCAAGTGTACATCAAAAAGGCTACAGATTTTCGTTCCAAGCACCAATGTGGATTTTGCATTCTCAACCACAGCAGCATCAGGGAAAGAAGTCACAAGATTTAACCAATCGTTTGCTACAAAACGTTGTACATGCATGAATAGCTTGCTGGAATGTTATAGATAGGTTATGTTCTTAATTAGTGAAACTATAAAGTGTTATGTAACCCCAAATCAGTTAATGATATTATGTCATGATGACCTCATATTAGCTTTAGACTATAGATATATGTAAACTTCTCGAATAGGTTTCATTGTTTATTTCTGATGTTAACTTGTATACTAAAGCATTTACTAAGCCAATAGAAATAAGAAAATATAAACAAATGAAAAAGAAAACAAAAACAAATGAAATAGAAAAAAATGAAAAGATTTCACAATTTGAATTTTGTCATAATAAACTGACTTGTTATACTTGAGGAAAGGTCACCAGAGAACACAGGATATTGCATTTAGGACTTTTAGAAAACATTTTGTTTGTTTGAGGTATCCTGAAAACTCAAAATACTTGTAATACTTTTTCACATATCCCAAACAACTCTTGTCTTAGCAAAGTGGGAAAGGTTTTTGTGATACTACTTTATTATGTACGACAAATACCAACACATTGTTTGGTGCAGTTGATGCAAATGTTTTACTGAATAATGTATCTATCAAGATATGTATGAACATGACAATAGACTTAAGATTACCAAGTATTGTGTATGTCAGAATTTGCAATAAATTCTATAGGTAAAGTATGCCTTGCACTTTGCAATGGTTATTTAATTACATTGATATGGTCAGTTTGTTTTGTCATGAAACTGCCAAAATCTTGCTTCCTTGTCAGGATATATACAATTTTAATATTAGTGGAGAGGAATATATTCCTTCTATACTGTTATCAGTGTGGTATATAGTCAGTTTATTTTTAAAATGATAAGACCAAATAAAAATATACCCATATGTATAACTCTACTTATATTACTTACTTCCAATGTCTTGATTCTTAAGTGTTGGTTTTAGGCATAGAGTGTTTGTGGAATATGAAATGAATTTAAACATTGTTTATGTTTTATACAAGTAATTCTTAAGAATGTAGACATTTTCAAGTCCAGTTGAAAGAAAAAGTTGTCATTTAGCAGAATTTATACATTTAGTGAATTGCAAAACAAACCATTAACAGATCTCCTTAACTCTTTTGATATGTATATAAAGCATTTCACAAATATCTTCAGCCATTTCCATCTTATAAATCTTGTCAGATCAAAGGTGTCATTGAAATGGAGTTTTTTTTCCAATTCTCCCTGTAGTAATAGGGCTAGTAGGACTTGTATTTCTTTTTGCTCAAAATTGAACTAAATTTTAAATTGGCAATCCAAATTGCCGGGTTGAATTTTTATGAAATGAACTACTTCTAAAGCTGAGGTGTTACAAAAATTATCCACATTAATTGGTAGGGAAATTATTACATATTCACACTTAAATTTAAAGATCTATGGATAATTTTTATTGAAAGTAAATTCACTGTTTTTTCATGATGGGTTTTGCTAGTAAAATACATACATTACCAACTATGTGGTTTTGTAAATATCTTATGGGGCATAGCTCATGTACAGCTGATACTGTTTATAAAGGCCAATCAATGTATCAGAGAAAACTGATATTTATAGACAGGTGCCCTTTATCTAGAGGTTCATTGAATACCAGTTTTATTTTGTTTGATATAAGTGACTTTTATATTCAAGTATATGTTCACAAACTTTTGTTAAACATTTTCTCTTAAATTTTGTATATAAATCAATGTCAATTAGATCAGTTAGATGTAGAAATCTTAACTTAGCATTGCTTATATGTAGCAGAAACTTGTTATAAAGGCTAATCGGTGTATCAGAGAAAAATGACATTTATAGACAGGTGTTCTTTGTTTGGATGTTCATTGAATACCATTGTATTTTGTTGGATATAAGTGACTTTCTTATACAAGTGTATGTTCACAAACTTTGTTACACATTTTCTATTAAATTTTCTTTATAAATCACTGTAGATCTATTAAGATCAGTTAAGTGTAGAAATCTGACAATAATGGGACATCAAACAGGACGATGTCACAATGGACAATACTTTTGTTTGGCATATTTCTGAGGAAGAGAATTGATTGATGAGCAGTTTAGAAAAGGATTAATCAAGTATAAGGTAATGCATTCTGATGAATATTTGATTGATAAAAAAATAATTATAAAAGTGTTTTATTATATCGTACAAATGAAGATATATATTCTATACATATAAAGATGTATGGTTTATGAAACAAAGTCCAGAAATTTCCTGTTTGGTGGTTTTGACCAGGTTACTGGAAAAATAATACATACTTCTGACCCTGAACTTCTGACAATGTACATGTGGGTTTTACAGTTAAAATGAAATCTTGGTTACCTGAGAAATGCAAAGTTGTTGGGTGGATGGTGAAATTGATGGAAGGCAATCCAGCTGAGGGGTTAACAGTGTTGCCTTGTATTTACATTTTCATGAAATGTTAACATAATTGAAATGTAAGTCATGATAATTTCAGATGGCATGGATGTGTTTTACTAATCATGTGTCTACAACAGGATATTTTAATCTGTTATGTTGACTTATAATAAATTTTTATGTTGGGCTCTTTCTATTTATCCAAATTAATTAAGAAGGGGAAATTACTGTTTATACATACCTTTTAATTAAACCATGTCCAATTTGCATTACTGTGGCTGAGATGAATTAAACTTCTTTTTCCATTATGTTATAAATCAATACCAGACTGTCTCCATATTAAATCATACATTTACTCAGTGTGTTTTACAGGGCATTATTGTAAACTAGATGCAAGTCTAAATATGCTCCCTTGTTTCTATAAAAGAATTTATTATTATTTTATTATTATGTAGACGGAGAATGAACTGTTACCTATCGCTATGTCAATACTTCAGCATGGCATTGAAATAGCAGTCCAGAACACCGTTTCAAACATTTTGATGAGTCAATATTATTAGGTATAGTGAGTTCTCATAATTTCACTGTGTCCCACAGAAAAAAAAAACATTAATTCAGGTCTCAGATATACCATTCCCAAAAATCACTGTGATATTTTTATGTAAAGATGGTCCTAAGGGAATTTAATCATTGTTATACATACATCAGTAATATATATTGGTCAGATGTATGTAGTTACGTTTAACAATCAATTGTACTTTTCACTTTTATACAAGTGTATGTTATTGAATAAAAGAGGAAGTTGTGCGTGTTTGTTGTTTTTGATACATTTGAAGAAATAAAGCCTCTTAATGTAGTCTGCAATTTTAATGAAGTAAAGAAAATGCTGAAACATTTTTAACGGAAGGAGAATGAGTAATTAATAAATGAAATCAGTTTATGAATAATAACCACATGTACCTAGTTAATAGATTACAGTCTCGTTAATGGAATACACAGTACAGTTCTTAGAATACTCATTAAAATGTCTGCATAGGAGAATATATGTAGGCTCGATATGGAACAAATATAATCTGATGTGAAAATGAAAGGGTCGAGATGCCTGTATTTAGTATCAACAATCTAGTTGCTGTAATAGAAAAAAAATCTGTTGGTGAATTGGAATATCTGTGAACTAGTTTTAAAAAAAATTGGATGATAGAGAAGGTTGGAGACTAGTTGTAGAGATCTGATGGTCAGGTCTTACAGAATAGGTTATTTATAGAATAGAAAGATGTTATGGCAAGTTGGTAGAATGGTAACCCTGGTAAATACTAGCCGCAATATATCGCTCGGCTGAGTCAAGTCGCAATATATCACTCGGCTGAGTCAAGTCGCAATATATCGCTCGGCAACAGAGTATAAGAATAACTGCTAATTATTAGACTATTTACAATCCAAGTAGTGAAATAACAAGTGAATGGAAAACTGGAACATGAAAAGGAAGGTTGCAGTATTATGTGATTAGTATAGATACAGGAACCTTACAGATATAGCCAAATACCCAAGGCCAGAACTAGATATTAGTGTATATGGAGCTATTAATTAATGCCCACCTGATTTAATGGTTATAGAGTTTTTAAGTAGCTCGGCAAAATAAGCAAATAATTTATTGTTGAATAGGAGTGTTCGGTTGTTGGCCAAAACAGTAATGTTTTGAAGGTAAATCATGAAACTGCTATACCCAACGGAAATGAGCGTATATTATTACACTTTTTGGGCTATCCTTGGATAGATTTGTTTAACATATATATCAGCTGTCTTTATTGTGATTTTATGTTCCGGTGTTGCATGTTTTATTTATGTCAATTTTTCACCCTATGTACTTGTAACATGTATTTTATTTATCATGCTTTGTATACATTTGTGCAAATCTTTCCTGAATAAATTATTATATCGGTTTGCAGACATAGATTCGTGGATTTGAGTTCCCACAAAATTTGCTAGATAAATTCCCCAGGAATGATTTAACAGTAAGCTAACTGGGTATTTGGAGATTTTTAATTGAAAGCTAGGGTATATCTAAATCAAATTTCATATGAAAATTGCAGATATTGCTGTAGGTTTTGATAAATGTCTGTATGTGGGTAACTTTTTGGCACCAAAAATAAATAGAAATAAGTGGAAGATGCCGAAAATCATGCAGAAATAATTAATGTTTGTCTTATTTTCAGAACTACCCATGAATTTCTGTTTGGTGCACTTGCAGAATTGGTGGACAATGCAAGGTAGGTCGCAGTTCAGTTGATGATTAAAAAAACTTTGATCTTTATGAAATTCAGAAGTAGGTAGCATTGGTGTGAGAATACACATAGACTATGTTGCAGAATAATTGATTTTGGTACCAGGCAAGGCTATTAAAATTTTGTGGAATTGATGATGTGACTTTCAAAAGGGGGGGAGGGGGTGGAGGGTGGGCATTGTGCTGCTTGTATGCTACTAATTACATTTAGCAGTTGGAAGAACAAAATTATGGACTTAATCTTTTCTGGGTAACATTAATTATAGATTGGATGAGCTCTGTTTTGTGGGTGACACTACTAACGAAGGTCATATGGACTATATTTTGTGGGTAACAACATGATGCATGATGTTAGCATAGACAAATATTTTGTAATGGAGGTCATACATAGCATTACAGTATTTTCAGAAATTTTGTAAAGACCTTGTTAATGCATTTCGGCCATTAAAACCAATTGATTATAATATCTAAATAACCCATTGTCATATATATTTTCATACAACACAAATGATGGCTAATTGTACGGGTCCACAGCCAGATGTAGACACCATTGTCATTTGTTACTGCCCATGTGTTTTGTCTGGATATAAAAATGTTGGATGTGTACATTTCCAATATATGTCTGGTGTGGTGGTGTTCTTCATGTATGCCATCATTATACAGCATTAATTGTTGTTTTACTCCATGAGAAGGCCTTGTCATCATAAAGCCGTTTTATTTCTTTTGTGACTCTATCGTCTGTAGACATTGTCATTTTGTGGGGTCATGATGCCATCAACTGTTGACACCTTTGTCATGACCGTAGGTGTTGTGTAACTCCGTCATCATAGACACTTGTTATATGACCTAACTGTTGTTTGACCCTTGTAATCAGTAGGCTTTGATGTTGTATGAACTTTACTGTTGTGTGACTCCATCTGTAGACTTTGCCGTCACTTGATCTGTTATTTGGCCCAGTTGTCAGCACACACCATCATCCCCTTAGCGGTCATGTATTGTGTGACCAATTTGAATAGCCACTGCTGTCCTATGACCTTTTATTATCTGTTGTGTGACCTTGTCATCTGTTGACACCATTGCCTTGATCTTAGCTTTAGCTTGTGTAGTCCTATCATCATGATAGCATTAACTGCAAGTGTGACCTTATCTGTATACACTTCCATGGTGTGACCTTATCTGTAATGTGACTCCATCTGTACACATCATTGTCATATGACCTTAGCTGATGTGTTAACCCATCTGTTGTCATGGTCACCATGTGACCTTAGGCGATGTGTTGATTCATCTGTTGTCATGGTCATCATGTGACCATAGCTGATGTGTTAACCCATTTGTTGTCATGGTCATCATGTGACCTTAGCTGATGTGTTAACCCATCTGTTGTCATGGTCACCATGTGACCATAGCTGATGTGTTAACCCATCTGTTGTCATGGTCACCATGTGACCTTAGGCGATGTGTTAATTCATCTGTAGTCATGGTCACCATGTGACCTTAGGCGATGTGTTAATTCATCTGTTGTCATGGTCACCATGTGACCTTAGCTGATGTGTTAACCCATCTGTTGTCATGGTCACCATGTGACCTTAGGCGATGTGTTAACCCATCTGTTGTCATGGTCATCATGTGACCTTAGCTGATGTGTTAACCCATCTGTTGTCATGGTCATCATGTGACCTTAGGCGATGTGTTAACCCATTTGTTGTCATGGTCACCATGTGACCTTAGCTGATGTGTTAACCCATTTGTTGTCATGGTCATCATGTGACCTTAGCTGATGTGTTAACCCATTTGTTGTCATGGTCACCATGTGACCTTAGGCGATGTGTTGTGTTACCATCATGTGACCTTAGGCGATGTGTTAACCCATCTGTTGTCATGGTCATCATGTGACCTTAGCTGATGTGTTAACCCATCTGTTGTCATGGTCATCATGTGACCTTAGGCGATGTGTTAACCCATTTGTTGTCATGGTCACCATGTGACCTTAGCTGATGTGTTAACCATCTGTTGTCATGGCCACCATGTGACCTTAGGCGATGTGTTAACCCATTTGTTGTCATGGTCACCATGTGACCTTAGCTGATGTGTTAACCATCTGTTGTCATGGCCACCATGTGACCTTAGGCGATGTGTTAACCATCTGTTGTCATGGTCATCATGTGACCTTAGCTGATGTGTTAACCCATCTGTTGTCATGGTCATCATGTGACCTTAGGCGATGTGTTAACCATCTGTTGTCATGGTCATCATGTGACCATAGCTGATGTGTTAACCCATTTGTTGTCATGGTCATCATGTGACCTTAGGCGATGTGTTAACCCATCTGTTGTCATGGTCATCATGTGACCTTAGGCGATGTGTTAATTCATCTGTTGTCATGGCCACCATGTGACCTTAGGCGATGTGTTAATTCATCTGTAGTCATGGTCATCATGTGACCTTAGCTGATGTGTTAACCCATCTGTTGTCATGGTCACCATGTGACCTTAGGCGATGTGTTAACCCATTTGTTGTCATGGTCACCATGTGACCTTAGGCGATGTGTTAACCATCTGTTGTCATGGTCACCATGTGACCTTAGCTGATGTGTTAATTCATCTGTAGTCATGGTCATCATGTGACCTTAGCTGATGTGTTAACCATCTGTTGTCATGGTCACCATGTGACCTTAGCTGATGTGTTAATTCATCTGTAGTCATGGTCATCATGTGACCTTAGCTGATGTGTTAACCCATCTGTTGTCATGGTCACCATGTGACCTTAGCTTAACCATCATGTGACCTTAGCTGATGTGTTAACCATCTGTTGTCATGGTCATCATGTGACCATAGCTGATGTGTTAATTCATCTGTTGTCATGGCCACCATGTGACCTTAGCTGATGTGTTAACCCATCTGTTGTCATGGTCATCATGTGACCTTAGCTGATGTGTTAACCCATCTGTTGTCATGGTCATCATGTGACCTTAGCTGATGTGTTAACCCATTTGTTGTCATGGTCACCATGTGACCTTAGCTGATGTGTTAATTCATCTGTTGTCATGGTCATCATGTGACCATAGCTGATGTGTTAATTCATCTGTTGTCATGGCCACCATGTGACCTTAGCTGATGTGTTAACCCATTTGTTGTCATGGTCACCATGTGACCTTAGCTGATGTGTTAACCCATTTGTTGTCATGGTCATCATGTGACCTTAGCTGATGTGTTAACCCATCTGTTGTCATGGTCACCATGTGACCTTAGCTGATGTGTTAACCATCTGTTGTCATGGTCATCATGTGACCTTAGCTAATGTGTTAACCCATCTGTTGTCATGGTCACCATGTGACCTTAGCTGATGTGTTAACCATCTGTTGTCATGGTCACCATGTGACCTTAGCTGATGTGTTAACCATCTGTTGTCATGGTCATCATGTGACCATAGCTGATGTGTTAACCCATCTGTTTTCATGGTCATGGGGGTTACTATGGGGGTTATTATTTCCAGGAGTGGAATGAAAAATATTTTGGAAAAAAAGTTTGGTTTTCGTTTAAGCTTTTGAGATTTTTTTCTCTGTCAAATCTAATTGAATCTTATGTCAAGTTCTTGGTTCCAGTGTTGAAAGACATTATTTCCTGTTAAGATATCAGTGTATTGTGATATGGGATCCAGTTTGTGAAACCATCACATAATGTTATTTTGTAGTTAATTGTTTATGCAATACTCTTGTTATATAACATTATTTGTGTGTTGTGTCGCGGTGTGACCCAATCATAAGTAGGCTCTGTTGTCAGGGATTGTGCTGGATATTTTATAATTGGGGAAGTTTTCACCTTTTCAGAATAAATGAGATCATTCTATATAGTTTGAATGGTCCTCCTGAAAATAAGTTTAGTCTTTTTAGCCCACCATCATCAGATGGTGGGGTATTCAAATCGCCCTGCGTCCGTGGTCCGTCCGTCCGTCCGACAGGTGGCCATCTTGGATTTTGGAAGTAAAAGTTTGTTACCGCTATTTCTGGGAAAGTACTGGATGGATCTTTCTCAAATTTCATATGCAGTTTTCCCTTGGTTCTTAGATGTGCATTGCACCTTTTTTGGACTGATTTGAATTCAAGATGGCCGACAGGTGGCCATCTTGGATTTTGGATGTAAAAGTTTGTTACCGCTATTTCTTGGAAAGTACTGGATGGATCTTTCTCAAATTTCATATGCAGGTTCCCCTTGGTCTCTAGTTGTGCATTGTACCATTTTTGGACTAATTCGAATTCAAGATGGCTGACAGGTGGCCATCTTGGATTTTGGATGTAAAAGTTTGTTACTGCTATTTCTTGGAAAGTCCTGGATGGATCTTTCTCAAATTTCATATGCAGGTTCCCCTTGGTCCCTAGTTGTGCATTGTACCTTTTTTGGACTGATTCGAATTCAAGATGGCAGACAGGTGGCCATCTTGGATTTTGGATGTAAAAGATTGTTACTGCTATTTCTTGGAAAGTATTGGATGGATCTTTCTCAAATTTCATATGCAGGTTCCCTTTGGTTCCAAGTTGTGCATTATACCTTTTTGGACTAATCCAAAATCAAGATGGGTGTCAGGCAGCCATCTTTGATTTTGAGAGTAAAATCTTGTTACTGCTATATCTGAGGAAGTACTGGATGGATCCTTCTGATATTTCATAGATATTGGTTTCCCTTGGTCCCTAGTTGTGCATTGTACCTTTTTTGGACTGATTTGAAATCAAGGTGGCCCACAGGCAGCCATCTTGGATGTCAACAGTAATACAGCACAAGTATATTGTCCATTATCCACCTGTAACTGACTGCTATCTAATAATACTTTGGGATCTTTTTCAAATGATATTTGCTAATAGGTGCTTAATAAGAATATTCTGTGCCATCATTGAGTACATTCAATGAAGACCAGTTCATGAACATTTACAACACCTGTAACAAACAAAAATAAATAAACAAATCTTCAAGAACTGAAAACAGATCCTCAAATGGTGGGTGCCAAGATCCCTCTGGTTAAATGTATATGCTTCAAAAAGCTGTAGGGACAGTATCAACACAAACTCTGCATAGGGACAGCTTCATCTTAAATGCTGCATATGGCTTCAGTTGATGTGTGCTCCAACCCTCATTTGACATTTGGAAAAAAATTCCATTCACACACAAATGTCATTGGAAAGCTGTTCATTAAGAAGTGTGTCACAATTTTGTAATAAAACTGATGTTGCTGTGTTTTTTCAGGGATGCCTCGGCTACTAGAATGGACATATTTACCAGTAAGTATTGATCTGTCTTGCGTGTGTTGTTTAACACCGTCACGTGTAACAAATATGACACATACTTTTTATTGATTTTGTACATAATTGATATACTTCTGACTAGTGTATTGTATGATCTGTGATGTACAGTAGTAATCAAATTGAGTCAGTCACCACAATATTGGTTGCTATAATTCATGTTTGATTCAATTTCATCTTTCTACTAGGTAATCTTTGAATGTAACTGACATAGTGAAAACAGGATGAATTAATGGCTCGTGGTGTTGGTTTCATATTAAGTTTCGTGTAATGCATTATTGTGTCATTTTATCACTCTTGGAATTTAATTTTGAATAGATGAAACATTGATGCAGAGAACTATGTCTGCCCCTATACACTTCCCTTTGAGTGAATGGAGACATTACATAATACTTCTTCTAAATAAGATTTTGGCCGTAATTTTAATCATTAGAAATATCTTGATTAAACGTGGAACATAATTCCATCGCTCACATGCGGTGTGCAGTGTGTTAACATCATTAATTAGGCTGATCACTACCGGTCTTCTCTTCAAAGTGCAACATTTTCTGCACATTCTTTGTCTGAAACTAATAAGAAGATCTTGTAACGTACATCACTTAAACGTTTTGCTTATTGCTCTGTGGCCATGATCTGAAGATAGCCATTACTAAAAATAGAATTGTATTGATTAATTTTTATTTTGACATTGAAGCAAAGTTGACAAAAATCAAATGGCAAGTCACCAAATTTTGGCTCAAGATAACCAGATCAGGGTCAAATTTTGAAAATTTTCTGGTACAGTAATGTTGACCAAACTCAATTGATATGTTACTTCAGAAATAGTGTGGACTATAGGTCACCTGGTAAAAGGTCAAGGTCAAATTAAATAGTTTCACTGTTATGTTTTTTGTTATGACATTATTAAGTTGAAATGATCAGAATAAAAGAGTGCCAGCTGGTAATTACATGATCAAATCAGTGCAGCTACTATCATATTCTATAGATTAATGGTAAATAATTTCACAAGATATTATGAACCAAACATTATCAAATAATTGGTGATTATTTCTTCTTAACAAATCTCATTAAATAGGAAATAAAAGCATGTGTGGTGATGTTTTTCCCAGTCAGTGTAGTTAAAAAGTATTTTTCTCAAATAAAAACTTGACAGTATTAATTTGATGGCTATTTATGATTTAAATCATAATTCAAAGTTCACTTTGCATTTTTTAAGGAGAGTGTATTGAGATTTAAGGGAGGGGAGTGAAGTATTATGATAGTAAGTGAAGTGAGTTAAAGGTTGAGTGTATTGAGATTTAAGGGAGGGGAGTGAAGTATTATGATAGTAAGTGAAGTGAGTTAAAGGTTGAGTGTATTGAGATTTAAGGGAGGGGAGTGAAGTATTATGATAGTAAGTGAAGTGAGTTAAAGGTTGAGTGTATTGAGATTGAGTGGAATTAAGTGTTATTAGATTAAGTGATGTGAGTAAATAAGTGGAGTAACATTTGTAACACTCTAGATGGTATTATGAAGAACAGTAGGACGTTAGGCCTCTGGCCTTGACAACTTATTTCTTGCTGGCTTCTTTAAGTGGGTGATAAAGCAGGGAAATGGTGTAGTAAATTGTTCTGTACCAAAGACTCCTGTCTGTGGTGACTGTAGAGTATCCGGTTCTGTACCCCAGATTCCTGTCTGTGGTGACTGCAGTATCCTGTTCTGTACCCCAGACTCCTGTCTGTGGTGACTGTGGAATATCCTGTTCTGTACCCCAGACTCCTGTCTGTGGTGACTGCAGTATCCTGTTCTGTACCCCAGACTCCTGTCTGTGGTGACTGTGGAGTGTCCTGTTCTGTACCCCAGACTCCTGTCTGTGGTGACTCTGGAGTGTCCTGTTCTGTACCCCAGACTCCTGTCTGTGGTGACTGTGGAGTGTCCTGTTCTGTACCCCAGACTCCTGTCTGTGGTGACTGTGGAGTGTCCTGTTCTGTACCCCAGACTCCTGTCTGTGGTGACTGTGGAGTGTCCTGTTCTGTACCCCAGACTCCTGTCTATGGTGACTGCAGTATCCTGTTCTGTACCCCAGACTCCTGTCTGTGGTGACTGTGGAGTGTCCTGTTCTGTACCCCAGACTCCTGTCTGTGGTGACTGTGGAGTGTCCTGTTCTGTACCCCAGACTCCTGTCTGTGGTGACTGTGGAGTATCCTGTTCTGTACCCCAGGCTTCTGTCTATGGTGACTTGAGCTCGGTATTTGTACAGGAAGACAAACACGTGAAGTTGTGAGATCAGTTGGCATTAGTACAGTCTTCTGGTTCGATCTCTTTCACACAACAGGAAAATTCTGAATCTGCAATATCAGGTGTAGGTTTGTTTAGTCAGTAGTTAGTTAGATTGTTGTATTTATAAGCCTTGAAATAACAAAAAAAATCTTTTTTTTATTTGCAGTTCAAGATGAGGAACTGCGTGGTGAATACATGCTGTGTTTTCTGGACGATGGTGAAGGAATGGATCCAAGTATGTCTATGGCTGCATATGTTTCTTAGAAGTACCTGTACCAAAATTGAAAACAGTTTTCATCACTTAATTGATTGTCTTTTGTGGTTTCAAGAAAGTAGCCATTGGTCAAGGACAGTGTATCATCAAATGGATATTCCATATAAAAATCTAAAAAAAACTTGAGCTGGCTATACAAAATAACTGGCTTTAGCTGAGTGTAATTAGAAGTTGCATGAAACAGCAAAATGTATAGAAATGCAGATAAAACATTGACTTTCCATGCTTAGCCATTCTCGATCCTCCAGGGGTTACCTCCACTTTTGCTCTCTGCACCCCTGGAACATGTCATAGCAAAATAGGCACAAGCAAAGTTATTTGGTTGGTTCCAGGAGAAATAAAATTTACCAATCACATGCAGATATGCTGCTTTTGAAGATTACAAAGGAACGACACCCAACTTCAAAGCCATTACAATATACTGTTATGTTATCTTGAGGTTTTCCAAAGAGATACATCAAGTAATCAAACTGGTCTCTTCATCTTATCCACAATGTATTGCACACAGAATGAAATTGAAGAGAGTGGAATTTACTGGAGTATCAAGGATGATGCTTAGCAGACACAGTGTTATGTTTTTCAGTCATTTGATTTGGATGGTCAATCATGTTTATTTCATTCTCATCTGAAATGAACAATCCATACACTTTTTATCCCACCATCAGATGGTGGGCTATTCAAATCGGTTGATGTCTATGGTCAGTCGTTCATTGTCGGTCCGTAATTCTTGTTACTTTCATTTTTTGAAAAGTGATTTTGGGACTAAACCAAATGAATAACAGGTGGTCAGCTTGAATTTTGATAATGGGAGATTGGTATTGCTATTCCTTGAGAAGAACTGCATGGATCTTTCTCATATTTGATATGACCGTATTATATGAGACTTGCCAATAGTATATAGTTAGTTGGTGTGTATATTTAGTTGGTCATATTGCGTTGATTTTTTTTCAGATGACACTGCAGATATTGTAACATTTGGGCGTTCCACAAAGAGATCACTGGATAGTCCACTCATTGGGATGTACGGAAATGGTCTTAAATCGTAAGTACTCTATCTACAATGGTCTGCAGGTATAACTACAGTAACGACAATGACATGAAACTGTTAGGACATGTGTTGTACAGCAAGGGTCTGAAACTGTGAATACTAATACAGTGGCCTGAAATATTATAATTACTATAATGACAGCAGCCAATTATCCTAAATACTTAATCATTGGTCTTAAAGTCTTAAGGGCAGGTAAGTAAGTGTTTTAGCTGCTAAGGACTGGTAAGGCAGTGGTCTTAATCTCTATAAGGACTGGTAAGGCAGTGGTCTTAATCTCTAAAAGGACTGGTAAGGCAGTGGTCTTAATCTCTATAAGGACTGGAATGGCAGTGATCTTAATCTCCATAAGGACTGGTAAGGCAGTGGTCTTAATCTCTATAAGGACTGGTAAGGCAGTGGTCTTAATCTCTAAAAGGACTGGTAAGGCATTGGTCTTAATCTCTATAAGGACTGGTAAGGCAGTGGTCTTTAACTCTAAGGGCAGGTAAGGCAGTGTTCTTTAACTCTATGGACTGGTAAGGCAGTGGTCATCAAATCTAAGGACTGGTAAGGCAGTGGTCTTTAACTCTAAGGACAGGTAAGACAGTGGTCTTTAACTCTATGGACTGGTAAGGCAGTGGTCATCAAATCTAAGGACTGGTAAGGCAGTGGTCTTTAACTCTAAGGACAGGTAAGACAGTGGTCTTTAACTCTATGGACTGGTAAGACAGTGGTCTTTAACTCTAAGGACTGGTAAGACAGTGGTCTTTAACTCTATGGACTGGTAAGACAGTGGTCTTTAACTCTATGGACTGGTAAGACAGTGGTCTTGAACTCTAAGGGCTGGTAAGGCAGTGGTCTTTAACTCTAAGGACTGGTAAGGCAGTGGTCTTTAACTCTAAGGGCTGGTAAGGCAGTGGTCTTTAACTCTAAGGACTGGTAAGGCAGTGGTCTTTAACTCTAAGGGCTGGTAAGGCAGTGGTCTTTAACTCTAAGGTCTGGTAAGACAGTGATCTTAATCTCCATAAGGACTGGTAAGGCAGTGGTCTTAATCTCTATAAGGACTGGTAAGGCAGTGATCTTAATCTCTAAAAGGACTGGTAAGGCAGTGGTCTTAATCTCTATAAGGACTGGTAAGGCAGTGGTCTTAATCTCTGAAAGGACTGGTAAGGCAGTGGTCTTAATCTCTAAAAGGACTGGTAAAGCAGTGGTCTTAATCTCTAAAAGGACTGGTAAGGCAGTGGTCTTTAATTCTATGGGCTGGTAAGGCAATGGTCTTTAACTCTAAGGGCTGGTAAGGCAGTGGTCTTCAGTTGAACTCTTGGACTCTTTTGTATGGTACTGCTAGATATTGTCTGATATGATAAAAATGATTGAAATTTAGATGTTTGTATTTGTAGTGGATCCATGAGGATTGGCAATGACTTAATGTTATTTACCAAAAAGGGGGTCACCATGTCCTGTCTGTTCCTGTCGAGGACTTTCCACGAGGAAGAGGGCATAGATGAAGTAAGTCATTCTGTATACACTGAAACCTGCTTAATATCCTGTTCCATTTATCAGGGGGGAAATGTGATAATAAGTAAAATGTAACATTAACATTTGACATGTTTTTATGTTTTTCTGGATATCTAAACCCGAAAGTAATTTTCTGATCTGTAAAAACTTATTTTTAACAGAAATTGTTCGAAAAGAAGAAATTGTAATTCGATTTGTTTTTCCCTTAAAAACAGTGATTTTCCTTAACTTTTGTTTGTTTATTCTTTGAAATATCAAAATCGTTATCATAAATTATTGTGAACCATCATATGTCATATTTACAGTTTACTAGTGACACTACCATGTAATCAGCTGATGTTTTGATGTATAATTCATTCATTTATTACTGTATAGGCTTCAAAATTGGGCATGATCGCAAAGTTGATATCGAATTGTCTGAGATAAATGGTTACAATATCAGCAAAGACGTAAGTGACCCTGTGAAGTTTTTCGGTTGCATCATGACAAGTTCCAAATGACAGAGGATTTATAATTCATTTTAACAGTTGGAATGCACTAACCAATTTAGAAAAAAAAACGCACTAGACTACATTGAACCTAACTGGACTTGACAGGTCAATCCTAGTGTTCGAGAGTCACAAAGTTTGGTAAGTTGGACAGTCGGCAAGTGACAATTCAGAGGTGACATATGACCCTTCAGGCATTAAGTTCCTGTAGTGTCCAACAGTTTGTGTATTATATAAATCTGTTCTTATTTTATTGCTGTAGGTTATTGTGCCTCTCCCATCATTTGATGTTAATACAAGGAATGCCACAACCCCAGGACCAAAGGTATATATTTACATTTGCATGACAATACAATGATAAAAACTAGCTGGAGAGAAGTGTGATTTATGGTATGATAAACGACATCAAGCACAGCATCATTACATTGGGCATCGAAAGGAAGGCAGCTCACTGTTAAGTGTTCAAGGAGATGGATTACACTGTCAATTAATGATTTATTAAATTGGTAATTTTGGTAGGATTTTTAAAGGCAAGTTCAGAATATCAATCCCTAAATTTGAACGAGTTGCACAGAAAAGCCATTAGTGTAGAACATTTATAGAACACATAAATGCTATATTAAGACAGTTGATTTCTTGCTGTAAACAGAGATGTCCTGCTTAAATATTTTCATATGATGAAGTCAAAGTTTCAAAAAAGTATTTAAGCTATATCTTTTGTTGATAATTTTTCTTGATCCAAATAGATGTAGTTTCATACAGAATAGTATTGCCACAGTAATGATGATAAAATCAATTTCATTTTCGTGCTGAAATACATTTTATAATGTAGACATATATTGCCTGACTGGAAAGGCTTTTACCATCAATTCTAGGAAGTGTGACATGACAAAATGTAATTATAGAGCAGGAAGTATACCATATTCGAGGTATTGAAGACAGGAAGGGCCATACGGTAGATAGTGTAATGTGATGTCAAAAATAAATACAAAGATTGTGTCAAAGGACAAATCATTGTAATAAAAAAAACTATTGTCTTAGTATAGGGGATATTTGAAATAAAGCAAGTCGTTAGTGCTCAAATCAGAGGTGTTACAGATACCATGGTGAATTTGGGTTAACACTTTTATTGTTACCTGATGTAATTAAAACGTCAGATTTTTACTGCATGTGAGTTATATTTGATTTTCAGAATTGTTTTATCTTTAACTGATGTTCAAGTGTTTGACATGCCATAAGTGCCAGTAGCATTTAAGTATTATTATCTCTATACATGTAAGTGATGGGATGATTGTAATAATGTACATTTATTGGAATCAATTTTTGGATTAATTACTGAAGTATTTGCTGCCTTCATTTGTAAGAGAAGTTTTTTTTCAGTTTTAGAGAGAACTAGGTAATTGTAGATGGGGGAGGGTGGGGAGATATCAATAATATTAGTTATTTGAAGTAATATTCTGTATTAATGTGTTTATCTTTTGATCGATAGAAATTCCAGATTTTTTTTCTTGGAAACATAGATTTTAGATATTGTTTTTATTGGTAATTTTCAGCATGACATGGAGATGGAACTCATACTTAAGTACTCGCCATTCACAACAGAGGAGGAATTCTTTGCTCAGTTTGATAAAATTGAGGGCAGCTCTGGAACGCTTGTGATTGTGTATAATATGAAATTGTTAGACAATGGTGAACCTGAGTTAGATATAACTACAGACAATGAGGATATCCTCTTGGCTAACCCAACGCAGGACTTCGATTCCGATGAAGGGTAAGCAAGCTACACATTCTCTGTTGAAAGACAATTTGGTTACTCTTTCCATATTTAGGACCTTAATTTCAAATTTTAAGAAAATGGCAAAATGTTAGAATTATTTTGAGATATAAGAAATTATTTGAGAGATGAGAAAAACAAATTGGAACATTTGATATCATTTTAATGATCTCTGAAAACTTCTGGTTTTATATTAAAAAATTCTATATGCACTTAATATCCTGATTTTAATCTAAAATCCATTTCAGTTTGGTTTATCAATTCTAATTGTAAACATTGACTGTCCTTGCTTTTCTTATTGATGATCTCTATGAGGGATCTTTTTTTTTGAATTTTTTTAATTCCCAGGCTCTTTGAGTAGTTTTTATATTGAATAAACATGAAACATGTATGTAGATTTTGTCTGTGTACAGTAATCTAGGTACTAAGGCTTTTGTTTATTTATCAGGTATTTAAATCATTGTGTTTATTTTCAGGTTGATGCCAGAGAGGAAATCCTTTAGAGCATATGCTTCTATTTTATATGTGGACCCAAGAATGAAAATTTATATTCAGGGTAAAAAAGTGCGGACTAAAAAGCTAATGTGTAGTCTCTACAAACCTAAGTTATACAAATATTCATCAAATCGCTTCAAGACGCGGTCAGAAAATGAAGTGCAGCGCGCTAAGGAGGAAGCTAAACAAGCAGAACATAAAGTGAAGGAACTTGAGAGTAAAGCTAAGTGAGTTGTTGGTATATTCTGAGATGTGGAATTCACTGATGGAATTTAAGTTTACTAATTCAGCCATAACTGTGTGAAATAAATCCATTTTTTACAGGCATTACGGAATGTTTTTGATTTACCTAACTGAAATTGATGATTTTTTATTTAACAAGACATCCTGTCAGGATTTGTAGGGATGCATGGTTATCCCCAGTCTTTTGATGACATTTAACAATATGGAAATACAGATGATGCCTCGTGAATATTTAAATCAGGGATATGTTATTACAGAAATCTTTCTCAGAAATAATTGGTTGATTCACTTTTCAAAAACGTATACATTCACCGTAAATGATTTATACTTAAGGTTGATTATACTGCTCTTGTATAAAATATGTCTTTAACTTTGAAAATTTCTGTTTCACAATTGTATACCACAATGACGTTAAAATTTTGATAAATGTTTTTCTTGGTTTATTTCTTTTCAGACATTTAGAGAATAAACAAAGTGGGTCTATATCAAAAGATCAAAGAGTAAGTGTAAATATAGGAAAATATCAACATGGTGAATTCAGCTGATAAACATTTCACAATCATATTTACGTTCAACTGGCGCACAAAGTTATGTGAATATTGAACTGTATTAATTTACATGAAAAATATTAGGTCAGATTGTAATGATGACGGTATTTGAACACCAGAACTCAACGAAGTAATATTACGGAAATAGGAAAGAGCTGCAATTCCTGAGGCCAGGTAAACACAGAATGCTGACATAGCCTCAGGAGTTGCGGCTCTTTCATATTTCTCGATGTCTATCTACTTTTGAAGAGCACCTTGTATACCGCTTGGTATCCTCCTGAGACCTAGAGAATGAACTTTGGCTTGTGTATTCGAACTGGACGTTGGTTCTTAGGGTTTTCATAACTGTTTTTTATGAAAGTAAATATTTGTTGGATGTGTGACAACCGACTAATATGTTTTGAAGAATGTTGATCATTACATGTTTTCTCTGCCATTATATCCTTTGTGCATTTACATATTTGCTGCAAACATGAATAACTAAATGTAACTTGTTTACAGTTGTTTTGCAATTAAGGAAGTTATTTCATAACACACTAACCACAGTTTTCCCCCCAAGTTCAGAGTGTAAGATTTGTTATTATTATTATTATGTATTAAATAGCACAATTTTCTGGTGAACATATTTAAATTTGGTAAATACGTTATTTGATTTACAATTACATTGGATTCTTTGTGGTTACAGACAGAACTTCGGAAGGCACAGCAGCAGGCAGCAGAATACAGACGAATAGCAGAATACAAGAAACAAGTGGCCGATCGGAAGGCAAAGTAGGTATAGATAGTAGTGTACAGCTAGGTAAAACTGATGTGTCATGAGTAGCTAATTTTCATCAATTACCTGAAATCTCAAAAGAAGATATAAAATTTAATCATTTTCAGAATATGTCGATCTCAATTGCTAATGGTTGGTTAAAATGCTCATGTATCTTTGAAAAAGTACAAATAATGGACTGTTGTAAAGTGGGATTCAATTATGCCCCCACCATAAAATTGGTGAGCATTTAGGGTTGCCAATGTCCATTCCATTCCATCTGGCCCCATGGTATTGCATCCTGATTCAATTTAAGCACCTATTAACAGATTTGGGTCAAACTTTAACCCTTCATCCTGATTTTGGATGATGTCATTCATATATACAGCAATAACTTTATTTATTTTTGTTTGTTATAAATTATTGCATACCAGATAATCCCGACAATCAATTTCTTCACAGATCACTTAAGGATCCCAAGATATTGAATTTTGTGTTTGGAATCAATCTTGAAAATCGCAATCATGATGGTATATTTGTGTACAACTGCAGTCGACTTATAAAGATGTATGAGAAAGTTGGACCTCAGACAGATGGGGGAGTGTAAGTATTCTAGGCTGTCTAGTTACATATCTTTAATACCATAGGCTTAATGCAGTCACCTTGACTTGTTAATGATAAGCTCTGCCTCTTAAACATCATAATTCAGAAAATCAATTAGCATTTCTTGGATATATACTGGTGTTACATTTGCATGCACTGCATTGGAACATCCATTTAGATAGTGTATTGTTGCCTTTTTTACTGCATTCCTGATGTCTAAGGGTGACTCATAGTTCAGTTGGTGAAAGCATTGGCTTATGTAACCACTGTTAAAAATCTGATGTGTTATTCCTGATGTCTCAGGGTGACTGATAGCTCAGTTGGTGAGAGTATTGACCAATGTAACCACCGTTAAAAATCTTATGTGTTATCCCTGATGTCTGAGGGTGGTTGTGATAGCTCAGTTAGTGAGATTATTGACCAATGTAACCACCATTAAAAATCTGATGTGTTATTCCTGATGTCTGAGGGTGGTTGTGATAACTCAGTTAGTGAGAGTATTGACCAATGTAACCACCATTAAAAATCTGATGTGTTATTGCTGATGTCTGAGGGTGGTTGTGATAGCTCAGTTGATGAGAGTATTGACCAGTGTAACCACTGTTAAAAATCTATTCCTGATGTCTGAGGGTGGTTGTGATAGCTCAGTTAGTGAGAGTATTGACCAATGTAACCACCGTTAAAAATCTGATGTGTTATCCCTGATGTCTGAGGGTGGTTGTGATAGCTCAGTTAGTGAGAGTATTGACCAATGTAACCACCGTTAAAAATCTGATGTGTTATTCCTGATGTCTGAGGGTGGTTGTGATAGCTCAGTTAGTGAGAGTATTGACCAGTGTAACCACCGTTAAAAATCTGATGTGTTATTCCTGATGTCTGAGGGTGGTTGTGATAGCTCAGTTGGTGAGAGTATTGACCAGTGTAACCACTGTTAAAAATCTGATGTGTTATTCCTGATGTCTGAGGGTGGTTGTGATAGCTCAGTTAGTGAGAGTATTGACCAATGTAACCACCGTTAAAAATCTGATGTGTTATCCCTGATGTCTGAGGGTGGTTGTGATAGCTCAGTTAGTGAGAGTATTGACCAATGTAACCACTGTTAAAAATCTGATGGGTATAATTTAATATATCCTTATTGTGTTGGCTAGTGTTTCTTCGGAAACTGAGAAATGGACCTGTCTGTTCTTACATGGTTGTGCCCTTGGGAAAAACATTTCACCCTGCTCTGGATGGTGTGAAATGGGCCTCCAGTATGTTGTTCAGTAAAAGTAACCAGCACTACTACAAGGATACCCAGTCTCAAAATGACCCAAGAAAAACAAAAAACCACATGAAGAGAGTGTCTGAACACAGACCTCAGATCTTCATCCAAGCCAGTGTAGGCCTGCTTTCTACAACCTTGGCTCTTGGGAAGTGAATGTAACACTTGTCTCTTACAGTGAAGTTGGTAAACTGAATTATGTAGCAATTTAGGTTTTAAAATTTTCTTTTAATTTACAGGTTCTGCAGTGGTGTTGTAGGCGTGGTAGATATTCCTTACTTGGTATTAGAACCTACGCACAACAAACAGGATTTTGCTGATGCCAAGGAATATCGACATATGATGAAGGCGATGGGTGAACATATGACGCAATACTGGAAGGACATTGGAATAGGTGAGTTATTAAAATCAAGCAGAGGATGATTAACTCTGTGAAATATTAAAATTTACAACATAGAAATAAGTTAGAATTTATAGCAGTACTTTTCTTTTATCTCTCTTTTAAATAAAGGGATGCTAATTGTGCTGGTACTGATACTTTTTGTTATTCTTCTAGTTCTTCTCCTAATAGTCTTGTCCATGCTGTGGTCATTAGAGATAATTATCTTCATAAACTTGAAACATACACAACCCAAAGACAGGATAGTGTGCAATGAATTTAGGTCACCATAATAATGTGTTATTTTCCCAGTAATTTTTTTTTTATCCAGACCATAACTTTTAAACCATTAGATTATATGTCATTGTTTTTAGGTCAGAGGTCATGCTGAAAGTCATATTTTTAATATTTTACTGATTTTTATTTTGCTGAAATTCTAGCAAAGAAAGTTGATAAACATCAAGTGAAAAGTCACTAGACTGATAGACATGGTCAAAATATGAAAAAAAACCTTTCTTGTCTAATAAAGGGAGATCAATGTTTTTGTTAAAAAAAAGAGTTTGTAGTTATCCTTGTGCTTTGTAAGCTTTTATAGAATTAATTAATTATACATGTGTCTTTGGTTATGATTTTAACAATCCTAACATTGGTCTTACTTTTCAGGGAGTAGATTTCGATGGTAAGATATAGGCTTACTGAATTCAGAAAACATATGTGTGAAAAGTGTTATATGTATTTGATTTTTGGATCATTTGAAAATATTTTTAAAATGTTTTGGTTTTACCATCAAAATATGGTTACATACATAATTAATGATAGTCGTACATATCTGAAATGGGAGTTGTCTGCCCTTAATCACTAAAATGGTTTTACTTAGAGTGTTCTGTTTTGATCAAGTTGTTTCTGAATTAATAAACCATGACACTGGATTTTTCTTTTCAAATAAATATGTATCTTTTAAAGAGTATTTCCAGAAGTATCTTACTTGAAAGACTAAATGTAAAAAAAGAAAACCGTATTTGATGAAAAAAAAAGTGTTGCTTGATTGTATATTTTCATTTGTATGATTGAGAAATTCAAAAAATTGAAAAATGTTCTACATTCTTAATATGTGATGGATTACAAATTAAACAATGTTCACCAAACATCTTTTGAAAACATGAAAGTGCATATAAGAAGAATGTTTTCAAATGATCCAGCTCAGTTTGCAGTGTTTTGTTCTGTTCACTGATCGTTCTAACCCTTTGTTTTGTATAGCACAACAAGGTGTCACAAAGTTTTGGTAAGTTGTATTACTGGATTAATTCTCTGTCTTCATCATGTTACGTATCGACATGACAATATATTCTAATTATATTCTATTGAAAATTGTCCATAGGATAGACTTTGAACTGTTTAAAATTTAGTCAGATCTTTTTCCTCTGAAAGGAATAGAGCTCAAGTTTACTAGGTTAGTTCATTGACACTTAGGTTTCTGTAGTCTCCTGTATTGACTTTTGGTTGTAGTAGGACTTGAATAAGTAGCATTTTTTTTCTGTGAAAAATCTTGTTACAAGAAATACATATGTATAAGAAACTGACAAGAGTTTAAATAGTAAAGATAAGATAAAACAATTCTAGTGATCTTTATTTTGATTTACAGAAAAGATTTCCATTAAATGTTTAGGATAATATACAACAGGGAGTGGGATGACTGAAACATGTTGCATTCTGGTAACTTGAGACCAACAAGAAATGACTATAAAGATGAAGTAACATCTATACTTGAATATAGAACATTTGTAAAGAATTTCAGTTTGATCTTACCAAGTTGATTTGTCAGCATAATTTTCACTGTTTTTTTCAATGTTCATTATTGCCTAGTTGATTTGTTAAGTTGCTCTATTTAAAAATTATGTTTTAAATGTGTTAAATTTCTTTGGTAAAAGGTAATGTACTGTATTGAATGTGTTAATTTGCTTTGTTGATAAGTTATGTGCTTTTTTTTTCTCCACACAGGGAGAACTTTGGCTACATCAGTCAAAGATGGAAGGATCCTCCCTCTGAAGACAACAAATACGCAAGGAAAAGAGCCATGCAGATCAATGTAACATTACAGTGTGGTAGGTTATTGTCTTACACAAGAAAAAAGTCTATGATCAGATAGAACAGCTATATGATAGTGGGATTACTTCCTAGCATGGGCTTATTGTCGTGTATATCAGAGATGTGTTTGTGTTGTAGATTTGTGTCTGAAGTGGCGAACATTACCATTCTCCTCTAACAACATCGGAAAAGACTTCCCTGATGATTGGGTGTGTGCTATTAACCCAGATGTTGCACATAACAGGTATAGTACAAAAATGATAATTTTAGACTCGGCCAAAAACCACCACAATAATTTCAAGGCAGACTTTGTCCAGTAAAAAGTATTAGCTTTCCATTAGGCTTGGAGAGGTACATTTGTTGTATTCTTCCTTTGAAATACAGATTTTAAATGTTTTGTTGATCTTACAGATGTTCATCAGCAGAACAGAAAATGAATATTGCTGAAGGAGTGTTCAAGAAAGCTATCAAATCTCAAGACCAGAAACAAAAAGATATAGAGGAGGTAAAAGGATCAGTCATTGTTTATCTCTTGTAATGATTGTACTCTATAAATATTATTTTTCATGGGTTTATTTCTGTTATTCTCAAGGATGAATGAAATTATAGAAATGAATAGTTCTATAATAGAATCAGTGGAGAAAGCTATAGTCTGAACCAGTGGTTCCATGAACACACTATCCCTTTTGATTTAACCTTTTGTTAAAACCAAGAAAATTTGACCCACAAGTAAAAAAAACAATGCTTCCACCATGCATACGACTTCTAAGCATAGAAGGACAAGGTTGGCATCAAGGTTATCCCCCTTGCCTAGTCCCTGCTGCCTCTATTGACATAGTGTCTGTATTAGAACATAACAACATAGGTAATTTCTCTCCTATTACTGTCCATATAACTGCTAAGCATACAAGGACAAATATCTACTTAGTGCCATGGTTGGCCTATAGGTGATCCCCTGTCTCTATGAATTCAATCCCTGCTGCCTCAAGTGACGTAGTGTCTGTATTAGACAACAGCACTGATCCCTATCCTATTACTATCCATACAACAGACAAATTCTAATATAGTGCTAGGATTGGTCTCAAGGTCAGCCCCTGCCCCTGCCCCTGCCCCGTAGAAATTCAGTCTTTGTTGCCTGTAGGGATTTAGTTTCTGCTTTCGCTAGTGATTTAGTCTGTACTGTCCCTGGAGATTTAATATCTGCTGCCTCTTAGTGTTTGTGTCAGAACAGGACAAGAACGGAAGTCATCGTCCTATATTTATGCATTGCTGTGCAGGATGAGATAAATGAAATGTAAAAAAAAGTACTCTACACAAAGTCATGCTGTGAAGTTGTATAGCATAAATGATGATAATGTCTCTTCTTAATTTAATTATTCTAAAAATTTCTGACAGATTTGAAATAATGTAAACGAGGAAACTACCGTAAAAACCCACGTAATGTCCGCATCTGTGTAATGTCCGCACCCCTTTTTTGACACAAAAATCTGGGGAAAAAACCCACCTTCCATGTAATGTCCACGGGTAATAAAAAGATCATGCTCCCTTTATTGATTCCATGAACTGTAATTGGTTTTGGTTTGTTTTTCAGGCTATCAAGAAAAAATCAAAAGAACTTGAGAAAATGCAGGTAGGTTGATTTTACATGAGAAAATGCAGGTGGGTTGGTTTTACATGAGAAAATGCAGGTAGGTTGATTTTACATGAGAAAATGCAGGTGGGTTGGTTTTACATCTAACATGAGAAAATGTAGGTAGGTTGATTTTACATGAGAAAATGCAGGTGGGTTGGTTTTACATGAGAAAATGCAGGTAGGTTGATTTTACATGAGAAAATGCAGGTGGGTTGGTTTTACATGAGAAAATGCAGGTGGGTTGGTTTTACATGAGAAAATGTAGGTAGGTTGATTTTACATGAGAAAATGCAGGCAGGTTGATTGTACTTGAGAAAATGCAGGTAGGTTGGTTTTACTTATATTATTTGATACCTACTTATTTCCAGAAAAACATTTCAACAAGTCTAGAAATAAGCTATTTGATTGATACCAGTAACATTATTGTGTGTGTACTTCATTCTATAGAAACATAAACCGGTGATGTCATCAAGGCAACTAGCAGAAATGGATAGAAAAAGGAAAGAAGAGGAAGACAGGAAACGGCGTGAGGAAGAGAGAAAGAGGAAAGAAGAGGAAAGAGAAAGACAGGAGGAAGAAAGACTGGCACAGCTTAAGGCAGTTAGAGAGGCAGCAGCCAGAAAGGTACATATTGTGATATTAAAAGGATCAGCAATTACATGTCCTTTCAAAATTATCAGGATTAAGTTTTACAGGTTTTTATTATTTTTTTTTTTAGATTATCAGGATTAAAAAAATTGTGAGAATGTAAGACTGAATCAACTTTAAATGTTGTAAAATTTCAGGATGAGTTTTCATGGATATATCTTCAGTTTGATTGTGAAACTTTTCCCCTGTCTCCTTGTGACTGATATATATCTGTCATACCCTGGACTTACTGATTTACAGTTACCTGTACAAACTACTTTAGCACAACCATCTGTCTGCTATCACATACATATGTAAAGATTGGATAAGTTCAATTTACATAGGAATATTATGTTAAATTTGGCTGCTGTTTGTTGTGAGTTATGGTCTTTTGTTCAACATGCATCCTTTTGTTGAGTACATATTTATGCTGTATATGTTCCAACATTTTATGTGGAGTTATGTCCCCTTGTTCAGTAGTGACAGTTATTAGTAAGAGACTATAGATGGACTGAGTTACTTTACATTTTACCCATTATCTTGTAGACATAAATCATTCGCTGACCATAAATACTAATTTATGATTGTAGGCAGCAGCACGACGAGCACCACCATCCCCTCCTCCTCCCAAGAAATCGACAAGTTCTTCCAAGTCCCGAGCTCCCATTAGATCCCCCACTGTGACCTCCACGCCCAGGGTCACCTCAACACAGAAATCCAAGAGTGAATCAAAGTCTAAACCAGAACCAAAGGTGTCAACGACAAAACCTAGTCCTGCAAAACCAACACCAAGGACATCGCGGGTGAGTAGCCAGATCTGTAGTTTGTATTTTTGCAGAACAATTCTCACGTTTCACATTATAATAGCTCAGTTGAAAAAATGTTGACTGAAAAGTGAGTGTAGTGTTCATAACATATGTGCACTCTCTTACCACAAACTGGCTTGCTAGATTTGAAACTAAACATCAAAATTGCCGAAATAAGAAATCTTTTTTCCACTTTTAAGAATTCAACAGATGCTGCTGAGTCAGAGGCTCTCACGACAAAACGAAGGTCAACAGCTGTTTCTTCACTTGATATAGATGAGGAACCAATTGTGCCTGCAAAACGAGCTAAGGCATTCTCCTCAGAATCAGATTCTGATAGTTCAGCCACAAGTACTAGGACCAAACCCATTGCAGGCATCTTTACAGAGTCTGACTCAGAACCTACGCCAGCAAAGAAACGAGGACGAGGAACAAAGGTTGATAAAGAAGAGGTGAGAACATTGGCTCCATAATTCTTTGTTTTGTGAAAAGTTTTAGTAGTCTTAGCTTCCTTCAGATGCCATTAGCGTCAATCCTGTAGTAGATTAAAGCTTTAGCCTTATTTGGAATTCAATATGACTTCCAGTTGCTACCCATGATTTCAACACTTGAAGTGTTTAGAATCAAACACTAAGATGTTTGGGGCAGTGTTTTTAACTACTGTAGTTTAATGCAGTGTATTAATTCTTTAGATTCTTTCATCTTCCTTTCCTCAAATATCATTGACATTTTTTATCTCTCTGCCCACCTTCCAGAAATGAAAACAAATATAATTTCAACTCTTTGACCCATTGGTAATAGGTTGAAATAATTTTTTATATGGTATGCGCCGCCAATAGGTGGCATGATGTCCTGAGATTTGCATGTGCAAATTCATAGTGTGTTAACTGTATGTGTCATTCAGGCAGTAAACGTAGCCACAGACAGATGAAAGATATAATTTTTGGACAGGTTGCACATAGTTTTGTAGAATCAACTCCTAGAGTTTTTGATGTAAAAGCTTGAAACTTTGTAGGATGTTTATAGATATGTTGAAGATGTGTACCTCTTATTATGAATTCATTCCGGACATTTTTCTGGATTTTCCTGGCTTTGGAACCAAGTCATTTTCTGGAACTTTTCTTGTTATCACAGTTTCTCAGAAACTACTACAAGAATCTTTCTAAAATTCCACATATAAATAACCTTGGGGCCCTAGATGTCCATTGTCTATTTTTTGAACATCAATCCGAATCAAAAATGGCTTCAAATGCCCTTCTTCTGCACCAATTCATCAAATACAACCAAACTTTCCCTATTATAACAAATATTCTACATACTCAACCAATGAAACACCCTTAACTGTCTTATCAATACCATATAACATTGCACTCGTCCCACAACCCGGCCAATTGTGGCTTTGCCCCATTTTTCATTCTAATTTGTGTTGATTTGTAGTTAATATCCTTTTATCAAAAAATTAGTTATGCAGGGAGTAATTAGGAAAAAAAATTCACTATTGATAAGTTTTTAAGGTTAATCTATAATTTGACGTGGTTTTCTTGCATATATACATGCATTTTTTGTCTATGAAAAAATATTGTTGTGTTTGAAAATAATTTGTTTATTTGATAAATCAGCCATAAAACTTCTTGTCAAAGTGAATCAGTCACAAAACTTCTTGTCAAAGTGAATCAGTCACTGTGCCTCTGTGACAGTGAATCAGTCACAATACCTCTGTGACAGTGAATCAGTCACAATACCTCTGTCACAGTGAATCAGTCACAAAACCTCTGTCACAGTGAATCAGTCACAATACCTCTGTGACAGTGAATCCGTCACTGTGCCTCTGTGACAGTGAATCAGTCACAATACCTCTGTGACAGTGAATCAGTCACAATACCTCTGTCACAGTGAATCAGTCACAAAACCTCTGTCACAGTGAATCAGTCACAATACCTCTGTCACAGTGAATCAGTCACAATACCTCTGTCACAGTGAATCAGTCACAATACCTCTGTCACAGTGAATCAGTCACAATACCTCTGTGACAGTGAATCAGTCACTGTGCCTCTGTGACAGTGAATCAGTCACAATACCTCTGTGACAGTGAATCAGTCACAATACCTCTGTCACATTGAACCAGTAACAATACCTCTGTGACAGTGAATCAGTCACAATACCTCTGTGACAGTGAATCAGTTACAATACCTCTGTGACAGTGAATCAGTCACAATACCTCTGTGACAGTGAATCAGTCACAATACCTCTGTCACATTGAACCAGTTACAATACCTCTGTCACCGTGAATCAGTCACAATACCTCTGTCACTGTGAATCAGTCACAATACCTCTGTCACACTGAATCAGTCACAGTGCCTCTGTCACAGTGAATCAGTCACAATACCTCTTTCACAGTGAATCAGTCACAAAACCTCTGTCACAGTGAATCAGTCACAATACCTCTGTCACAGTGAATCAGTCACAATACCTCTGTCACAGTGAATCTGGCTCAGTTCCTCTGTCACAGTGAATCAGTCACAATACCTCTGTCACAATACCTCTGTCACAGTGAATCAGTCACAATACCTCTGTCACAGTGAATCAGTCACAATACCTCTGTCACAGTGAATCAGTCACAATACCTCTGTCACAGTGAATCTGGCTCAGTTCCTCTTTCACAGTGAATCTGGCTCAATTCCTCTGTCACAGTGAATCTAGCTCAGTGCCTCTGTCACAGTGAATCAGTCACAATACCTCTGTCACAGTGAATCAGTCACAATACCTCTGTCACAGTGAATCAGTCACAATACCTCTGTCACAGTGAATTAGTCACAAAACCTCTGTCACAGTGAATCGGTCACAATACCTCTGTCACAGTGTATCATGCTCAGTACCTCTGTCACAGTGAATCAGTCACAATACTTCTGTCACAGTGAATCAGTCACAATACCTGTCACAGTGAATCAGTCACAATACCTCTGTCACAGTGAATCAGTCACAATACCTCTGTCACAGTGAATCAGTCACATCACCTCTGTCACAGCGAATCAGTCACAACACATCTGTCACAGTGAATCAGTCACAAAACCTCTGTCATAGTGAATCAGTCACAACACCTCTGTCACAGTGAATCAGTCACAACACCTCTGTCACAGTGAATCAGTCACAATACCTCTGTCACATTGAATAAATCACAATACCTCTGTCACAGTGAATCAGTCACAACACCTCTGTCACAGTGAATCAGTCACAATACCTCTGTCACAGTGAATCAGTCACAACCGCCGTGTGTCGTCCGTAAACTTTTCATTCAAAAAACTTCTTCTCAAATACTAGAAGGCCTAGGGAGCTAATTCTTGGCCCATAGCATGCTGGCATGGAGCCCTACAAAGTTTGTTCAAATTAATGACCTTGACCCACTTTCAAGGTCACAGGGGTCAAATATGTTAAAATATACAAACAACTTCTTCTCAATAAGCAAAAGTCCATGAGTGCTGATAATGGGCCTGTAGGATGCTTGGAGGAGAGGTTACCAAGTTTGTTCAAATGAATGACCTTGACCCACTTTCAAGGTCACAGGGGTCAAATATGTTAAAATATACAAACGACTTCTCAATAAGCAAAAGTCAAAGAGTGCTGATAATGGATCTGTAGGATGCTGGGATGACATGCTACCAAGTTTGTTCAAATGAATGACCTGGACCCACTTTCTAGGTCACAGGGGTCAAATATGTTAAAATATACAAACAACTTCTCTTCAATAAGCAAAAGTCCAAGAGTGCTGATAATGGGTCTGTAGGATGCTGGGATGACATGCTACCAAATTTGTTCAAATGAATGACCTGGACCCACTTTCAAGGTCACAGGGGTTAAATAAGTTGAAATATGCAAATGACTTCTCAATAACCAAAATGATTAGAGTGCTGATATTGGGCCTGTAGGATGCTTTGAGGAAGTGCTACCAAATGTGTTCAAGTGAATGACCATGACCCACATTCAAGATCACAGGGTTCAAATATGGTAAAATCTGTTAACGACTTCTTCTCAGTAACCAAAAGGCCCTAGAGTGCTGATATTGGGCCTGTAGGATGCTGGAAGGAAGGGCTACCAAGTTTATTCAAATGAATAAAGCCCACTGTTTTAACAGCAGACTCACTGTTGTTAGAGTTTGGCTTGCTTTTTGTCAGATCACCGTTAAGGCCCATGGGCCTCTTGTTGTATTTGTTGTTGTTAATCCTGTTGGTTAATTGAATAGAAAATAATGTTTTCAGTCTTTCTGCGTTTTGTGATGAAATGCAATAAATTAGTTGTTTACATCTCTCTGCTTGCCTTCCTGTGTGTGAAATTAGATTAATAATTGATTTTCATGTCTCTTCCCTCCTTCATGTGTTTTTATCTCTCAGTTATTGAATACTGCCAATGTTACAGACATTATTCTAACGATAGATTTAATGTAATATTCTCACTTTGACATCTATAAGATCTAACATATCTTAACCCTTTTCTCCACTAGTCTTCCAGTGATGAAATGGAGGTGTCGGAAACCACCACAGAGGTGAAATCTGACGTGGAGGAAACAAACCAGGTGTCTTACAATGATGCTGATAGTAATGGTAAGTAGTTCCTTTCTCTGGATTTAGTCGTTGGGGTGTAAAAAACGTGTCTTGTGTTATATACATTTGTAGCCAAAATTCCTAAATAAAAAATCTGTTTGTTTTCAGTAATTACTATACTATAGCCATCATCTAGCTTAGTTTCTCAGAAAGCATGTACTACATTACCAAAATTCTGTGTACAAATCAGGACAAGGAGACTTAGTAAAACTTATAATATGTGCAAGTTACCTCCCTTCTCCCACTAATGGTCCATTATAGTCATCCTTAATCTATTGGAAAAGAGGAAAAGTGTATAACCCAATCCCTGATTATATTCTGTTGTTTTTAGCCCACCATCATCAAAGGGTGGGCTATTCAAATCACTCTTCATCCATGGTCTGCCCATTCAACCACACGTTAACAATTTTTTCTCTTGAGAAGTACTGGATGGATCTTTTACAAATTTCATATGTATGATCCCCTTGGTCCCTAGTTATGCCAATTTGATTTTTGGGTCTGATCAGAACTACAAAACGCCCGACATGAAGCACTGGATGGGTCTGTCTCAAATTTCCTATATTAGTACGCTTTTTGTCTTTTGTTGTGCCTATTTACCTTTTTGAACTGATCAGAAAAACAAAATAGTTGACAGGTGCCAATCTTGGATTGTGACTTTGCAAGTTTGTTATCGCTATTCCTTAAGAAGAAGTGGGTGGATCTTTCTGAAATTTCCTATATAGGTTCCAATTTGTCCCTAGATGTGCCCTTTTTTGTTTTTCTGGGGGGAAAAAAAATGACTTACAGGCAGCCATCTTGGATTTTAACTTAATTTTGGTAGACCAGACAATTTTGAAAAGTAGTTCTTTATGAAATGTTGGGAAAAAACTGGAGCAAGAGTGTGGGTATTTTCATTTAATTGTTTTTTTCCAATTTTGGTAAATTTTGGTGCGAGTCAAATTTAACAGCTCTGGATTTTGATGCCTGAAACAGTGCAGACATTGGATCATTTACATGGGATTTGACTGTAATAATGTTTTTTCATGCTTGTAAGTGATCACCTTTGTACTTGGAACATTCAGATATGAAGTTTTCATTGTCACATGTGATAAATATTTCACCTGAAAATGATAACCAGTTTTTACGGCGCCAAGATCCCTAAGGATCTCTCGTTTTTTATGTTCTCTGTCTGTCAGTCCATCTGTATGTTCGTCCATCTGCCTGTCAATCCATCTGTTTGTCCGTCTGTCATATTTTTGTCTGGAGCATAACTTAGAAGGTTTAAGATTTATCAGTATAAAACTTCATAGGTAGATAGATCTCATCAAGGAGAAGTGCAGTGAATGAGAACCATCACTTTCTTTTGCTAAATTTAGGAGTTATTGCCCTTTGTTATTTTTTTTACTTTAATTTTGTTTGGAGCTTTACAATTAAAGTATAAGAGGTATAAACATGAAACTTCATAGGTAGATAGATCGCAACAAGAAGGAGTGCAGTGCACAAGAATCATAACTTTCTTATTGCCTTTTTTATTTTTCATACTTAAATTTTGTTCCATTCAGGGAGCATAACCTGTGACGTCTCTGATGGCCCTTGTTTTCAAATGTGTTTTCTTTCATCTTGATTGGGTTAAACTGTTGAGAATATTAAATGCATTCACCAAATAACCATCTGGAAGTATTCTACTTTCGTGTTTTGACTCATTTATAGAAACATGTAGACATTTCACTTTCTGGCTATAAGACGAGACATATGAGGCTGGAAATGACTTTTACATGTTGTTGGTTGGGGCCAGCTTTATCCAGGTGTAATTTATCATGAGTTGTGACCTAATGGTCCATAAGCATAAATATTCTTTCTGTTTTTTGGTTATTGTTTTATAACATTGTCAACATTAACATAGTTGTCATCAAGTAATCAAGAAGGAGTAAACATAATAAAAAACCCATCAGTGATAGCAAGTTTCCTTGGTAAAAGTGAGCCCCGTCTTAACTTTTGGTCAATATTTCTTCGCTGAGGGAGGGGGCTTGTTGGCAGTGAAATATGCTAAACTTTTTTTTATGTATGTCTGATTGATCATCAGTAAAAAAATATAATTGATCAGTGTAAATCTGTTGATACTTATTGGTGATCAATATCAATCTGTTGATACTTATTGGTGATCAATATTAATCTGTTGATACTTATTGGTGATCAATATCAATCTGTTGATACTTATTGGTGATCAATATTAATCTGTTGATACTTATTGGTGATCAATATCAATCTGTTGATACTTATTGGTGATCAATATCAATCTGTTGATACTTATTGGTGATCAATATTAATCTGTTGATACTTATTGGTAATCAATAAAAAGATATTGATCAGTGTAAATCTGTTGATACTTATTGGTAATCAATAATAAGATATTGATCAATATTAATCTGTTGATACTTATTTGTGATCAATAATAAGATATTGATCAATTTTAATCTGTTGATACTTATTGGTAATCAATAATAAGATATTGATCAATATTAATCTGTTGATACTTATTTGTGATCAATTAAAAGATATTGATCAGTGTAAAGCTGTTGATAACTTGTTGGTAATCAATAAAAAGATATTGATCAGAGTAAATCTATTTAACTGATAAGTGATCAGGGAAACCCTTTTTCATAAACTAAAACTGCAGGAATTATTGTTAATTTCTTTAGTCTATCTTCTTGATAAAAATTTTCCCCTGTATTCATTCCTGAAAGGATATGAATAATTCAACTATTTGGATCTTTGAAATAACTGCCCAGTCAGATATGATGTACACTTATTTTCCTTCTTTTCGTCCAGTCATCTATGTCTTTGTATGTATTCATCTTTAAATGTGTGATGTCCAGTTGTAGATGTTGACCAACTACAAGTATTTTAGAGTCATAAATGTTTTTCCATTTTACTAGTATGCCTTTAATAGTATTTAACACATTTGTGTTCCTTTGATAAATCACACTTAAACTGGCCCTGTCTCACTTGTTAAATATCAGGATTGTAGATGTTGACAAAAGCAGAGTATGTCTAAAAATATCGGATACTTGTGAAGTTACTGAGGTTTTGTCAAGATACATTTATATTCATCAATTTACACCTGCTACTCTTTTGTCTTAATGTTTTAAAATTTTATTTCGAATGATAAATGTAAATTTTAGTATGTACAAATGGAATTGTATATTGTGGTCAATCAATTTTAAGTTGAAATTTTTTGGAATATAACAACAAAGACGTAACTCCATTAGGAGTGTGAACAAGGATTTTTTTTCATGTGCTCGCTAATTTTCTACGCCCTGGTAGTTCCATCTGTTTCCCATGCAGGTCATCAAGATAATATACTGACAACTGCCTCCAACAACACTGTAGTTCTGGAATCTATACCATTTACAACTCCCAAAAATTTACTGTCAAAAATTGAAAAACGTAGTTCGGTAAAAATAATCGATTTTCTGTTGCTCTTTCTTGTGACTTGCCGTCAGATTGCGGCTATATTCCTTGCGGATCAGCCATTTGAAATTTTATGTTTGTATTTTAAGTGTATTGACTCATTTTGGTAAAAGCTTTAAAGAGAAAGATTTTTATGGGTGTAATTTGACAAGAGAACGAAAGCTGGTTGTATTACTGTATGGATTCCTACGTTTACCTAATAGCATGCAAATGTGTTCAACAGCAAATTAGTGGTTGCATGCATACTTTTAACCAGAGAAGTCACACTACAGCTTGATACATGTAACTATGTATTGGGTGTGTTATGTTGCTGGTATGCTCTTAAAGCAATGCTAATATGCTGCTAACGAGAAGCTGTTGCTATGGGTTTACATTTTAGATGTGTTTTAGGATCAATAGGATTGACTACTAAAAACACAACAACACATAATTAATGTTATTGAATTGTACGTTTCTTTATAAACTAGTGTTCATGGTTTTTCTTTCCATTATTTTGGAATATGTAGGTAAGATAATTGAAATTTCAATGCAATGTGCTTACGACTAAAAACAGCCTATTTTGTATAGTGGAGATTCCAACTTTACAGTGCGTCATTTATTTTACCATGTTCCAAAGAGAGCACACTGAAGGCTTTACAAGAAATTGTAACTTTTAGATATGTTACTGGCTGTGTTAAATCTAGTTGGACTCAAGTGCTACTTACCACTTAAGATATCTATAAATCTTCAGACTTATTAAAACTAGATATTCATTTAACTCCTGAATCATTCCACTGCTAAATCTTGAGATCTTGACTTGTGTGGTACCCTGTTGTACTTTGAGATATTCATTTGACTCCTGCATTGTGCCTGTAGTAAATCTTCTCAAAATATCAAATGTCTTATTCTTTAGTCTTGTTTTCCATTAACTCTTTTAACAGCTGTATTTTTACTTAAACTGTTCATATATACTTCTGTATTATTCTGAAACTGTTTTCCTATTAATCTGAAATGGGCTCCTTTGTCATTTAACTTCATTAATCTTGTTCAATTCCTTGAGCTTTTTTACACAGAATCTTGTATTATCAGTTGAGCTCTGTTAGTTCCTATGATTCACTTTTTAATGCTTTTGTCTTTTGTGATTTTTGTTGGATTCCCTATAGATTTATCTTCACATTTTTTATTCTGTTACTTCTTCTCATACACTTTAATGTTATGCCTTTAACTCGTTTATAGTCTTTCGATCCTGTGTCAGATCTTCTTTGAAACTTTATAGTACTTCTTTAAGTCATTTGATTCTCTTGATCCCCCTTAAAGTCTTTTGATTCTTTGATCCCCCCTTTGAAGTCTTTTGACTCTTTTGGTCCCCCCCTCTTTTGGTCCTCCTTGGACTCTTTTGAACAACAACAACCCAAACCAACCCCCCCCCCCCCCCCCCTTTTGACTCTTTTGGTCCCCCTTTGACTCTTTTGGTCCTCCTTGGACTCTTTTGAACAACAACACACACACACCCCTTGGACTCTTTTGATCCCCCTTTGACTCTTTTGATCACCCTTTGACTCTTTTGATCCCCCTTGAGTCTCCCTATCTCCCTGTGAGATTTTATTTACTTTTTGGATCTTTGATATTCCTTTTGATCACCCTTTGACTCCTTTGATCCCCCTTGAGTCTCCCTATCTCCCTGTGAGATTTTATTTACTTTTTGGATCTTTGATATTCCTTTTGATCCCCCTTGAGTCTCTCTATCTCCCTGTGAGATTTTATTTACTTTTTGGATCTTTGATATTCCTTTTGATCCCCCTTGAGTGTTCATGCTTTTGATCGTTCGAATTATTTGATATTCCTTCGAGTCTCTTGATTCTTTTTGACAATTTTGATCCCTCAGAGTCATTTTACTCTCTGGATCTTTTGAGTCTTTTGATATTTCTTTGACTCTACTGATCTACGTTTTAGTCTTGACTCTTTTTATCCCATGTGGTTTTTTTTGGTCAATTGGATTCTTCTAACTTTTCAATAAATCTTTTAGTCTTTTGATCCACTTTGAGTCTTCTGACCTTTTTTTATCCCCCTTTGAGTCTTTTGACCTTTTTGATTCCTTTGAGTCTTTTGACCTTTTTGATTCCTTTGTGTCTTTTGACCTTTTTGATTCCTTTGTGTCTTTTGACCTTTTTGATTCCTTTGTGTCTTTTGACCTTTTTGATTCCTTTGAGTCTTTTGACCTTTTTGATTCTTTTGTGTCTTTTGACCATTATTTTTATCCCCTTTGAGTCTTTTAACCTTTTTGATTCCTTTGTGTCTTTTGACCTTTTTGATTCTTTTATGTCTTTTGACCTTTTTGATTCTTTTGTGTCTTTTGACCATTATTTTTATCCCCTTTGAGTCTTTTAACCTTTTTGATTCCTTTGAGTGATTTGACCTTTTTTATTCCTTTGTGTCTTTTGACCTTTTTGATTCCTTTGTGTCTTTGGACATTTTTTATCCCCTTGGAGTCTTTTAACCTTTTTGATTCCTTTGTGTCTTTTGACCTTTTTGATTCTTTTATGTCTTTTGACCTTTTTGATTCCTTTGTGTCTTTTGACCTTTTTGATTCCTTTAGTCTTTTGACATTTTTGATTCCTTTGCGTCTTTTGACCTTTTTGATTACTTTGAGTCTTTTGACCTTTTTTAGCCCCTTTTAGTCTCTTGACCTTTTTGATTACTTTGTGTCTTTTGACCATTATTTTTATCCCCTTTGAGTCTTTTGACCTTTTTGATTCCTTTGTGTCTTTTGACCTTTTTGATTCCTTTGAGTCTTTTGACCTTTTTGATTCTTTTGTGTGTTTTGACCATTATTTTTATCCCCTTTGAGTGTTTTAACCTTTTTGATTCCTTTGAGTGATTTGACCTTTTTGATTCCTTTGTGTCTTTTGACCTTTTTGATTCTTTTTAGTTTTTTGACCTTTATTTTTATCCCCTTTGAGTCTTTTGACCTTTTTGATTCCTTTGAGTCTTTTGACCTTTTTGATTCTTTTTAGTTTTTTGACCTTTATTTTTATCCCCTTTGAGTCTTTTGACCTTTTTGATTCCTTTGTGTCTTTTAACCTTTTTGATTCCTTTGTGTCTTTTGACCTTTTTGATTCCTTTGAATCATTCGACCTTTTTGATTTCTTTGTGTCATTTGACCTTTTTGATTCCTTTGAGTCTTTTGACCTTTTTGATTCCTTTAAGTCTTTTGACCTTTTTGATTCCTTTGAATCTTTTGACCTTTTTGATTCCTTTGTGTGTTTTGACCTTTTTGATTCCTTTGTGTCTTTTGACCTTTTTGATTCCTTTGAGTCTTTTGACCTTTTTGACTCCTTTGTGTCTTTTGACCATTTTTTATCCCCTTTTAGTCTTTTGACCTTTTTGATTCCTTTGAGTCTTTTGACCTTTTTGATTCTTTTGTGTCTTTTGACCTTTTTGATTCCTTTGTGTCTTTTGACCTTTTTGATTCCTTTGTGTCTTTTGACCTTTTTGATTCCTTTGTGTCTTTTGACCTTTTTGATTCCTTTAGTCTTTTGACCTTTTTGATTCCTTTGAGTCTTTTGACCTTTTTGACTCCTTTGTGTCTTTTGATACTTTATTAAACCCTATGATCCATCTTTGATTCTTAGATATTGATGATGTGGTATACTTTATTCCGAACTTTCTCTGTTCTTAAATGATGTGAGAAATCACATAACAAAAATGAAGCATGTGTGTTATTGACCATTAACAAGCTTGTACTATTCTGCGTCCAACAGGATAAAGATATCAAGAAATTTTGATGAAACCTGTTGAATTTTAATGTTTTACATTGCAATATAAGTCCTAGATACTTCTATACTTAGAGATCTTCCTAAACACATATGTGTTACCATCTTAACGACCATATATGCTGGGTCTTGCATATTGGTATCACTTGTGACGGTTTCATAAAAATCTGTTTCAGGTGTTGTCGGGACAATGTTGATTGTATCTTAGCAGAATATTGTTTCATAAAAATTGTTATGACTTTTCTACAGTTCTATTTGAGCCAAGAGAGATACCAACTTTGATCCTATCTAAGTATGGTCTGGTAATACCATTTTGAGTTTGTTCTAAGAGAAAATTGCGACCTGTGTCGATAATACTAGGGCAGGATCTCGTGGAAATGATGACGCTTTTACTGTTCATTTTCTGTTTCAGCGGAGATTGGGACCAAGGTTGAGGCACTAGTCAGTGGCAAATGGTAAGTATATATACCTGACCCTTCACAGACAGGCCATGACCTTCATGTGTTTCATAGACATCTCACACGTTCATGTTGTCAGTTCCTGTCAGTCGCTGACATCCCGCCCGTAAAGACCAAGAGGGCCTGTGTACTGGGTTAGATCCCGGGGACTTGTATGTCTGTACCTAACCAACTCTGCCTTCTGTAGGCTAGTACTGGACCTTTATTTCTATTGATTTTAATGCCCACTATCTCTGTTCAGGGGAGACTAACGTGTAAATACTGGATGCTACAAATTTCCTATTTTAGCCTCACATCAATTGTATTGCTATCCTTCAGTAAACTGAGCTTAGTAGTAATTGACTTGTAATATTTAATACTGTAGAGACTGATATGTAAAGTATATCATTCATTCAGTAAAGTGTCATTATAAAATTCAGTTACTTAATATATTGAAATGAGTCAACCTTGGTTAAGTTTGTTGCAGTGTAAAATTATATAATTATGTTATTCTCAAATTTTCTGGCATTCCAAAGAAGTTTTGTATTTTTTGTGGGCGCTTGAGTTGATTAGCATAGATAATGAATTTGAGTTATTCTAAAAATCCACATCATCTGTTTGACTGTTCATTTATTTTCAGACAAGGAATAAACATCACATGATATCAACGTAAATAGAAAGAAATAAAATGATAAATGAAATTTAATTAAGAAATTGATGACATTATAGTATATATGTAGACTGGGTATGTTGTTTTGTTATCAGAGATAAATGACTGTGTTGAAACAAACTTTTTTTCATCCATTTCTACTGTAAAAAAAAAAAAGTGAAAATTCATCAAAGGTAAAAATTTGGATCAATAAAACTTTTAATTTTAAAATTAAAAAAGGATTAATAATCTCCAGAAAATTGTTTTTTAAATGAGAGAGGGCGGCAGTTTGTCTGGGCAAAAACTATCATGTTTAATAAGATTAGGACATAATAGAACAAAATGATACTTTAATGTAACAAAAATTAGTGAGCTGATATTGGTGGATATATTTACTCACATCTGTTTGATCTGTTTAGACGCCAGATCTAGTCAAGTTACTGCAGAACATGAGATTAATGTTTTCAAGTGTTTCAATGGTTCTCGACCTGAATACAATGTGCTCACAATACAGATGAATGAAATTACTTTGAATATGAAAATGAGATATTTGTTCAAATATTTCAAACAAGTTGGCATATTTTATTCTAGCAATTATTAGAATAGATAGAAAGATTAATAAAACAAGTAAATTAAAATGAAAACTAGCCATTAAATCAATACAAATCATTCTTACAATATTTATTTTTTCTCAGAAGACAAAAAAAAAAGATACAGTTTTCTCTATGCAGTGTGAAATGTTTAAAGTCTTATGCTTGAAAAGATGTGTAGTAGTTTGTATGGATTTGTGACGACCAGACTTCCAGAGTGTTGCTTGTCATGAAAACTAGATGAGAGTGTTGCCCTACTAATATTACTACAGCAGGCAAAACCGAGTCAAGGATGAAGACAGTTAGGAGGGCCGCCAAGTCAAAATTAGACAAATTCAATTTTACAAATAACACAAGGCCCATTTTAATTTGAGTCTTCTCATGATTAGCAGTAGAAAATTTACTAGTTACAGAGAAGGCAAAAAGCCACAGCAATCCTTACTGTTGTGGTCAGATATGGGATGGTATTGATTATCAAACTTCTGAGATAACAGTGTTGTTGAAATATTCAAAATTGTTAGTCTGATAAATAGCAGGATGCTTCCCTTAGTTAGCCTTGACCTTGGTGTAGATTTGGGAGGAGATTCAAGAACTTCCAATGTTACAGACTTTTCTATTCTTCAGATAATGAAATAAGTCACAAATATGTGACACACTTAAAGATTTCTTCCTTTTTTTTAACAAAAAAACTTTCATATATAATTGATATACACAATGAAAAGCAAAGAAAGTGGCAACATTTGGGCAGTTTGAAGCAAGAATTATAATATGTTTAATTATTACAGGTAATAATAAACAAAAGGCCTTCATGCTTGAAACAAAAATCTGTATTTTTCTCTGACATTTTTGGATAATTCCAGATATTGAGCTTTGGAGCAATTTATTAATTGAATAAAACATGTTTTATTTTCTATCCATGGCCAGTCAGTAGGGCAAGGGTTCTTGGTTCAAACGCCAAAAAGATAAAGATCATGAACAAGTGATTTTAAAAGAATTCTTTACTTTGAACATATAATAAATAATAGCAATATAACATGATGACGTATTCCTGGAGAGGTCTGGTAGAAATCACCTTCTCCATTCCCATGTATATTGGAAAGTGTTATATAACAGTCAGTTTCATTACTGATTTTGTAATGACCCTGCCGGGTAATTAAGTCTCCTTTTCTGATATATGAAACATGTAAAATTAAAAAAGACGTTTTAAAGTACGGCTGCCAGAATCAGTTGTACATGTTATCCACTAGCCTCAACATTTTGTATAGGAGAAGTTTAGATATGACAATAAACACTGTTTTATTGCTACATATTCTGAGTCTCTTTTCTAGGATATGAGAGCAAAATTTTAGTGTTGCCTTATTCTTTCTTTGAAATAATTGAAAGTTTACCGATATGTAGGAATCTTTTTATTTTCAAAGAAACAATTCAGAGCTTTAAAAACAATTTTCACGAAAACAATTTCCTTTAACTTAATTCATAAGGTTGACATTTAGACTACAGATGTCATGAGTTACTACACTTTGAAATTGGCTTAATGTTCTTGCAGTGATGGCGTTTGGAAGGCTCTCAGTGATTACATTTAAAATAGGGAGAAAAGTTAGGTTTATCAGAATTACTCTATAATGTCACTAGGAAATGTATACAACTCTAAATATGAATAATCAAATGATTAAGTTTTATGTTTCTTTGTTGTGAGACACATCTCCTTTCGTTGTAAACACCTATTATATATCCTTGGTACATGCATGTTGAAGTTGATTTTTATTTGTTTAATAAGGGAAGAAAGATAAATTCAACCTCAACCAAATGTTATGTATGTTAATTGTGTGTCTCTGACAAAAACGTCAATGAATGAATCTCTTGATTTGTACTGTAAACTTCCATTTTTGCAAATTTTGTAATTGTAAGAAATCCATTAAAATTAATCATTTTGGATAAAGACGGAAATGATAATAAAGGATTATAGCAAAGAAAAAAATTAATCACCACAAACTGCCAGAAAATTGTAGAGGTCACCAAAGAAAGATGTTTTATAGTGTTTCTGATGATACTTGACAGGTACAACACTTTGAATCTATCTACAGGTATCCTGGAGTGGTGGCCAAGGTCAACTCTACTGACGGCAAGTGGAAGGTCAAGTTTGACAACAATCCCAAGGACAAGTATGATAAATGGTGAGTCTTCATTCTGGTCTTGAAATCGTTTGATTTTTATCCTTTTTCTATAAAAGAATCTTCAGACAATTTCTGAAAAGCATTATTAGTCTCTCTTGAGAGGCTATTTAAAGGACAACAATGTGGGAATAGCTGTCACATTGGCCCTCAAAACTACTTTTCTGACTTCATATATCCATCCAGTAGACTTGATTTCCAGGCAAGCAACAGTAAACACCCCAATCAGACTTCATAGATCCACACAGCACACTTGATTTCCAGGCAAGTGACAGTAAACACCCCAATCAGACTTCATATATCCATCCAGTAGACTTGATTCCCAGGCAAGCAACAGTAAACACCCCAATCAGACTTCGTAGATCTACACAGCACACTTGATTTCCAGGAAAGTGACAGTAAACACCCCAATCAGACTTAATAGATCCACACAGCAGACTTGATTTCCAGGCAAGTGACAGTAAACACACTAATCAGACTTCATAGATCCACACAGCAAACTTGATTTCCAGGCAAGCAACAGTAAACACACCAATCAGACTTCATAGATCCACACAGCAGACTTGACTTCCAGGCAAGTGACAGTAAACACACCAATCAGACTTCATAGATCCACACAGCAGACTTGACTTCCAGGCAAGTGACAGTAAACACACCAATCAGACTTCATAGATCCACACAGCAGACTTGACTTCCAGGCAAGTGACAGTAAACACCCCAATCAGAACTCATAGTCATCCACACAGCACACTTGATTTCCAGGCAAGCAACAGTAAACACACCAATCAGACTTCATAGATCCACACAGCAGACTTGACTTCCAGGCAAGTGACAGTAAACACACCAATCAGACTTCATAGATCCACACAGCAGACTTGACTTCCAGGCAAGTGACAGTAAACACCCCAATCAGAACTCATAGTCATCCACTCAGCACACTTGATTTCCAGGCAAGCGACAGTAAACACACCAATCAGACTTCATAGATCCGTCCAGCAAACTTGATTTCCAGGCAAGTGACAGTAAACACACCAATCAGACTTCATAGATCCACACAGCAGACTTGATTTCCAGGCAAGTGACAGTAAACACCCGAATCATACTTCATATAATCACATAGTAGACTTTCCAGGCAAGCAACAGTAAACACCCCAATCAGACTTCATAGATCCACACAGCAGACTTGATTTCCAGGCAAGTGACAGTAAACACCCGAATCATACTTCATATAATCACATAGTAGACTTTCCAGGCAAGCGACAGTAAACACCCCAATCAGACTTCATAGATCCACACAGCAGACTTGATTTCCAGGCAAGCAACAGTAAACACACCAATCAGACTTCATAGATCCACACAGCAGACTTGACTTCCAGGCAAGTGACAGTAAACACCCGAATCATACTTCATATAATCACATAGTAGACTTTCCAGGCAAGTGACAGTAAACACCCCAATCAGAACTCATAGTCATCCACACAGCACACTTGATTTCCAGGCAAGCGACAGTAAACACACCAATCAGACTACATAGATCCACACAGCAGACTTGATTTCCAGGAAAGCTACAGTAAACACACCAATCAGACTTCAAAGATCTACACAGCAGACTTGATTTCCAGGCAAGTGACAGTAAACACCCCAATCAGACTACATAGATCCACACAACACACTTGATTTCCAGGCAAGCGACAGTAAACACCCCAATCAGACTTCATAGATCCACACAGCACACTTGATTTCCAGGCAAGCAACAGTAAACACACCAATCAGACTTCATAGATCCACACAGCAGACTTGACTTCCAGGCAAGTGACAGTAAACACACCAATCAGACTTCATAGATCCACACAGCAGACTTGACTTCCAGGCAAGTGACAGTAAACACCCCGATCAGAACTCATAGTCATCCACACAGCACACTTGATTTCCAGGCAAGCGACAGTAAACACACCAATCAGACTACATAGATCCACACAGCAGACTTGACTTCCAGGCAAGTGACAGTAAACACCCCGATCAGAACTCATAGTCATCCACTCAGCACACTTGATTTCCAGGCAAGCGACAGTAAACACCCCAATCAGACTTCATAGATCCGTCCAGCAAACTTGATTTCCAGGCAAGCGACAGTAAACACACCAATCAGACTTCAAAGATCTACACAGCAGACTTGATTTCCAGGCAAGTGACAGTAAACACCCGAATCATACTTCATATAATCACATAGTAGACTTTCCAGGCAAGCGACAGTAAACACCCCAATCAGACTTCATAGATCCACACAGCAGACTTGATTTCCAGGCAAGTGACAGTAAACACCACAATCAGACCTCATAGTCATCCAGCAGACTTGATTTCCAGGCAAGTGACAGTAAACACACTAATCAGACTTCATATAATCACATAGTAGACTTTCCAGGCAAGCGACAGTAAACACCCCAATCATACTTCATATAATCACATAGTAACTGATTTCTAGTTTCTTGACCAACATTTAGATGACATTGTTAGAGGCACAAATAAAAACTACATACAGTAGTCAACAATTATCTGTTGTGATGTATTCCAATATAGAAAAATAGTTATTAACCTGAGTTTGGTAAAACTTTAATAAAAGTTTGTGACATTTACAGTGAGAATGTCAAAAAGAATTTGTTCGAGCTGTCATAGAATCTTTTTCCAGAGGGTGCCCTTTTATACATAGTATACAGAGAGCATTGCCCTCCATAGATTAACTTTGTTGATTCAGACTGTGCAATTGGTTGGTAATGCTACATTTTGCAGAAAAGTTTCCAGTTTTGACAATTTAATACCTGTTTTATTGTCACAAAAAAGTCATCATTGCCAATAAAGAAATACTTGACATGATTTCATTGGCTGCTGAAGTTCTTTATTTGAGCAGTGCCCATATAGCTCACAGTTTAACTACTCAGGTTTTGGCTACAAAGCCTTTTGTCTTTATTAATTAAGAAATTCTGATTGTCATTGGCTGGCGGGCTGTTTAAGTGGCGTATAGTCTACAGTTTTATCATTTAACTACCTATGTTTTAGTCACATGGCCTTGCTCCTGTCCACAAATTACTGTAGTAAGGAAATGCTTGTCAGGAACCTGTGCTATTCAGTGAAGTCACACCCGGCCTGCTAATTTTCTCCCGTGCCGTATCGCTGAAGTGTTTGGCTATAATGCAACCCACTAGATATGTCAGGCAGGGCCGTTCTTGTTGTGTGTTCTTAGAGTATAACAACACGGCAGGGAATTACAAATTTATTTCTTGTTAAGTGATTAAGTATTTATGAGCAGTGTTGCTAAGGTTGAAGAGAGAAATTGAAGCTGTGGTACTCAACACAATTTCTATGTCTTACTTGTAAAATTACTGTGGTCCCTATAGGGCTATCATTGAGGGTTGGTTCTAGTGGGTTTCCATCTCGTGTACATACTAGTCACTTCCAATATCTCCATCTCTGCCAATCCAAATGACTTTTGCTCTTACTATTTTATTGGTCATCTCCAAATGGTTTGGCAAATTTGTAATGGGTGTTGTTAATATTTGATTACTGTTGCACCGTTTATTGTATAAAGCAATACTAGGGAAGCATACATCTTATTGACTATAAGTTAGTCCCAACTTGTTCTGGTCTCATCCTCACAGCATTACAGTTTCTGAAGGAAGAAGATGGCAACTTTTTATTGTTTCTTTCAGACTCGCAGTCATAAACATTGTTACATTTGTTAAAATTACCATCTATTGTCGAGAATGGACCTGCTTACATACGTGTCTTGTCCTAAAGAACATTGCTTATTTGCTTTGTCACAAAACACCGTCAACAAATTTGATCAGCAGTGCTAATGGTACAGAAGCCATAGGTTTTCAATTGATCTAAGTACAAACTTTCAGTGTTGTCAATCTCTGCATCTCATTGACAATAAATTGAACTTGAATTTCATGGTATCCATAAATCTTTATCATGGTTTTTTAGTAATGCTGTTTACAGTTAAGGAAACTTGGTTCCTGTTGGTGTCATTCTGTATCAACACAAAATGATGTGTGTATAGCATCTTGCATGAGTTTCAGTTCATATGAGATTTATGAAAGGAGTATTTTAGAACTTTTCATTCTCAAACAAGGTAAAATGAAAAATTTGTTTCAAGTTTCATATATCATTTATGAAATTGAAACAAATTAAGATCATTCATGTTTTGTAATCATTATGTGTGCAAATATTGTAGAAGACATGAGAATTTGGTGCTCAATAGTGAATCTGAACTTGACATGCGTTAGTGGGTTTTTTGGTTCATCATTGGATGCTGTTGGTTACGCTAAATGTTTACAGACTTTGAAGTATTTTGTAGTGGAGGACTTGATGAAATATTTAATTCATTAAAGTAAATTACTGTAAGTTATGTTATGCAATAAAAATTTCCACATGGTTATTTACATAATGTTGGGATTTCTAATTGATGGTCTGAAAAAATTATACATAAATTATCAATTAAATAAGAAACTGAGAAAATAGGCTGAAATAATAAATATCTGCAAAAAAACGTCTCAAATGTGAGAAAAGGAAACTTAAATAAAACTGTAAAAAATATATATTGTAAAAATAAGAGGCAATATATTTTTTAAAAAGTTGTTGAAAGAAATATATGGAAAAATATTTCAAAATAAAATGAAAAATATAAAGCAAAATATTTCAAAACAAAATGAAAAAATTGGCTTAAGAATTAGAGAACATGAGTCTATGAAATTAAAGATTTTAAAAAATCTGACTGGAAGAAATTACATGTTACAAAACAGGTCTTAGGGATGGAAGAAATTATATATTACAAAACAGGTCTTAGGAATGGAAGAAATTACATATTACAAAACAGGTCTTAGAGATGGAAAAAATTGTATATTACAGAACAGGTCTTAATGATGGAAGAAATTACCCAGGTATATGTTACAGAACATGTCTTAATGATGGAAGAAATTACATATTACAAAACAGGTCTTAGAGAT